CCTTAATGGGTGCAGGAGGTTGCTGCTGTACTTCATCAAGCATGCTTTGTGTCTCCCCCGCAGCTGCGGAAGTTGTTGCATCTCCTTCTCCCATTGAGTGCGAGAAACTGCTTCCATCCTCACAGCTGTTTAAAGGATTTCTAGCACTTTCAGGCGTCTCGACATGTTGTGAAGGTAGTTGTGCATGTCGTCGAAAAATACGCATCGCGCCGTCACTGCATTCCGTTTCGTCCAAGATTTCGTGTGCCGCATCATCGCAATCATTTTGACCTCTGACTTAGAAGATGCAGATAAAAAAGCCTCTAATTTTAGTGGTATCCATCTTTAATATGATGCATGTTGTTGTTCTTGGAAAAGGTAAAGCTAATGCTATTCGTAGAAATTTTTGAACCAAAATTCTTTTGTATTAAGTACTTAAATACAACTCATCTACTTCTCTATGGATTTGTATTTCTTAAGGTAGCGTGAGGTAAAAGCCTCCTGCTCGCAGCTTCAACTTTGCCTCCATCGCAGGTACTGAAGCCGAATTTGGATAATCTACGGACTCTCCTGTGTCCTCCTCTTAGAGGACCTTTTTGAGTGTTGAGAGTAGACCTTGATGAGTCTCTTTTACAAGTTGCACAGCGTTTACTTGTAAGCGTAAGGTATACTAGAGAGAGATGTCCTTGTTGTAAGTAACTAGAGAAAGAGTGAGTGACTAGAGACAGAGATGTCCTAGTTGTCCCAGTGTGAAGATGAACTCGGCAACGAAGCATAATATAGTTGTAGTAAACGTTTTCATCTAGATTATGGATCATATGCATCGTGCGTAAGCAGCAGCCTTAAAAGGTCGTGTCTGGTGTGCCCTTGCAAATCCGTTGCCAGTCCTTGATGCGACACTTCTTGGCGGGAGTGGAAAGCTTAGAAACTAATATACTTATGCAATATCAATAAAAAACGAGCGAAGAGTAATCATGATCTTCAAAAAATCATAAGGTGCTAGACATCAGTTTCTTCAGTCTACTTAATACTTGTAGTAAATGAATAATAAGTATACTCTAGACATCAACGTCTCTTCGAATCACAATCATGATCTTGAATAGAAGGAGCTGCGCTCCTACTAAGTAAATTTGCAGTCTTCAAAGACGGATCTTAAATGTAGAGGGTTCAGTCGCACAGTCGCGGTCGCAAGCTTGGTCGACATCATTTTTCGTCATCGTGTCAAAACTGTTCATTAACGCCATTGCATACATATTCATTCTGGTTGAAAGAGTGGACTCTTCCCTTTGATCCTAGTAACCCTCATTTTCACTCATCCAAAACCGAAAGTCCCCTATGCGGAACGAACCCACTCCGTATTTTGATAGTCCACACAGAAGAAATTTCTACTTTCTGCTTTCTTTATCGTTAGTTATTAAAACTAAATCTTAGATATTCATTGATTAGAAAGCCGTAAGTTCACGTCGGGTTCGTAGTTGAAAAACGAAGCCCACCAAAAGGAATTGAAGCGGTTGTCTGCAGGCCATTCTTTGAAGTGCTGCCTTTGTGTTCGAATGGAACAGCCCCAAGGAATATAGCCCCATGGCACCAAACCGGACACCCATGAATGTGGCTCGTCTTGCCCAACAACGTGGGACTTCTCCTGCTCGTGAGCAATGTCGGACTTCTGAAGCTGGAGAGCACTCAAACTACCTCCTGCTGCAATCAACGACGTGGAGTTCAGATCTCCTTCCGATATGTCATCACTGCTATTACTATTTGTACTTATATTTGTGCTATTTCCGTCAAATTGTGAGGTCCCATTTCGTGTCCCTGTGTCATTTCTAAGAAGAGGAGTTGAGGAGGTCGGCAAAACACTGATTCTCCGCACTCCCTGAGGTTCGAGACACCGCTGACCAGCTTCCTGACGCCTGATAGACTTAGAAAAAAAGATTAAGGTTGTTTATTGACGGTTACAACTCTGGAGTTGTATGAGTGAACGAAAAAGTTTTAAGACGATTACTTCGGACGACTCACTCTGGAGTTGTATGAGTGAACGAGAAAAAAGTAGTTTACGATTGTTCATTGACGGTTACTATTGACAAATCTGGACTTGTTGTATTCCGGACTTTTGAAGCCAGACTCCGAGGAAAGCCATAAAATGAATAGCTAAGATTTAAGAGCATTGGATCGCTCTGGTATTCGGTGGCCTGATTTTCATCATAGCGGAAAACACGAAGAGAATCCTTGTGACCCAATTCAGGTTACCAAATACCGGAACCGTTTAAACATAATATGAGCACTCAATCTCAATCTCACATCAAAGAAATAACAAAATAAAAGATCATAAAGGACATTCCACCTGAACCTTCTTCGTGGGCACTGAGCAACCGTGGAGGCAAGTTGTCGGTAAAGTTTCTTCCTTCGGCATGCTCTCTAATATTAGACCTCCCATCATTCTGTAGTAACCGCACTTCATCTCTCAACTCCAACATTCATCTTTCAACTCCTACATTCTCTTCCTACAACTTGAAAAAATAAACTAAAAGTGTATTAACTAATTGGCTTCGGTTTTTGCGAGGCCCATTCCCATATTGGACGCACCACGTAGACGTAAAAACAGTGCTGACACGAACAGTAATTTGCCCTGCGACCAACGCAGCAGGCTAGCCCAGGGTGACACTGGCTCGTTGCCTGAGCATAAGTGATCGGAAGGAAGGAAGGAAGCGCGATGCGAGTGGTGACTTCGACCATAGCCACTCGTGTCACGCGAACCTGGGCTGGCGGCTGCGGAGGGTGAAGTGGTCAGACTCTCAGACCGATGATGGGACAGGGTGGGAGGGAGCGCCTTGACAAGACAGAGGGAGTGGACGGGTGGGTGTTTGAAATTGACAGGACTAGACAGGACAGAGACGGGACTAAAGCATGCGCCACGGTGTTGGCGCGTGACCGCCGATGATTGGGATGGGTTGATCACTCAAGCCGATTCGTCACTTCTCGCGCACGTCAAATCACGCATAGCCGCACTGCCACTGCTGCACAGTTCTTAACGCAACAATTTGATGTTGATACTTATAGTTCTATTTGTTCCCCATATATTGGATAAATGTATTTTCAAGGAGATACTAGATGTCCGCCTGTTATTAATATTACTTCCCGTTTCTTATAACTTTTCAAGGATTTTCAAGTATCATACAAGCAAAAATGTCAAACTAATCATGAATTTATCTGGGTTTTCGAAGTACTAGTGAGAGCCTTAACACTGATTTGTGGGTCGTCTGAAGACAGTCCCCCATCGAAAAAACGTTGCCACCGTTTCCATCCGCTACTTGCTGTCTGTCGAACAGTGGTAGCCCCGATACTTAACGCCAATCAAAAATCGCTATCTTCCGTGGTAAGTTGATGAGTGAAGACTCCCTGGCTGTACTAATGGTCTTTCCCTGTATTATTTTAGTATAACCCTAAAACATTGTCACTTACATTTTGAGCCCTTTTCAATTTACACAAGAGGACACACTAACGCCGCACTTCACAGACACACTTCCAGATAATCGAAAAACTGAAATCACCGAGCACCCCAGAGAGTGATCATCTTCTCAGATACTCGGTTATTTCAGTTTTTAGCTACTTACTCGCTTACTAATACTATTACCGGATAGCGCGAACATTCTCCCAAAAGAGCAACCTTCTGGATCCAGCTAAATCCATCAGCAGAACCCGAATTAGCTGGCTCTGTTGGCCACTTTCGGGTTCTTTTAGCCGATTTAGCTGGTTCTGTTGATGGATTTAGCTGAATCTTGAAGATTCCGCTTTTGGGTGGATGTTCGTCTAATTAGATAGAAAAAGAATAACTGACTGGCCATAACATAGGCGTTTTCACCATTGTCAGGGATGGAAGCCGTGGAGGACCAGAGAACTTGCGGAAAAGTATCCTCGCAACGTAGGGACACTCTCGTTGGCCCGGTTTTAGAGATACTAGCTTTTTCCTATTCTTGTAGGAACAACATGTGAAAGATCTTCAAAGAGTTATTTTGCAACTCCTGGAAAGTTCTGGTAAGAGTGAGTGATAAAGAACTACCCGTAACAAAGGTGTCCCGAAGTCGCATTTGTCTACGCCACTTGTTGTTGTGAGATGAAAATCTAGGTCATCAAATCCATCATCTTCAAAAGCGCCTCCGCCAACTTCATCAACGCCATCTGCTGCAGCCTCTGCCTTGTTATATAGTGTTGAACTTGAAGCTTGTTCTTAGAGGTAGGCTTTTGGTGCTCGCTTACCCCGCTTTTTATGCCTTTCTCCCTTTGGAGAGGCATAAAAAGCGGTAAGCAAAGCACCTTTAACCTACCCTTAATGTTCTTGTTGTTCAACTTGAAGAAGCAGAGCCGCTCCTGCATGTTCTATTCCTTCGTCCTTTGAAGCGGAAGATGAGGATGATCTACGAACTTGTCCTGGTAAGTCCTCTGCATCTCTATCTTGATCACCATGCGACACTGCAGCACAGTGAAGAACGCTCGAAGAAATGAGAAAGACTGCACGCGCGTGCAAAAGGAGTGCCGTGACTGTTCCTAGTGCGACGTGTGTGCGAGGACACCGCTGAAGTCTTCCCCTACTGCCTGAGTAAGCACCTCCAGCAGCCTTCACGGAGCTTCCAGGGCGAGCCACACTAGAACGGCAGACATTATCATCCACCTCCGAGGAGAAAGACGGCATCATCATCTTTAGTCGTCGTGGACTAAACATTTACTCCTCCACGACCCCACTAGAAGCACTGGCACAAGTGGGGTGCCGTCCCCCAGCATATCACTTCTTAGATGTCAACAGCAGATGATAGATATCTTAGATGTCGACAGATGTTAGATGTCTTAGATGTCGATGTCGACAGCAGCTATCAACATGTCAGCAGCAGCAGCAGCGCACGAGCAGGACCATCTTCATTTAATTGTTACTTGCTGCACCTGCACCATCATTTTCTTCGTTGTCATCATGAATGTGATGAGACCTAGTGTTATCGTTGAACAACTCTGCTGGTCTCGACGACGTATGCCAGATCATCAATATTGGATGAAACATACGTTATAATTCTTTGTTAGTAGTGAGTGTGCTGAGAGGCAATCGTTATCATATGCATATCCTCTAGGAAGCAGCTACGTAATGTTATAATTGGTTCGTAATCCTCCTCGAAGCAGCTACTTAGTTAATGGTATAATTTCTTCGTAATCGTATTAATGTTATTGGTTTTGGTATAATTCGAATTCGTTCACTCGTCACTAGGACCTAATAAATTATTTCTGAGCTGCATGATCAACATGAGCCCTTGTTTTCTTTTTTATTTCCTCCCTAGGTCTTCCTCTCTCTCTCATTAAGCAGCAGCTTGAGTGTGGGTTTGAAACTTTCAGAGTTTTTGTTTTTTACTTGAGTAGTCTGAGGCTACTATACGAGGGGCCCAGCTTCGTGCTTCTTATTGCATTTGCAGTGTGAGTCTCTCCCCTTATCCTTACATATTTCTAACCAGGTCACTGTTGAGGTCAGCAAGAAAGAAAGCCAAACCGTAAAAACATGGAGTGACTGTTCAAACCTTGGCGTCTATCATCTGACACTCACGACCCATCACGATCTGCTATAATATCCGCAGTGATCAGCGGCAGAGGCCTTTCTTTACTTTCTTCATTTAGCACTTGTTTTGCATGTTTTGTGCCAACCCTTCCCGGAAATCCACTAGTAAACTTGTGAAGAGTAGATAAAAGAACTTTTGAACTTTTTTTACTCACGACGGTGTACTGAAGCCTCCTCCAGCTTTGGCAAGAACTAAAACACATATCTGAATAAGACAACTATTTCAACATTTAACGTCTACCTAGGTGTTGTACGTAAACCTCCTCTACGTGTTGTAAAAAAAAAGTATTCATATTACTTTAGTTGTTCGATGCTCGATGTGACAAGAATGAATGAAAAGTCCGGTAGATAATTTCAATCAAAAGGTGAGTGCAAAGCCTCACACTTTCATTTTCGTACAGCACAAACTATTTCTTGTTACGCACCGCTCAGGCGCCAGACTTTATTCTATTTGGCAAAGGGTCTAGGCTCATCGTCGCCACCTCCGTTTGCGTTGCCCCCTCCTCAATTCCCTTCACAAAAATCATCCAACTTTTGAATAGTTCTCTACTCACTCCGTCCTGCAGTTCGCAATATACACCATCTTCGGGTCTGGGCGCAACCCGCGTATCAGCAACAATGTCCCCGAATGTTGCCGCTCGCACCACGCGTAGTTAGGGCTTGAACGTTGACCGCTCTAGCTCGCATATTTATGGCTTTCCTACTTGAAGAAACCACAGAGATGCACTTAGAAAGGTCCACTTCCAACTCTTAACGTAGGAGGAATGTGCTGTGCCAGGTGTTGTAGGTATAGAATGATCTGCATCTCGCGCGCGCCTCGGTGATAGGCTTCTGGGGCGGACCACGCACTCACACGGGCACCAAGATGCTGGAGTGTTCACTATCGGAGAGGCAGGCGGAACTGCTGGGTCACGTCTGTCGGCCTTCCTCCGTGCTTTGCAAGAAATCCGAAATCCCTCGAGCCACACGTGCGCTGCGAGCGGCACCTGAGCAATGTGCTGTCTGTTCGCAAATCTGTGCGGAAAATTCCGACCGAACAGCGCCGCATCAATATCGACCTCGGGCGTTTGCTTGTGTTTGTCTTGCTGTGTCTCCTTTTGTCGTATTTGCTCTTGCTTCCTCTGCTCCTTCTGGACATCATTGCCTTTCCGATGATCTCCTTGATTCTTTTCACCCCTTTCGGTGCTTTGGTTTTTTTCAAGATCTAGCGACGCAGCCCCAGCTGAGCGTCGGACATCTTCGAGCTGGTGTATTCTGAATTGGAGAGCGACTCCCACGGTGTGCTTGTGGACGTTGTGCGACGCACTGCCGCGCGGCTTAAGAAGCTCAGCAAAGAGCCGGACGAATTGAGCTGCCTGAAGGTAGGCTGTTATTCTGCCGACACTCGCGACCCACAGATTTTGAGTGAAGTTTCCATCGCCCACAGCGTAGGCGCCCCCGCCAATAGGGTCTTGATGTTTGTATACCGAAAAAAGGTGTCGAACGTGGCGGACCAATTCCAGCGCCCCAACAGCCCCCCAGCCATGGCGGCACTCGAGAACCTCCGCAGTGTTCCTGTTTTTGATAGCTGTAACCAACTCCCCGCCCGCGACTTTCGCGACGCCTGCATTTTTGTACTTGCTCGCGTTCACTGGTATGCCAACGTCGCTCCACAGGGCAGGGACCTTGAGATGCTGCGTTAGCAGCTCGTGGAGTTTACGCCGTGAATCTACGTCATCCTTGAGAAGGTAGTCTATCTTGGTGTCCAGTAGACGCCGGAGCCGATTCCGGAGCGCTCTCTCTGGACTTTGTTTCATCGCTGGACCGCCGCGATCCCCCTCTATAGACGGGTCAACCGTCATGCAAGATTTTGCGCCATGCCCGAAACCGATGAGCCAGAGGCGATCCCGAAAAGTGCCACGGAGTTGGTCGTCATGTACCCGACTCATGTCCCAAAGACCGGGTCCTTTCATGTATTCGCAACCGGGCAGATTCATCCAATCTACGGGCATGCTTACGTCCCGTCGAGTTAGACTTAGAGCGCAAAGCCAGCAATTCATTTCTTGGGAGCTCCTGCATTTTTCCCACTCCTGAGTAGAAGGAAACAGGGAGAAACGCGTTGTAAAAATCATGAATTGAGTTGTATTGAGCTCATTAATCGAGCCTCCTTTTCGGAAGAGTGTCCATCCAGCACTTGCGACAGGTGTGGCCACCACGGTACCATGCCGCAACTGATCCCACGCGCTGATCGATACCAGCTGCGTGCCACACTCTTCGAGAGATCCGTGTTACCTCCGCCAGGCCATGCGAAGCTCGGCACTGAGTCACTCTTCACTTGGCTGAGCGTCCGTGCTGCACGACTCTGGTACCGGTTCCACATTCCTGCGTATTCGATAGTAGACGGCCACCCGCTTGTATTCACCAAGGCCAACGCCCTTTCCCAGCTCTGGACTTCCCAGCCTGTGCGTGCAACACCTTCAAACCGACTGCCGACTCGAGCACCAGGAACGAAGTCACCAGGAACAGGGCCGCGACTACCTCCGATACCGAGCACGGCTTCAGAGTTGTATCCTGGCGGCAGCTCTTCCGAAAACGCTCTTGCAGTCCTCGCAAATTCGTCGTCGATTATCGCAGCGGTAAGATTATGCGTCCTTTCGAGGTTGGGGTGTCGTACTGTGTGCGCGCCTATTTCGTGTTTGCCTAGCATGTTGGCTCGCAAGAAGTCCCACTTGCGAACTAACTGGTCCGGAGTCGGCTTATCTGTAGGGTGCATCATAAACACCGCGGAGATGTAAAAGGTTGCCTCGATCCCGAAAGCGTGAAGCAAAGATTAGAAGTGACCGCAGTCCATCTTCAAGTGCATCATTGTCCCTGAGGAGTGCGTCTTTGAGGGAGCATTAAGTCCCCGCAGGTAATGCTTCTCCATACTTTTCAAGGACCGACGCGGTCAAAGATGAATTAGATAGTGAGGCCTTAAAAAGAGGAGACGAAGGTGACTTGCGCGTCGTTGCCATCGTCCCAAGACGTCGAGTACGCTGCACGATACCCGTTCCATGGAGCAACGCTCGCAGGCAGCGACTTGCAGAGCGAAGGCCTAGTGGGTGCTCGATGTGTCTCGGCCAAAATTCCGTGGAGCCCCCGACGAGGAAAATAGCGCCTGGAGGGAGCTCTTCTCTGTGGCGGCTTTCGTGCAGAGGCGCTGGCGCTTGCATCAGATGAGCGCTGTAATAGGGGCGGCAAGCAAGAAGTGCCAAGAAGCGCCTGTTGAGGTCCAAGGCCTACATGGAGTTTCCCAAGGTCCTCAAGCGTGGACCAAGAACGAGGCGAACCCTCGTCGAGGCTCACATATTGCAGTGTCCCTGCCATGCGCAGTGCCACCAAGACATAGCCCGCAGTGAAGTAGAGGACACGAGGAGGGGACACCAGACGCCATAGCACCGCGGACACCCCGCGCATTGTCAGAGAGCGGCCCGCGCGGCCCTAAGCTCCTAGTCTGCAGCAGGGTCGTCTCGTGAGTGCTGGGCGCATTAGAATTACGCGCCGCACTAGCATCTTCAAGTGTAAGCCTTCCCTGCCTCAGCGTCTTGTGAGTGCGCAACTGCCTAAGATTCAGCAACGTAAACGCATTTTTAGGCAACTAAGCACAGGCGCCGCGAGGTCCTTCAAGTTGGGCTTTTGTTAACAATGTCCACCGACTGAGATACCGGCCAACTGACTACACCACTCGAATGAACACACTGAAAACACCACCACACGCATGCAAGTCAGGGAAATCACTCGGGTCACTATTACCAGCCTGCGGGTGAGAAAGATGACACGCCTGCCACTAAAATACCGACGAAGATGGTGGCCACGACTAAGCTGCTGACGATGGTGATGACGATGAGAACGAACAAAGAACCGGGGACCTTGGTGGCGTTCATGATTCTGGCGGAACGCTGTGGGCGGGGATCTCTATGCATGGGAGGAACGAAGAACGAGGCGGAGCGAGTTGATTAAAAAAAATCAGAACCAAGGACAAGGATCGAACTGGGCCAGGATCCTCATGCTGATCCGCCACGGAGTGGCGACCCTTCTGATCTTATGCCTACACTCCCCCTCCCAAAGCAAAGACCACCAAACGAAAACACCACACACCAAGAAGCGCCTACGATAAAGTTTGTTACAACCTTGAAAAAGTGACAAAGCGCGCCCCAGCTACGGACTTCCGCGCCAGGTCGTCTTGCGCACGAAATAGCTGAAGACGTTTGACACTACTCAGACCTTTTGCCGGCGGGTCTGCACGGTTCAAGCCCGTCAGACAACAAAGCAGGCTAGGCTCTTGACGTGGTCGCGGACTAGATGACACCGAAGGCCGGCGCGCTTGCGTCATTTCAAGTTAGCTGTTGACTTCTTGGCGAGACCTAAGGCAGACCGGCGGCCCACGAAGACGAGCCGGCCACCCCCTGGGCCTTTCCTTCTGTCTCTGGATACCAATCAGGAACACCTCGAGCCGTGCGCAGCTTGATAGTGTCACGCGCGACATGCTCCACCCCGCGCGCCCTATGTGCTCCGACGGTTTGCCGCTTGACAGACCACGCGGCAAGAACCCCGCGAGTACATAATAGAGTTAGGTTTTTTTTGACCCATATCGGGTCGGGTTGCTCGGGTTGCTCGAGTTGCCAACCCAATTTTTTTGCGCGGCGCCCTTCGGGCGCAGATTTATGACCCTACGAGAGACCTGAACAGGAGCGCACGACACGACCACGCGCCGCGCCGTAATTGCATATTGATGGCGGCGCGCTCGTATATAAATATCGAGCGCGTCAATCCATTGAAATTTAGCGACCTCCTCCAGTATGCTTACTGCTATACCCAAGACTGGACACGTCGCCCGCTGAAGCCAGCAGACGGGCACTCGCTCTCAGCCCCCAAGTAGATTGGCCACGCTCGCACCCGAAGAAAAAAGGGAGAGATCGCCAACGACTCGAAGACGACACACCACAGCGCCACTCACCTCAAAAAAAAACAACAGAGAGCAGGGGCCTGCGCTCCTTGTTTTCGCTTCAAACACGCGCCCGCACGCTACAAAAGAAGCGCCCGAAAGCCTGCAGAGCCCTTCACACGTGGCTGCCCCTTTTATGAGCAACAACAAAAAAAAGAACCTGCGCCCCTCTCCATTTTTTCACTGCGAGCGTACAGATGCACCCCCATACCGCCCGGCTTCGCCCCATTTTGCTGGGTCAGGATTCTCCTGGCAACCCGTGGCAACCCGTTCCAGATTTGGAACCCCTGCGCTTCGGCAACCCGAGCAACCCGCTGCAACTCGAGCAACCCGAAACCCGTTATTTGCCTTACTCTAATATAAGTAAGACGCTGCCGCTGGTTGTCTTCAAGGCTACCGCGCAACCAGCGGAGTCAGAATCGCTGGACGCTAGTGGCCTGCCTACCTCTTTACCAGCTTCAGCCGCTCCCCTTCTGTGTACTCTTTTAAAACCAGCTTCGACCCCGGGGGAGTATTCGGGGCCTGCGTCTTTTGTGCCTTTCAAATACTGCAGAACGCGCTTTGCGCGCTCCTTCATGTTTTCCGTCAAGTTTGCCACTTCACGCGCCACACGTTGCGCCGCGAGTACTATGCCCACTCTGCACAAGGCTGCCACTTACATCAAGCCACCGACAAGACTACGCAGCGGGAGCCCGCCACTCATTGCGGTAGCGGTTTCGTTCTGAAATGTACAACACGGGCGAAGACACAGCCCGACCCTCCTCGGCCACGTCGAATTTTCGCAGTAGACAGCCGACAGCTCCACGCGTGTGATTTCTGCACCACCGTCGGGCAGAGTTTGGGCCATGCTCTAACACTGCGCCCAACATGTCCCAAACTTTAGCGCCGTCGGCTCGAGCTTCGGGGCCGATCACCTTAAGACCGGGCCACTTAGCGAGAGTTTTACCGATCTCCCTGCCCACTATTTCAACAAGCGCGCCGCTGATTATGTTGCCACCAGCCTAAGCGCCTAATATGAGAGCACTGCCCCGCGCTCCTTTTCGAACTCAGCCGGGCCCACGTGGACACACCTCCCAGCCAGGTTCTTCTAGGCGCTTTCGATAACAATCGAACCACCTTCGGGGGGCGATTGGAAGTCCATCCAGAGACCTCGCCAGCCTTACTAAGTCCCCGCCTGGGTTGTCACTCCAATGCTTAGGAAGACACGCTCGCGCTCCTTTCTCGTCGCAAAGAACTGCACTAATGAGCGCACTGCGTACGTCAAAGAATTCGACGCGATGCCCCTCCGCAGCTGCGTCAAAGGATAGCACACCACTGGCCGCGTGGGAGATCGTTACGGCGTAGACCTCTCCACACATCGACGCCCTTTGCCGCCGATTTCCTACCGCAACAAGCCAAGGAAGCCCTGCACCTACCGCGCCGCTTTCGGGTATAAAATGGCGCGACCTCGTCGCCTGGTTGAAGTTCTCCCTCTTCCAACGGTCGCCGACAGTTCATCGCTTCGAGTGCTCGCCGCTCCTTGTCGTCTGCCTCCCACCATTTGACGGCGTCGGGGCCAAAGTGGGCCCCAGACCTTGCCACTGTTACCATGTGCAAGCTACCAGGGGCCTTCCTCGGTTACTTCGTGCAACTTCTGACGCATTCCCGGAGCCTACCTGCCACCCTGCGGCCCGTCTATCGCGTCTACGGTTTGCACATAGGCGAGGCCATCTGCTACCAACATACACGACAGGAGGGCGCTCGTTCTACAGTGCGCTGCTTGGTGCCAGGCTTCTTCCGCCATAGTTTTGCTTTTCAGCCTTTACTTAAGACGCCCACGCCCCCGCTTAGTAACACCAGGAGGGGATCAGCGCGATCCCCTTCTTGATGCTGCTCCGTCCCTGTTCGTTGCTAATTTATTACTACCAGGCAGCGGGAGAAAGGAAAGGCCGAGCCACTTGCTTGGGAACTACATAAGCCGAGTCACCACCCACCGCGCCCACCTGGGGAGGCTCCGCGGGGGGATCACCATCGACAAAGCTAGCCCCAACAGAATGACCCGGCGCGACCTCGTCACCCTTGTCACCCGGAGCCACACTATCCAGATGACCAGACCCGGCAAGAGCCGCACTAGGATAATCAGGCGCCCGAGGGTCGACGCCATGCGCTTGCACATCCCCAGGGGATATTGCTACCTTCTCCAGCTGTTTCGTCTCTGGGTACAGTTTTGCAAGTGCTCCCTCCTTCTCAGGTTTGATGAGGTCGCCGGCGTTAGAAATCGAGACGGACCCACCAAATCGCGCAGCCCTGCTCTCGATGACAGAAAGCCTAACGCCCAGGGCTGTCCGATTGTCCTCCCCCCAGACGCCGGCCTACCAAGGGACACGAACTGCGCGAACATCCTAGAAGCGTTCCGCGTTCCGCTCTGGGGGCCAACTTGCTCGAAGTTGCTCCGTGAACCGTAGCAAAACACAAACACCCAAAACGATAGAAGTGCTATGCTTTACAAGAGGCCGCCCTCCATAACGTTTCCCCAAGAGGCCTACGCCGTCACGTCTAAGCGGTCTCTGATAAACGTGAGGCGCGTAGCCTTCCAGACACCAGGGCCAGGCTCTGCCGTCGACCCCGATGGGGTTCATGCGGGTCGCGTTGGTTTTGCGGTGTCTGGCTCCATCTCTCTACGAGACCGCTTCGCCATGGGGTGCCTACTGCGCTGCGCTCTGTTTGAATTGGTGGGGCTTGCTTCCTTCACACAAAACGGACGCCAGCGAGGCCCCCCAACTTTGCCTGAAGGCTCGCTGTCACTGCCAGCTTCCTCCATCTGTTTGCTGTCTCTGGTCCACCGCTGGAGGCCTAAGCAGTGCCCATCTTTAGCATTCAGCGCGTAGCTATCGTTTCTCTTTCTGGCCAGCCACGACGCTGATCGACTAAAGACAAGCGCCAAGCTTCACCATTGAGCGCACGGGGGTCCTGCCCAGTGAAGTCGCAGCTTACTCCTTCTACTCCTTCGCTGAACTTAGTCACCACCATGGGGGGAGGCCGCTCACCAGCGCCAGAGGCTCCCAGCTTCGACCCCTTGCGCCCGTGACGGTCATCGACTGCCAGACCCGGGGCGAAAAGGTGCCCACACTACTGATGGACTCTAAGCTTAGCCGCAGCGGAGAGCAAAGCCGGCGCCCCCTCCTGCCCCTTAACTGGGCAAGGAAGCCGAGACTGACTCTGCCTCTCTGTAGAAGACAACGTCTGCCACCTGTCTGGGCTTCGTTGTTTGTATACAAAGACACGCCCCCAACCAGAAGACCTTCACCAGAGAAGACGCGCGACCTCGGCCCATCGGGGGCTAGTATATAGGTTAGCGCGTCAGCGCTCACGGGCATCCGAGTAGGCTCCTGATGGAAAAAGCCAACCGCGAGCCCCAAGGAATTCTCTACAGCGATACCTCTCACGGCACAGCGCGAGCGGGCTCCATCCCCCACATTTAATCGGACATGCTGCGCGGCCCGGGGTGCACACACTTGGGGCGACTTCTGTCGCCACTCATGTGGTGCGAAAGAAGCAGCACCACGACCACACACACAGGGGGCCGCCGTGCTCACTTTGCGCCTCTTGGCTACACGACCAAGAAAACGCGCACCATCATCGTCACCCCTCTCTTCACCGCCATCACTGCCCTCGCTATCTGCCTCACCGCTACGCAGATGCTGGCCGCTATTCGAATACCGCAAAGCGTAACGCCTCCGGTGTTTTGTTGTTGTTGTTGTTGTTGTTGTTGTTTTTCTGAATATGCAAGGCCGGCGCGTACGCTCCTGCTGCTGTTTCGTTTGTGGCAACAGCTGCGGCACCTTCGCGCTTTGCTTCTTCTTGGAGAAGATATCCGGCCACCCTGTTGGGTGCCGCTGAACACTGGGCACGAGCTCGCTGCTTTTGCTTTTGGTAAGTTACTTAGCTCGCGTTCTTTGTACAAGCTACCTAGTTGGTTAGTTTTAGACCGCCAGCACTTGCACTTACTTGCTTCCTTTGCTCTGTTGCTCTTTTACCTTACGGCTGCGAGAAGTTTTAGCCCTTCGCATGCGCTGCAAGATAGAGCGCAATCCTTTGCAAGTTAGGCCTAGCCTTCTTGGATGTGGGTGCGCGCGCTATGCCTTATAGCGACTTTCTTCAGCAGCGATCTCCGTTCGAGGGTCGTTGCGCTCTTCTTCTTCTTCTTCCTCGTTTTCTTCTCCTCACTCTTCTCCTTTCGTCTTCTTTCAGCACTGCCCGGGGCCGCGCTACTAATTACTAGACAGCGGGCTACTCACTTGCTTGCCTGGGGACATGCCGCGCGCGTGTGCCCCTTCTTACCGCACAAGTGGCAAGCCCGCTGCGCTGGTTCTCCCCCTCCTTCGGGGGGGTGTGGTTTGTCGTTTGCCTTTGCCTTTTCCTTGCTTTACCTTTCTCGCCACCTTTGCTAGGCTTGGCGGGCTTTCACACGTGCCACGGGTCCCCACCAGAATGCAAGGCCTTTAGTTGCGCTTTGCTTCTGGGGTTGTGTGCTGATCGCTCCGCGCGCCAAGCTTTTCAACTCAGCGCATGACACAACTAAGCGCCGCCGCTCCTTCTTGAGAAGGCTCGCCTTTGCTGCTGTTGGGCGTACCACCGGCGGGCGGCGTCTCTACGTGGGTGCCGTCTTCACCCTGCAGCCCGAAGCGCTCCGCGTACTCTCTCGCGTACGTCCGTAGCTCCTCGCCCGTGTTCTTCGAGCCACCAATAACATGGGGGACCATTTGAGACGCCAGCGGATCTCCTAGACAATAGAAGACCCCGAAGCGGGGGAGTTCTCGCGCGTCTACTTCTCCACCCAGTTCATCACGCGGGGCGGCCTCTCTTCTGTAACAGAACACGCCGGCACTTTCTTCGGGTTGCTTCACAGTTCAGCATCGACCCGCTAGAGACTCGACGTCACTCGTGCGCGCATGCTCCGCGGTTTCTGTGCGCCTTTTATGGAGCTGCTTCAGCTTGTCCATGCAGGTCCGTCCTTCCCCGAGATTAGTCGCCATCACGCCGCGCGATGCCTTTCTTTTTTTTAGCGACCAGGAGCCCAATAGCCAACCTACGAGGAGCATTTCTCTCATGCCGATTCCGCTCCACTGGTGTACCTGTACCGCCAAAACCCTGCAGAATCTTGGCCGAGAGTGCGCCCAGGCCATGGGCGTCCGCTACTGTTGGCACGTGCTCCATCCAGGCGCGTCGCTCTTCCTCTGCAGTGATCTCCAGCAGCTGAGTAAGCCGAGGAGGTGCCATCTCGCCAGGTGTTGCGACTGTCTCCGCGGGTGCTGTTCCTGCTCCTCCTTCTCCTTCGCCGGCCATGCCGTGGAAGATGCGGGGGCTTTAGCTGCCTACTGATATGCAAACACTACAAACAACAAGCGAGAAGTCTGGCAATAGAGCGCGAGCAATGTTCACCGACTGAGATACCGACCAGGTGGCCACTAGAATGAACACACTGAAAACACTACCACACGCATGCAAGCCGGGGAGGTTACTCGGGTCACTATGACCAGCCTGCGGGTGAGAAAGATGACACGGCTACCACTAAGACACGGATGAAGATGGTGGCTACGACTAGGCTGCTCCTGGTGATGGTGATGACGATGAGAACGAACAAGGAGCCAGGGGCCTTGTTGATGGTGTTCATGGTTGATTCTGGTGGAACGTTGTGCGGATCTCTATGCATGGGAGGACCGAGGAACGAAGCGGGACGAGCTGACTGAAATCAGAACCAAAGACAAGGACCGAACTGGATCAGAGTCCTCACGCTGATCCGTCACGGAGTGGCGGCCTTTCTACTTTAGAAATATAGCCGGAAACCCTTCAACGAGCGCACTCCGCTCGGCTTCGTCCGCTCTCATCTAGTGAAGAAAGAAACTCCCTAAGAAAATGCGCGCGCGCCTGATATGGCCTTGGCCACTCGCTTTCTCTCTGAATAAGGAGTAAGTGGCTCTTATTCATATGGCAACTCTCTTTCTCTGTCCTATTCTGTTTCACTAGTCACTAAGCGCAAGCCCCTCAGCTTCTCTCCTCTTCGAGGGGCTGGAGGTGGGGCGATAGCAATAATATTAATTGAGAAGGAAAAAATATCAGCAAATATCATACAGTCCAACAAATCTCGCACGAAGTTCAGTGCACCCAGTCATCGGGGTCGCGTAGAGGGTCAGCACGATGCTACCTCGCGCACTATAATGACTAGTCGCGACGTAGAAGTAGACGCACGAGAGCGAGAGGCAGCAAGAAACCGAACAAAATTACTAGATGGGCCTCTTTCTTGTAGAAGGAGGACATCACAACTAGAACAGCTACGATGTGGCCGATGCGACAACTACGAGAACGGCTATTCATGACATATGCACTACGCCCTTTCCAGAGGGGATGCTTAGCGAGGGCGCCCAGAAGAAGCTGGAGCAGCGCAACCGCGTAGGCATCCGTGAATGGAAAGAATCCAGCCCGTAACCAAAACGCTACCGCCAGGAGACGGGTGAGCCTGACGCAGTTCCCCAGAAGCACTGTCTCAGCGCCGTGCCCTTTGTGTAAGAGCTGGGGCCATTTGATTGCGAACTTTCCCCGCGCCTTGGCTTCATCCTTCACGTGCTTCAGGACAAATTCGAGCGGTTCGGCACGTGCGGCAGATTTCACCTACAATTCTTGCCAGAACGAGATCAAAGATCGCGCCCTCCAACGGACGCCGCTTGCGCTGACGCGACGCCCTCGCCACGCCGGGCAGGGCCGTCGCTAGATCCGGCCACAAATACATAGAGCCCCTTCTTGCTTTGCAAATTGTAGCACAGGGACCAGCCTGAACAAGTCCCACTGGAATTCGTCAAAGTGGACTCCCCGCAACAATCCCACTGACTTCGGCATTGCGGGCGCGCGGATGCCGGCACTGTCCAGGGGGAATTTGCAATAAAGTAACCGCGCAAAAGGTGGCCGGGCTGGATATCATCCTGCGCCACAAGAGGGAGTCGGTCGCCCTGCTTCTCGCTTCCCCCGACGTATCCGTCGGCAATTGAAATTGTCACGACCAGAGCCCGATGAACGTTTTCGAAATTCTGAAAAAATCTGAGATCGTGACTATCGAAAAGTGTGAGAAGTGAGAGAGGGAACGCCTTCAGACTGACTGGGCGAGTGAATTGGTTTACAGGAAGACTGGGGGTGGCCTTTTGAGCAAACTTATTCCCGTCCCCCTTTGCAAAACGCTCAGCGGGCCAGATGGGTAGCGATATGCCGCAAGCGTTCAGCGCCTCTGCGGATAACAAGGCCAATAGTCTGCACAAGACATTGACGACATGCTTGACATGAACTGAGTCGCATCTCCGCGAGCTCGACCACGCAACTGCAACAAATTATTAAAAAAATACTGGAGAAAATCCGCACAAAGTGGTAAAATCTTAGGCGGCACCTCTTGCGCTGGCTGCATGACTTCGCTGCCACGGTTTGGGCCGTCTTCTTCCTTGATAGCTGGGCAGACAAGAAGGGAGCCAACGCTGACGAAGGCCTTGACTGGTAAATAATTGCCACACAGGGGCCTCCATTTTGCTAACCTTTTGATAGGTGAGCTCTTTCTATGCAAAGTATATACGTTTCAAGTTGTAAACCCTAGTGGTAAGTGATCTTGTGCTCTACTTGTCCATCACGTTGACCTTCAGAAGAAATTCCGGATAGTTCGCAAGCGTCCTGTGTTGACTTTTTTTGGGTTGAGAAGTTATGTAAGTTTTATATATATTAGCAAAGGAAAATCCATACTCCTTCTCCACAGCCTTAATTTTTGGCTGTTCCGGCATTTGGGCGGGCATGTTGTGGCTTACACTAGATAGTTGGCGAGCTACTTGAAGTAGCTGCTGGCGGCAAAGCTCTGGGCACGAGGTCGAGGAGACCTGCTGGGATTGGTCAGCTTGCTGTCTGTCCATGACCGCGGATCTGCCTGCCCACGTGATCCGCGGATGCTCAGACAAGCCGCCGACTGAAGCCCTAGCGGCCAGTCTACTCCATTCCGCACGTGCCAGAATCTTCGGCCTTTTTTCGTGTCAAATTGTGCGCACAATTTGACACGAATTCACGCTTTTAATTACATGGAACCGAGCACGAATTTGTGTAGTGGAGTATAGATTTTAGATGGCACTAGACTCACGATTTTCAGGTGGAGTAGATATTTTAGATACGACTACATTCTTCGACCAACTTGATCCCAGTCGCGAAATCGTTGGGATCTAGTGGGGATTGCGTTCAGATTCTTGATTTTGTCCGTGCATGGAATTGGCGCAAAGAGTGCGCATTTTGTGCCCTCAATTGGGGCCCTCAAATTGAGCCCACAAAATTGAGGCAACCCCTCGACCCCGATCGTCCGAGAGCGTTGGATTGGTGCTCTCTTTGTTGAAGCGTGGGCTTCGGGATTTGCTGATCGCGCGACGAATCCGCAGACAACAAGATCGAGCTACTCCCTTCTAGGCAGCCGCCTCACTCGATCCAGCGGGAAGCGCTCCGACCCAACCAACAAAATGAGCTAGCTACTCAGCCTCTCACTTAGCTAATTTATGTCGGCTCTCGTTATGAGAGCAAGTCGAAAGTTAAGATGTTGGAGAAGGAGTATGGAATTTCCTTTGATATATATGTTAGATCTCGTCAGATAACAATAAAAAGCCCAACGGTCATCGACCAAGGACGGGGAAGGGTGGGGTAAGTTCTAAATAAAAGTATAAATACTAATGTAGTTTAAACTATCTATACAGGAGTTTTGTTCACACTTCTGCCACCTGAGGTCTCACTTTTGAGGGAAAGGGAAGAAAAAGCAAGCAAAGAGGAGTAGACGAAAGAAGAGATAAGGAACAGCGAAGAGTGAGTGCTCGCACAAGCATGAGTGCGGTGAGCTCTTTCTATGCAAAGTAAAAAATAGACCGGCTGAAAAACAAAGAGAAACTATCGTGGGGCCAATGGTTGACATTACTACTACAGCTGAGCCCCCCCGTGTTTGCAAGATTGGTCTTGGTTTTTGCGACCGAAGAATAAGAACACCGGACCACAAGACCGCAGGCCGCTAAGTCTTTGCAGGTTTCTCAACTCGTGGAGAAACGTCGAGCGAGGCTCTTGCCTGATGCAATTGGACCCACAACCCGAGGCAGATAGCTCCTGGCTGGTTTGCTCCCTGTGGGTATTCGTTTTGGGGCGGCAACCCGGAGGCCTTTTCTGCTTCGTGGGGTATCTATCATGATGCATGGGGAGAATTTCACGCGCCCACCATATGGATGCCCTCAGTCCATCGCCATCAACTACTTACATGCGACCACAGACACGTCGGCACCGATTTAGACTTAGCTGAACCCCCTGGATGAGTACGCACCGGATCACGGCACGCGAGAACTCACCACGACGATACGCGCGACCGGTATCCGTGCGCTTTGAACTGGTCAGAACTGACAGGACGACACGGAACGGACACAGACCCAGCGACGGCAGTGAGCTGCTTCCCCTATCTGGGCGCGCTGATCTGGCGGCCCTTTGCCTGTAGGTCGTTGGCTTTGGAACTGTGAGCATGTAAGTCCATAGCCCTCCCCGAGGCCTTTCCGGTGGTGCCTTGTCCTTGACTGGACTGAGAGGCTTGAAACAACGAACGAAAGGGGAGAGAGAGACCACAGACGCCCAGCCCGGCCATGGCCGAGGCGTTTGGAATGACGCCCATGGCTTACCGCTTTCGCCTGGCGATCTTCGTCACTTCAGTGGCCCAACCCTTTGGGCCTACTTGGGGGGTCTTGTGTATCAGATTCCACTTTTGATACACGACCAACAAAAAACGAAGAGGCAATAGCCATCGACCCAGTTTCCTTTTTCGCTTACCTTTTCCGGCTAATCAAACAAAGTCGTGCCTCTCTAATTTTTTCCAATCTGTATCTTCCCCCATGTGAAAACTCGCACAGAGCCGCACCATGGCGGAACGATCACCATCATTCAGAACAGACTCCACTTTATTCTATCAGTGATTTCGTAAAGTCGCAGAGTCAGTTTCAATTTCTGTTTTGATCTGGCTCTAAAAGAAACGAGCACACTGCGAACGGCCTGCCGCATTGCAACACTCTGGGTTTTGCTTTTTGTTGGTTTCTGCTGAAAGTTTTCAGAGTTGTAATTTTTTTACAGTCATACAACTTCATAAAGAGAGAGGACGCCCCGACCTCGTCCTCGCGATATCCGACGTTGGCCTCCACTACTTCTAAAAGCTATTGGGTTCTCAATGAATGTTAAATAGCATCCATTAGCAGATACGTAAAAACGGCTCACTTTCTATGTAATCGCGATGAATAGGTGATAGTGAAAATGTAAATGAGTAGGCCTAGTAACAAAGTGAGGCTCCTTAATATGCAGCTGGGGCAAATAACGTAATCACCTTACTTTGGATTCGAATTCGTTTGTGTTCAAAAAGAAATATACGGTTATAACTGTTTCTCTTGTTTCGCGCCACTTTCATTCCATTCGTTAATCTTCTAGCATTCGAAAAACTGAAGTAACGGCAGCCAAGTAAAATGATCCCGATCGGATCAAGCTTGGTGATGCTTATGCTGTTTCTCAAGCTCTCCTTCTATTTTTCACTTTCTAGAACATAGGCTCCGAGTTATTCACGTGCTTCCCCAGTGTTCTTAGCGCCTAGGTTACTGCTTTCTCGTTGCGGATGTACCAATATCAAATTCCTACAGAAGACGCTGCTTACCTAGTAGTATCCTTACTCAATAAAACAGGCTCAAGGCTGTTCTCCTGTAGGCTAATTATTTGAGTTTATTCGTAGTACAACCAAGCACGACAACATTACAATCTACATTATACTTCTTGTGCTTATAGGCGGGTATAATTAGAATTACATCGAAGTATACACGAAGCTCAGCCAAAAGGATCCCTTGGGGGTCCTGCCTAAGCCTTCGAATTTTCTGCCTAAATTTTAACTTTAGGCAGAAAAGTCCAAACTTTAGGCAGAAAAATCCAAAATTTAGGCAGAAAAATTCAAAGTTTAGGCAGAAAAATCCAAAGTTTAGGCAGAGAAACGGCTCGAATTTAGTCCACCGCCCTGCTCCGGAGCCACCGGGTGGCTCCGGAGCGCAGAAGTGAGCCGTTAGGCAGTGGCCTGGTGAACTTTTAGGCAACCGACTCCGCCGCAGCGGCACACCGCTAGAGCTGCCTAAACAAAGGCAAAATCTGCCTAAAGTTAAAATTTAGGCAGAAAACTCGAAGGCTTAGGCAGACCGCGAAGGGATCCTTTTGGCACAATCTTCGTTCATACGATCGAAGTCGGACCGAGGGCACAGCACTAACTATTTCTGCTCTCTGTGTACGCTTAACCCTTGTTGATCCTCCTCCTACGATGCACCATAGCGGCCAGATACTGCAGTTTTCTTTTGCGCCTGTAGCAAAACACCCAAACCGACGACAATTTGAATTAGAGAGGAACGCTTGTTTTCCTTTCACAGCCTAATTATCAACCGCCTCAATAAAAAAGTGAAACTCCATGATGGAGGTCCACTTTGAAATAAAAGTGTCAACGAACATAGTTAAAGTTAGGGTGGCATTACCTATACCTTCTAGAAGTACCTTGTTGTTGTTGTTGTTGTAATAAGAAAAGCGAAATTCTTTACTAATCACGAGGAGTCCAAAAGTCTTTATCCGTATTCATCCACGTGTTGACCAACTTAACTGTGCTGTGCCTGTCACCCGGCGACCAACTGTAAGATAAACTGGAGGAACTGATCACCTATTAACCAGCTCGCTGTACCTTGTTGTTGTAACTTTAACTACAGTGCTACACATAATAAAAATCAGCATTGTTAATATGGTGAACTTGTCATGTCGTGGCACTTACCTCTTTCGTAGCTGCGTTTCGCGTCTATATGTGAGGCCACTCAGTGTAAAGGCACCTCCATATTGGGAGAGCCTATAAAAGTATCTTACCACTACAACTAGTACAACTAGCAACATCAAGAACTATGTATCTTCCTGACCCGTCGTACTACAACAAATTACAATTAGAACAAATGAAGCATTGCCATACCAAAAAAATGCTGCCCGCATATCCAATAATCCGCCAGACTGGTGCTAGAAGGTAGTTGCCAGGTAACCAGAGTTCAGGTGGACGAGGAAATTAGAAGGGCAGATGCTTAATAGGTGGTGTATAACCTCCAGAATTCAGGTGGACGAGGACATTAGCAAGATAGATGCTAACCAGAGTTCACGTGGACGAGGACATTAGCAGCAGGATAGATACTGAAGGAGGTGCTAACCAGAGTTCAGGTGGGCGACGACATTAGCACGAGGATAGATACCAACCAGAGTTCACGTGGACGACTACATTAGCAGCAGGATAGATACTGAAGGATGTGCTAACCAGAGTTCAGGCGGACGAGGACATTAGCAGGAAGATAGATGCTAACCAGAGTTCAGGTGGACGAGAACGCTAGAAGGATAGATACTAACTGAAGGAGGTGCTGTAGAAGTGCTATTGTAGTTAGTATAAGAACAAGAAGTCATGTCATGTCAACATCATGCTTCTCTGTCTGTACCCTATAGTTGTACGACGATAATTACGTGCATTTCTTTGTACTTACTTTCTGCTTTCAATCATCTTCTCACTACATAGCAAACTTGTTTCAGATGAAGTTATATCAAAGTTTCTTAATCAAAATCTCGCATCACCACGGCAGCTGACAAGCCATCGACAATGATCTGTGAGTTAGAGCTCACATTGATTCATCTTCTACCTTGCTTCATGCTCTCAGAGTCCAAGAGGGAAACTGAGCCCAAGTTCAAGCTCAGGGGGGTTTCCCGTTTCTCGCCCTGGACCGCGGTCCACGTTTCTTTTTTAGTTACGGCTATATGCTGCCGCCCATTTAATCAACGAAAAACCTCTACCGAGCAATTAAGTAATTTATTACAGACTGGGGGAGCATAAGAGGACCGCACATTCGGCCAACAAAACTACAACTATCGGAAGGGCCGCACTGAGGAAAAGCCAAGATGTCGACCTGTGAAGGTGAATTACTGTGAGCCTTAAGTGAAGCTTCAAAAATCGAGACCATATAGAGGGAGTCAAAATTCCTCATGCCCGTAGCCAAAAGTGCAGCGTTTGTGATCGAAGGATATGAAGATGGGAGGGATATGTTATTGTTTCACTTACTGTCACTCATCATCAACACGCCAGTCATACTAAAGGTAAACTGCCGGCAAGTAGAAGTACTAGTTTACTTATAATAAAGTGAGTGACGCTGCTACTATTAAAAAGAAAGGAGCTCCCGTTCGTAGATGGAGGTGAAAAATATTAGCAAAAGATAGAGCTTTTGCATTCGTTTACCGCATTGCGAAGCTGCATAGGATGGAAAGTTTGAGCATTAGCATTTTTAGATAGTGAATGTGGAAGGTAGTTGGACTACACTACTAGTAGAGGCGCGGCGAGTACTCAAGCAGCCAGTCAGTCCGTCGGCCAGTCAGTCAGCCAGTCACGTAGTCAACCGCATGCGGCCGCCCAACGGGCGGCGGCGCTGGATAGCGGAAGAACGAAGGCCCCAGGCTAACTCTGGACTGTACAAGCACGCCAGTGCCCCCGCTGACCTAGCCCGCAAAAGGCCACCCATAGTAAAAGACCAGCGGCTAGCCGCCTCACGTAGACTGTTACAAAGAACCTCAGGCGCAAACTATCTGCTACCGTCTATGGACTGCTCTGCCCGCTTCATTCGCTTACGCTGTGTCGGGCTAATGGAGGAGGGGCCCTCCCCACTCAGTTGAGGAAGAGAGCCGCGCCCCCGGCTGATCACTGGACAATGTCACGCGGGCACATGGTCAGGCTATCCTTCCTCGTTCGCAACCTTTTACGCAGAAACCCACGCCAGAGACCTCAGAGCATGCCGGGCCGGCTCTCGCCGCACTTCTCCACTGACGGAGAGGCCCGACATCCGCCACCCATCGCGCCTCCCGACACGGAGTCATTGGAAGCCACAAGGGTCCCAACAAAAAAAGACTGAATTTGGTGCGAGGGGGCCGCGTTGGACTAGGCCCGCAAGCCAGACGCTCACCGCCACCGACGCGGCGGATGGGGTCTTTCTGCTAAAAATTTCAGGGCCATCAGGCTGCGCTTGGTTTCAGCTAAGCCGCCTTTATTTGTCTTAGAGCTCTTGCTCCTCTTTCTTTTGTTCTTTTCTGTTTCTTTCCTGCTTTCTTTTCCCTTTATGTCTTCAGCTTCAAGCTCAGGCCCCGTATGCCCGGCCTGTTCTCCCCCGCTTCCACCCTTTGCCCCTCCCCTGCTTATCTAAGAGACCTAGCGCCCAGGCCAGGTTGCCTGACAGCTCGCCGGCGTTTGTGCCCCACGCGCCGCCCACCGCCTGTCTGGTGCGGACTGCTTTGGTAGCGTTGGCCTGCCACTCTGGAGGCGTATTCAGCTCCTACCCCTCCTTGCTGGGCTTCGGCTCCTTCTTTTTCTTGGGCCAGGCGGGCGGCGTGCTGGGGAGGCCCCGCTCGGCTAAGACGCGGCCGGTGTGCCTCTTGGGGTCTCTCGCTACCAGCTCCACAGGGTCGGTCATGGTATGAGCCACGCTGCCTGGGACCAGTGGGCACCCCGCGACGAGGTGGCCGACTAGCTGGCAGCACAGCTCCCCGCCAAAGTAGGCCCCCACCAAGGCGCCACCTCCTCGGCACCGGCAAGCTTGCTGAGCACCTCGCGCACTTCACTTCGGGAGCAAACCGCTAGCCCTGATTACCGGGCAAGCGCCTCTCCAGTTGTCAGTCAATCAATCAGGTTGCCTCAACAGGTTAGAGCTCTCGCTAATTCATCCCTGTGGCAATCCCTCAACAATATGGCACAGTATTCCCCTTGTATGGGGATGCATATTGTTGAGGGATTCCTATAGAGATGGATTAGGGGTAGCCTTAAACAGGGCAGCGACTAGTACTCACTCAGAGCATCAGATTGACGATTGAGTATTGATTAGTAAAAAAGGGTAGTAGAACAAGTGCGACAACTTCTAGTTTTCAGTGCCAACAATAAGCATAGAAGGCGTGTTGATGGAGGACAAAGATGGCTTTTATCACCTAAGACTTGAAAGCCCGGCGTGGGGCCTCACTCTAAGTACAAAAAGAAAAATAGTTATTCCGCATAAAAAGAACAAGGCTCCACCAAGAATTGAGCAGAGGAGAAATGTGTCAGTCCAGAAGAGAAGGAAAATCCCACGAAACCCACCGTCTGTATGGCCTAGGCCCAGGAGCTGCATCAGGAGCTTCATGCAGAACATATTACCAGACATGCCACCTGGTCGGACGCGTGGGGTTGATGCTGTACTCTGGTAAAGTGCCTATCATTTTGCTCCTGCTCCAAGAAAAAGAGTGGTGTGGAAAGAAAAAAATATGCCACCTGATTGGACGTGTGGGATTCCGATTGATGCCGTGGTACTCTAGTCAAGTGGTGGAGAGAAAGAAATATGCCAACTGGCCAAGTGGGTGTGGGGTTAACGTTGAAGCTGCATGAGAGTGAGGAGATAGGCACACATTTTTTTGGCAGGTAGCAGCTAAATTTCTTTCTAAAGAGTCAGCTTCTTTCGCAAGGAAAAATGTCAGCAATTGATGACTCTCTACTCAGATAGTACCAGCAGTGATTCCAATGCTGAAGCCCCTGCGGAAGTCGTGCTTGGGTAGCCGGTGCTGCAGTACTAGATTGCCAAAAACGAAGAGCATAAAAAAAAAGACTTCGCTTAGAAGAACTTCAAGCGCAGACCCTACGCGGTCTACCTCTCTTAGTGGTCGTGGTCTTCCTTGTCGTGTTTCCTTCAACTACGTCTAGACCACTACTCCACACTCCAGACTGTCTAGAGATGTTGCCTTAAGTAGCACTGAGTCCGCAAAGAAAACCAGATAAATTCGATCTTCCTCTTGTTCCACTCGTCATCTTCTTGCTTCACTGCGAAAGAAACCGTTGATATTATACCCACTAGTATGCATGTGATTAGAGCAGAAGTATCTGCATGGTCGTGTCCCATTTAGTTTTACTACACCCCAAGCCCTATGACTGAACAAAACAGTTCCAGCAGGTGGATGTCACCGAAGTGAAAACTGTATTGCAGCACCAGATAAAAACGACTGTGACGCTCTTTAGTAGAAGAGCAGATGATATTAACTAGGTGCGTGGAGTAGAATCCATAAAAGTATGCCAGCTATCCGACCACAAGATAGATGCTCACCCAAAGTAAAAGGCGCAAGTATCGTGTTCCAGACCTGACTGATTTTGATGAGTCGAGAGTGATTATCTACTTATGTACGATAATAAAACTAGAGTAATTTATAGGGGTGCCAGATCCGGGATGGGATGGATCGGATGGATCGGATGGACTTCCCACCATTTCAAGTAGGATCGGAAGAATCAGGGGGGTCCATCCGATCCATCCAAGTCCACCCTACATCCGTTCTATAAACTACTCTATAAATATAGAACGAGACAGGGGCGACTTTCCCCCTGCCCCGATCAAAAGTTCTGGGACAGCCTTTCCAGAGCAAGCTTTCTGGGGCAGCCTTTCCAGGAGAGACTTTGTCTTCTGGAGCACCCTTCCCGCTTCCCAAGACAGGTTTTCTGGAACACCAACTCCAGAACAGCAACAGCTTATCTGGGACACCCTTCCAAGAGGAGGTTTTCTGGGGCACCCTTTCCGGAACAGGTTTCCTGGAGCAGCATTTCCAGAACATGTCTCCTGCAACAGCCTGCCCAGAACATAGCTACTGGGTCAACCTTACCAGAACAGGTTATCTGGGGCACCCTTTCCAGAAAAAGTTTTCTGGAATACCTTTTCCAGGACAGGTCATCTGGAACAACCTCGCCAAGACACAACGCCTGGCGCAGCCATTCCAAGACAGGTCGCCTGGCGCAGCATTTCCAGAACAGGACCTCTGGGGCACCCTTTCCAAAGCAGGTTTTCTCGAACACCCTTCCCAGAAATAAAATAAAGGCGTCCTGGGGCACCCATTCCAGAACAAGATTTCTGGGACAGCATTCCCAGAAAAGGTTCTCTGAAACAGCCTGCCCAGCAGAACGCAGGCTCTGGGTCAACCTTACCCAAACAGGCTACCTGGGGCACCCTTTTCAGAAAAAGTCTCCTGGGGCACCCTTTCCAGAACACGTTTTCTGGGGCAGCCTCTCCAGAACGCAATTTCTGGAGCAGCCTTTCCAAGGCAGGCATTCTGGCGCAGCCTTTCCAGAAGAGCACTGCCAAGAACAAAAGGGACGGAACAGCCGGCCCAGAAAAAGATGCTCAGAGAAGCCTTTCGCTCCAGAACAAGTTTCCTGAAACAGCCTGCCCAGAGCGCAACCGCTGGACGAACCTTACCAGAACAAGACCTCTGGACAACCCTAGTCATGACTTTGGGACACGCATGCAATTTCAGCGGAAAATCTTGAGACAAGGAGAATGGGGCAGGGGGGCTAGTTACAACGACAGGCGCCCAGTGCCGCGAGCCCGCAGCCCGAGGGCCCACCAAGCTAAACGGACCCCCGCAGAGGTAGAAGACTCCGACGCGAAGAAATCTCCAAAGTTCGACACGCGACCGATTCCGCGATCGGCACAATTTCACCGGACCCCTGGCCACACCTACAGCAAGAAAAGACACGCCTGCCACCTAGGCAACGGCAAGCCACTCCGCCGCCTGTGCATCGAACGAGAAAGCACGGCCACGCACCCCCGAGGGCCGGGAGTCGAAGAACTGCCACGCGAGCCTGCTGTCTGCACCCCACAGCCAAAAGCACGGGCGCAGCGCCCCCCGACGCGTCCAACGGCCTGTAGACGAAGCTGCAGAACGCGCCATGACGAGGGCCGCAGTACGTAGTGGCAGTTTGATCGTGCTCCGGGAACCAACTCTGAAAAAGCTGAGGTCTGCGTCAGACGCCAGGACTTTCGGTCTCGAAAGCCTCACTTCTGAGAATTGGCAAAAGTCTGGCGTCTGACGCGGGCGCCAGGGGTTTTTCCGGTCCGGGAACCGACCGAGTGCACCAGACTGAATCAGTCCCCGGACAGAGAAACGCCCTCAAGTTCAGCGCAGACCTCAGGCTTCCGGGAGGTCTCAGAAATTCTGAGACGTCTGAGAATCCTGGCGTCTGACGGAGACGCCAGCCTTTGTTGGGTCCTCAGGCTGGCTGGCGAACGTCTGCGGCTGCAGCTCCCGTCAAACCGCTGCTCCATAAAAAGGACAAGCGCAAAAGCGCTCGCGACGATGGGACTGCCACTCCGACGAATGCGACCACTAACCAAAGAAGCAAAATCACGGCCCCGCAGCGCGGCACGCGCTTCTACCGCGGACCCAGCTGCGGGAACCGCACCCAAGACGCGGGAAACTGGAGAATGCCTGCGACGCGCTTCTGGCGAGGGGGTCGCCGTCGCTGCAAGCAAGCACACACAGGGCACGGGTCGCCCCCATACTATGCGGCGCACTCCAGTTCCAGCAATAGCGAGGAAGAGCAGAGAGGCTGAGGAATCGACCACCAGGGGCGCCGGCTCCTTTCGCGGTGCTCTCTATATGGACACGATTCACCCAGTGCAACCTACTGAAAATTTTCCGCTGCGAGAGTATCCTAGCAACACAAGCCACGAAACCCTTTCCAGAACAAGTTTTCTGGGACACCCGTCCCAGGAAAGTTTTCTGGCGCACCCTGTCCAGAGCGCACAGGCCTTCTGGAACAGCCTCCCCAGAACGCAACTTGTGGAGCAAACTTTCCAAGGCCGGCCTTTTGCGCAGCCTTCCAGCCTCTCCAGAGCAGGTTTTTAGACCCTACCCAGCACAAAAGTTCTGAGACAGCCTCTCCAGAACAAGACTGCTGGGACAGCCTTCCCAGAACAGGTTTTCTGAATAAGTAAGCACTTCCAGAAGAAGATACCTGGGGCCCAGCCACACACAGCACACACACAGCCGCACACACCCACAGCCACATACAACCACAGTCACAGGCACACACAGCCACAGGCACACACCGCCACAGGCACACACAGCCACAGGCACACGCGGCCACATCCACACACAACCACAGCCACACACAACCACAGCCACACACAGCCACAGCCACACACAACCACAGCCACACACACCCACACACAACCACAGCCACACACAACCACAGCCACACACAACCACAGCCACACACAACCACAGCCACACACAACCACAGCCACACACAACCACAGCCCCACCCCACCAAAGGCCACACACAACCACACACAACCACAGCCCCACCCCACCAAAGGCCACACACATGCCCACACGCGGCCCACCCGTCCGCGCGTCTATCTACCCGCACACCGATCCACCCGCGTACGGGTTTGCCCGCCCACAAACGCACCGAGCGCGCTTGTTCCTGAAACCTAACGACATGGCCGGCGACCTGCAATGTACACCACGCACACGACTATGTAGACCACAGGACTGGACTTGTTGATGTAACTGTATTAACTCCCTAAAAATACAATGAAGGAACTAAAACGTAGTATATTTATATATACTTTGAAGGTAGTTCTTGAAGTTGTGGCCATGTAGAAGCTTCTACTTCTTCCAAACCTGCAGTGTTTTAATAGCGAAGACCTTTGATTTCTGGATTGTAAACTCCAAAATATTAAAATATCGAATTATAGTACCACTCCCAATCCACTGAGAGGAGTAATCAAGGATTGCGCTACTCCTTTGTAAGCGAAAGCGTCAAGGAAAGGGCCAATAAAAGCATTGATGAAGATTCCGCTGACGCACAGGCCGCGCCCCAGTCGCCACCGCTCGACGTCGAAAGAACTCGAACTATCTTTGGAGGAAGAACTCAAGATGTTTTTTTCGGATTGGAAACATGACAGCTTCCTCGGTTTTTGTTGTTGATGCAACTTCAAGGTTCTCGTTCTGGGAACAAGTGCTAGTGCGTTGTTTTCGTTAAATTTAGATGAGAAAGCACATCTATAATCGTGAAGGAAATTCTTGCAAGACTACTAGTGTACTTGCTTTCATCGCGGATACGGATAGCGTGATCAAAAGCAAGTGGCTACTAGCCCAACTACGAGGACATCTTCAAAGGTATAATAGGTAAGTCCTTGATGATGGTTTTATCTTCTAAAAACATAAGCTTAAGCTCTCTGATGGTAGCAGGAGAGTCTTCACCTAAATGGTAGCATGCTCAACTTGAGGTAGCGATCGATCTACTCTAAGGCAATCTAAAACTACAACATCTCAAGCAATGTAAGCTTTTATTTGTTGTTATGATCGCCTTAACTATATCGGACTGCATAAATATCCTGAGAGGCTCCTCTTCTAAACCTTTTCCTTTCTCGTCCTTGCTGCATGCATCCCCCGCAACATGGCAGTAAAGATTCGACGAACATACTCCTACTTGTACTCTTACTCTAGATATTAATAAATCATAGTTAGATTTTATTGAGCAAAACTAGTACAACGAGTAGTGATAAGAACCCTTAGATAAGGGCACACGAGGACAAGGACGCCCTTCTGCTCCCGCAGGCAACTGATACAAAATTATGATCGTAAGTACGTCGGCATCTATATTACGCCACGTGATATTCAAACTATAGATACAAGTAACAGCACCAGCCCAAGGAGTTTCGGCTAGTGCTTCCTGATTGTAAAAAATCCACTAGTGAGACTAACCAAGGTAGATTCTAAAAAACGCTTAATATCAAGTGCTGTCTAATAAGCCTACACCAATCTATGTATCCTAAGCTTTATTCCTCTCTCATCCCCATCGCCGTTATCGCTGACGCTCCGACCGCTTCGTCTAGGGGCAAAAGAAAACGTGCTGGCTCGTGTTGGCCTGCTTTCAGACTCGTCAGGGGAGGAAAAACACCGAGACGAAACCCCAGATACTGCAGTCAACACTGGAGGGGAAAATGAAAGTAGGGTGAGATGATAGGAGAATAGAGACGGAGATGCGAGCGAGAGGACCTTATTTTAGAACCAGAGTGCAAAATGATGAACAACATCGATTTTCAGTGGCTCATCAAATAAATAAACACGAAGTAGATTCGCACCGACTGCAAAAAGGAACAACTTTGTCGAGATCGGTATCACGGTCACTCATTGTCTTCATAAAATGATCACAACAACAGAATCGCAACCAGTGTTCTGGACGTCTGCTGCATCAGAGGAACGATTCGCGTGTTGAAGCATGACTAAATCGGCAGCGTGCTTCACCTGTTCGCCCACGATCTGCCCACCCAAAGTTAGAGCTACCGCGTTAGCATTTTCCTCTTTCAGAGATATAATATCCGTGGAAGTTGCTTCTTTTTCAAGTAGAAAAAGTAGAACCACGAAGGGTGAGAGTGGAAGGACATGCTTGAGGAGCGGAAGCCCTAACAAAGAGGACCCTGATGTTGAAAACTCAGCGTTCTTTTCCTCTTGTTTGTTCTCGTACCTCTCTAGGGGAAACCCAACTTTTCCCTCTTGTTCGTTCTCCAAGGCTCTGCCTTCATGTTCTGACTCTGATGCTGAAGTCTTATTGCAAGACGAAGACCGTCTGCGGCCTCCCTTTTTTCGAGGAAGCAAACTCCGCGTGTTAGAAGATATTCAATCATTATTTTTCCTAAAATATAAGTAAAACCATATTATTAACTACCAAGTAGAATTGCTACTATAATTCGCATCTTGATGTTGGATCTACTTACTAAACAGCCTCCTTCATTGCTTGATGCACTTTTACCACAAGATTCCTTCCTCCAAGATGAAGCACTTCTGAAAATGGTCCCACCGAGATGTACTTCTACCAAAGGTACAACTGGTAGACGAACATCTAGAAGTGGGCAATCATCTCTACGACCAGAAGGAAATGTCGCTGTTCCAGGCTCTTCGCCTGGTTGGGAACAATTCTTTGCGCTTTTGGAGTCTCTTAGGTTATGATATTGTGTCTGATCTTCTGAAAATGGTCCCACCCAGATGTACTTCTACCAAAGGTACAACTCAGAAGGGTTCTAGTAAGAGGTTCCAAGATTTGCTTGATGAGTCGAAAATGGAGTTCATCCATATTAGTCATAATTTTCTCCTCCTGACGAGGCGTTTCCTCTCTGTCTGTCGAGGTATAATCGTCATCTTCATCAGACAGTTCTTTGTACTCATGGCCGTCCTCGTGATCATATTCTTTTGCCCACTTCGAGTTCGACTCCCCATGATGCCGTCTGGATATTAGATTGTATTTAGACAGAGTCATAGACAGAGTCAAACAGCGGAACTCGAAAAACAGACTTAGATCGGGGTCCTGTTCTGGGGCATTCTATTTCTATACGAGTACTGGTCGATCAGTAGTAACAGTATGCACTACGTGAAGTAACAACGTAAACTCTTGAATAAAGACCGCAGCTATCATATCGTCTACGGATCGCACTGACTATGATCTTCATGTTAATAACAACTGGTAAGCGTGAGAGAAGAGCCGGGAAGTAGGAGAGAAGATCTAATTACTATAATATTCTAGAATGATCACAGTGCGCTATTCTGTGATATCTTCATGTCAATAAAGCAATGCCGTGATCTCGATCAGAATCAACATGTGTAAATGCAATACATGACGCAATATGTCAATGCTTATGCTGCAACCCTGTGTCCATATCTTCCTACCGCCCTGGCATCTGCTCGCTGTCCCTCTACTTCGATTAGCGGTAAGCTTTTGGTGTTCGCTCTCCCCGCGGGGGGCTTTCTGCCTTTTCCCTTTGAGAAAGGGAAAACGAACGGCAATATGAACACCTAAAGCCTACTCTGCTTAATATGAGGACCATCCTCTCCAGATGCCGAGAGCTCGACGAGCTTGCCGATCCGCATGAGCTGCTTACCGGCAGTTCCGCACAACGTTGATGCAACTTCCAAGGCCACATTTCGAACCCACGCATACTCCATAATTTTAGTGTTGGGGAATGGAGTATCCGCCGAATGTTCTACAGAGAGCCTATGCGTTGACTTTCACGGACGAAGAAGCAACAGGAGCTTGGACCCGTGTTTGTCTCGATGATATTGGAAAGAGAAGCCCAGAGCAAGTACGTTATTGACGATGTTGGACGAAAGACACGATGAACTGCGTCTAGGTGTACCACGTGACCCACTTCCTCTACTTCCAGGAGGTCGTTGTGCTGGAATTTCTCCTGCTACTCAGTAACAGTAGCTACAGTTACTGAACTCCTTGTCTTTCCGCGGCTGAGAATGAATCGATTTAAGGAGGACCGCAAGAATTATAGTCTAACATGCGCCTCCCAGTTGCAGCGCTGGACTGTGTTGGAGTTGGTTCTCCTCGACGTGGTCTCTGTACCACTATATCATTATTTTTACGCGCTGTGTGTGGATATCCTGCTTAGCCTACACTATTATACTTCCTCGTACTTTCTGCGTCCCTTCCGCGTGTGAGGCAAATAGTGAATCACACAAGGACAGTAGTGCTTGTTCCAAGTCGTGCTCGTGTCGAGACTTCAGCAAGGCGCATTACTTTGGTCCAGTCAAGTCCGAGAACAAATTACAACAAGTTGGAGCAGGCATACAAGTTGAAGATGTTGGAGCAGGCTCCTTTCTATCCACATAATAGCACGCTCAACTTGAGGTAACAATAGATCCACTCTACTATTGATGGCCTCTTTCTATCCAAGTAAGTTCTTGAAGATTTTTTTCTGTAGGGCCATGCTTATCTGAAAGGGAAGAGCTTGCGTGTTTAATATCCGAGTGTCGTGGTCTTCTTTCTTCTACTCGAAGATGTCATGCCTGCCGTTGATGTTCATCTTCGTCCAAAAAGTCAATAAATCTTTGCTCCGCAATGACAAATGCAGCTGGAGGTCGTACTAGAGAAGATGAAGATGCAAGACTCCGCAAACTCAACAATACTGGAGGTTGTGGAGAAGTAAATGCAGATCAAGATGATATACTTGCACACAGAGTTCAAAATGCCGGGGAAGATCGCGCAGCTGCTGAGCTTGTTGGACGTTGAGAAGATGATCCGGCCAGAGTCCTCTGGAGATCTCTATTGGTTGAGATGGGACTACTGTTCCTGTGGCTGTACAGGTAGAAGATACTCGAAGATTTTCCTCTGACAGAAGACTCGGTGCTTTTGGTTTTGTAGGAAACAGAAGGAGATGACACGTCAGACGAGACGTAGTTCCACTGAATAGGTAATGGCAAACAGGATGTTGTGATGATCCCGCGAAAATGGCAGACGAAGAGATGTAATCAGGAGGAGAGGGAAAACATCGTGTATAATGGTGGAGTAGGTGCTGTGGAAAACTACTAAAACTAAATGGGATAGAAACATAAATCTCTTTCTAGTAATTGTACGACGATATTTTCAACAAAATAAGCAAATTGTGTATACAGCTGTGCTAAACTAGTACGACGAGAATTATGTATACAGCTGTGCTAGACTAGTACGACGAGAATTATTTATACAGCTGTGCTAGACTAGTACGACGACTATCATGAACTGACACTTAGAAGCTCTCCAAAATGATCTGTAGCGACAACAAGCCAGCGCAACACAATACGAATAATCTGTACGACAACTTATTTAGAAGTCGTTACGAGTAGTACAACGTATGATCGATATCTTCTACTACATTAATTATTCTCAAGATTGCCATGAAGATGAACATCTGTCATAGGTTAGAAATCGACTATACAACTACGTGGAAGTGCTAATCGTGTACGTATTATTGTTTGACAGGTAACTAGTGCCTAACTTGAAATTAACGTTAAAAGTGATCTTGTCGGTATGTATGTAGCACGTTGCAGCTCACCAACATTCCCGTTCAATTGTCGTGCTGTAATATTCTCATAGACTTAATAGTAGATAAGAAAGTACAATGAAAAAGACTAGAATGATTTTTGCAGACGATTACAACGTTGTACTGAATTTCAAAATACTTACCCTCGGTATGACAAATCCATCTTGTTTCTCATGACTAGGCGAGTCCTCTCATATTTTTTTTGGTGCCTGGGTCTACAATTTCCCGCTATAGTTCCATTTTTTTAATTACGTTAAGCCTTTGGGCAGTAGGGCGACTAGTACTTAAGCAAGTCGGGAGCCTATGTTGTTGAGTTGATTGTGAAATAGATTGACGACGTCAGGAGCTCCCATCCTCGTCCATAACAAAAGTTCTTGTAAGGATATCAGATCGGCACTTTCTCGCATCCTGAAGGCCTGTTCACTCTTCGAGTGACGCCACGTATCTGTATCTCCGTAATATACTAACTATCATCTCTCACCACGACCCTTCTCATGTTGAGCACAAGCACAACATGATCCTCTTCCAGCACTCATCATACTGAAATCAATGACAGATGCACAATAGGCGATTGATGGATCTTTTTACCATTTTCACCTTAGAGTCTCCAGATGAAACAAAGGCAATGACACTCTCCTTGTTTTTTCTAGATGCAACAAGAACTTCAAGGAGCAAATGAACACAACTTTTTTATCTTTTTGAGCGACGCCTCGCACGTTGATACAACGCGACCCTCTTATAAAAGCGACGCCCTCATCTTCGTCATAGTGCGTGACATCGTTATGAATGTGTTGCTTCAATAACGAAGACGATGGAATACATAATCATACTTGATGTACCATCTACTTTGTCCTGTTGCTCCATAAAAACCTCAATCCTCAATACGAACATGCAGCAGCACCTCCAGCATCATGCAATGTTTGAAGTTTTTCATGTACATCTTTCATGGTTGAGCGATTACGCAGTAGCTTCGGGACCTCTAAACATCCGACTCTTAGGCCAACACGAGACCGCGCGTCCAATCCACTCGTCCAATTTTCGTCGAAAAAAAATCCGGCTATCGCTTCAAGCTGTTCGATCTCCTTTTCTACCCCGTTCCCGTCTTCGAAGAGCCTTCTGAGGTTAGAAATAAGCCCGCCCCTTAGTATAGTTTAGTCATAGTATAAGATTCCCCAACAAGGAGAATCTTTTACTTCAGGTTCTTGCAGCTCTTGCAGTATTTGTAGCCAAATTGAGAGAACCCTGAGTAGAGAATAATGATTATAAGTTGTTCCCCAGAGAAGTTGAGAGAACCCTGAGTAGAGAGAACCAGAGGAAGGAAGAGGGAACACTTGTCATTGCTTTCATCTACTATGGTACCCGGCGTGGGCAAGAAATCTAATCTACAACGGCATCTTTCTACAACGGAATCATTTAGTATTAGTTGATGTACTACCCTGCCTTTTTATAAGTAGATACCGAAATACTATTTGTAATTGTACCAATCTTAATCTTCAATCTTAATCACACCTTCTCCGTCAACGTTGTCGCTGGCATCGCGTAGAAACGTCGCGTCCTGAGTATCAATGCCCAACCGTTTCTCTACGTAAAACCGCAAGGTAGAACAGATCGTTCGCAGGATCTCGGTCTCTACCAATCTATCTGTGTCATAGGCCAGGCGATGCAAAAAACTCGGCAGCACATTAAACGACGCGAAAGGGCGACGACAAAACTTAGAAGATACTGAGGAGGAAGATGGATGTCATGTGATGTGTGCGTCTCTGCTGGTGAATGGCTCCAGTATTTGGTAGCCTGAATTTGATCACAAGGATTCCCTTCTTGTTTTCCCTTATGATCAAAATCAGGTTACCGAATACCAGAGCAATACAAATGCTGTCCATAGCTGCATCCGTAGAGACGAGTCTTTGACTTTGTATCTATATGTATTTGTTAATTCTTCCTAAATTTAACGAGTTAAAAAAGACTCTTAGTCTTATATGAGGAGGTGCTGTATCGGAACAATGATTTACAGGCCTTAACAGTCAGGAGCTCAAACAGCAGCATGCCCAGACTCCAACTGTCAGCAGCTCTTGTCGGTCTCTCGTGGGGATATCTCGCTAACTCTGGGGCCAAATATATTGGATCAAAATCGGAGGGCGCCGTTGCATTATTGAGGAAACTCGTGTTTCTTTCAGGTAATAGAGAACTTGCCTCACCCCCACGAGGAAGAGAAGAAGCAGAGTTCTTTTCTTCATGTTCGACTTTGCTGATATTGGAATTAGAAGTGGCCTCGTTACAGGTTTTTTTGGTACTCACACAGAAAGTATAGTTTTTTGTGAAGACTAGCTTTACTCTATTTTTACCGTAGAAGATAGAGTTAGTATTTCTAGGACTACTCATTTAGTATTCGTGCATAGAATGAGTATTCTCACTGTTTTCAAATAAAGTAGCAGGGTACATTATTTTCACTGTTTTCAAAAGTAGCACGATAGATACCTCAAATTTTTCCTGTTCTTTCATTTCATTCTATCTTTAACTTGCGAGTGCCTGTCAAAAGAAATACTAAGTATGTAAGTTACTAAGCAATGTAACTCAAAATGCAGTGAGGCGTTGGTGGTAATTCACTTCTACTGCTTTGATATTATGAAAAAGCTCCTGTTCCCGTTCCCCAGAGTACTTACTACAGCTAGTAGACTAGAAGAAGGTGATAAAAGTACTAGAAGGTGTCCTAGTCTTAATAGAAGCCCCATCTGAGTTTTCTTGTTCTTCTGCAGAGCCTCCATCGGTATAAAAGATCATTCCTAGCATTCCTGGTGACCATCGCATTGTCGTAGCAATATGGACAATAAGACACTGCTCCAAAGTTGTCCGACTGAGAACATTCTTTCTATCATCTTCCTCAACATCTCCCGCGCTTATGTTGTTTGTTGGCGGAGTTGTGTTTGTTGGTTCTTCATTTGTTGAAGACCCTTTATTGAAGACCCTTGTGTTTGCCCATGGAGGACATCCCGGTCGCGTGAGCTTGGGTACTAAACGAAGACCCTGTGGCAATCGACGTGTTTTTGAGCGTGCTGTTGCAGGAGCTTTGGTAATACTGGTAGTGCTAGAAGTAGAAGGTGCTGGCTTAGCTTTATTGGGACTAGTAGTACTAGTATTAAATAAGCGTGTAACTGATGTAACATCAGTATTGATAATACGAGTAGAGGGTCGTTTGGCTCCTAGTCCTCGGAGAGATGTCTCGTCGACAGATGAAAGGGGCTTGACGACTTCTGTTGGGGCGCGGCATTCTGATCCAGTTCCCCTGTTCTGCAAATGATAGAAGTAAGAAGATGAAGAAGATGAGCACGATGATCCTAGTACTTTCATGAGTATGAAGATCATCAACAGCATGAACATGATGGAAATCGTTGCAATCCCATAGTGACAAAGATCACACCACTGGAGTACCATGCTAATGATGTGGATCCTTATCGTGATACTTATGAACAAGAAGGTCCACACATTTGACAACTTTGCAACCGCATGAGAATCATGCAAAACCTTCACGATTTGCACAACTGAAACAAGCCGGGAATTATATAAAAAAGCGCATCACCACAAGGGTGAAAATGTACAGTCCTAGTGTTCACAAACAGTGAGTTATTAGCCTTTTATACGCGCACTAGAATATTTTTTTTTGACTTAGAACCCACCAAATTTTTGACTTTTTTGGTCTAGTATTTTTTTGGTTTTTTAGGTTAGAAAAATTTGGCGTCTTCGTTCCTGTACGCAGTGGTAGTCCCGATTCAGTCGGATTTTGGCCCCACGCGTTTCTCCAGGCGGCATTGTTCTTCGATACGTCGAAAGCGATCCCGTCGACCCTAAAGCAGACTCAGCATCTGCTTCACAAAAATAAACCAACTTTAGCCCAGTGGCGGGGCAACTAAAACAAAACAGAAAAGGCACCAAGCTCCCGACTTAGTCGGCAGCAGCCATAAACAAAAGTCTGTAGCTGTTCGGGTGTGGCTCCTCGACAGTAATTCAGATTAGCTTTGGCTACGGCCTCAGCTAGACAAGAAAAAAAAGTCTCACGGTACGACCGAAGACAGGGCAAAGCCGTCGCCACGGCACACCTAAAGACCCTCGGACTGAGTCCGACGGCACCTAAGAAAGAGAAAAACGAGCTTTCGCGAAACGCGACTGCTTCAAAAGTAAAAACCTGCGCTCGCCCAGGCGACCGCAACACCACAAAAAGACGCGTCCTTCTTCGTTTGGCGGAGAAGTTCGTGCGCCCGAAACCCCGGAAGGGGCGATATCGCGACACACGGCTGCGCGTCCATCTAACACCTTGTCTTTTTTCGGCAGATTTTGTTACTTGCCCTTTGACGTGAGTCGGATCCCGTGCAAAATCTCCCCATAAAGAGGCTTGCACAGTGGGAAAGCTAGCGGCAATTCGCCAAGGCGCGATATCTCGGGTGCTTCGGTGGTGATCAGGATCCCACCCCACTGAAAAAAAAAAATGGCCCCAGCCATGAAAATTTACGCTGCGCGCGTGAAGCGCTTGGAGCAGTATGTCATCAGTGGAATGGCGTTTGTCTACATTGAGCCAGAATACTACAATGCCGAAAGAAAAGGCAGCACCAAGTACAGGCGCGGCGTCATCAACGTCGACGGCTCACCTGACTACGAAGATGCCGAAGTAGACTGCTACCCCTCGGAAGCACACGGCGGCGGCAGATTCGTCTACTGCAAAATCAAGAGGGAAGACTGGCCTGAGGGTGCTAAACCTCTGAAAGAGGGAGACCCACTCTGGGAAGAGCGAGTTCTGAAATCGCAAATTGATGCTTGCCTCCAGGAGATAAATACTCTCAAAGAGGACAACGAAGTCGGTGAAATCTACAGTAGCCTAATCGACAACCATACGGACTTCGCCAAATCGGACGAAGAGGAGGACCCCTCGCAAACGGGTGAGGAAACCCCTCCACCGGCGGAGGAGGATGAAGACAAAACACCGTGGAAAACGGTGGAGTCGCGCCGCAGGATAAAGGTCGAGCAAAACATAGTGCCACTCAAAAAGATTGAGGAGCACGATATGTGGCTCAAGAAGCTCGCAAAGTTTCGCGCGACGTATGAGCGTCATCTCGATTTGGATGATCTCGTCTATCGCGTCGAACAGTCCATCAAGATCGGACAAGAATGCGCCGACCACCTTGCGACGAAAACCTTCGCAACCGTCGAGGAACTGCTGGAAGAACTAGAGCGGTGGATAAATCCCCGTCAACAGCAGAAAATCTGGGATGACTTTTGGCAGCTCATCGAGTTCCAAGCATCCTCAAAAAACGTTGTCAGCGCGGAGCGAGATTTCCGCATCATATATGCCAAAGTCAAGGGCATGACGATGGAGCAGGTTGCAGGAATGTGCTACCTCAAAGGCATCGGGAGTGACATCCCTTCGCAAGAAATGCAGGGAATCCAAAGAGACCTCAGAGGCGACTTCGAGTTGGAGAATGTTGTCAAGGAAACAAAATACTCCTTGCATAACAAAGTCAACTTGGACGGGCGCGCTGCTACACGCACGCCGGGCGCTGAGGAAGTCTTTCAAGTCACGGACCCACCTGCAACATTCAAACAGCACAAAGCTGGCACGTGCTACAACTGTGGCTCTTCGGCGCACACGATGTGGCAATGCACCAAACCAATCTCCGAACAGGCAAAGAAGATACTCTCCAGGCAGGCTCAAAAGAAGACAGAGGTCAGTGGAAAAGGTAAAGGTAAAGGTAAGGGCAAAGGAAAAGGTAAAGGAGGAAAATATGGAGGATCGCAAAACAAGGATCAGCCTAAGGGCATGACTACCAATCCATCCGGGTCAGGCAAGAAGAGGGACGGCATCGCCTCGCGCATCACAGTGCTCGGCGGCGCTGTGCCGCCGTTGTGACTCAACAGCGAATCTCAAAAGAGAAGGATGGAAAACCTTGGGACGGGATTAGTATCGTACTCGGTCCCCGTGCCCAAGGTAAGAAGATCCAGTGGCGGGTGGCGTCCACCTGGATCAGAAAGCCTCCATGGGATGCATGGAGCAAAGGAACGAAGTGTACACTGGATCGATTTCCTTCGTGAGAAGGGAGTTGATCTCGTCAATGCTATTGACAAAGACAGTCTGGCGCCGCGGCAACCTCCGTCGTGTGCGTGCAGGCAAGACTCGCAAAAGGATGGGTGTCCCATCTGCGAGCCAGTCGTCAGCGAGGGCGACCAAAAACAACTTCTCGACACGTCGCAGCATCAGTCCGCGACGGGACAGAAAGAAGGAACTCGGCAGCCCTTGGATCAGGCGTGCATGCGCACGGTTCAAGAATTCGAAAGCATCCTTCTGCACACTGTCAGCGATGAGATCGAAACTGAGTGGATCTTAGACAGTGGAGCCACAATATTTTGTGTCAAAGACTCCAACATGATCCGTGCTCCGACCAAAGACGGCGGGAAAATCCAACAAGCGGATGGATCGCATGTTAATGGCGGCTACATGGCATCACTACGGACACTAACGGCAGACAACGGGCATAAGTTGGCCCTTCGCCGTGCGTACTATAATCCGAAAATGGCGCGAAATATCGCCAGTCTCAGTATGCTCTTGGACGCAGGTTTTACCGTCACAGAAAATTTCGACGGACTGCGAACACCTAGCGGGACGCTGATCCCAATCACAAAGAGGGGAGGACTATACTTCTTCCGCCTCAGCTACAGGCCTGACCTGGACTCGGGAGAGCTCAACGTGACCCAAGAGGTCATCCACAACAGGATGGGGCATTCAACCTACATGCCGTCCTGTGAGGCTTGCCGACTGAATAAGGCTCGCCGGAAACCGTTCAGCAAAGAAACGCGCGAACGACTCCTCCCGACCGAAGCTGGGCACACAATCAGCGTGGACCTCTGCGGGCCGCTACCTGAATCGATAGGCGGCAACCGCTACTGGGCCATCATCGTGGATAGATATGACTCGTGGGTAGAAGTCTTCCCAATTGCGCGCAAAAGCGACGCATACACCGGACTCCAGAAATGGATGGACATGTTTGGAGTGCCGAAAGTCTGCCGCTCGGACAACGGAAAAGAATTCGACGGCGACTTCCTCAAACTGTTGAGAAAGCACGGCATCAGGCCGCGCAAGACATCACCGTACTCACCGGCGCAAAATGGTAGCGCGGAAGTTCATAATCGTCTCGTCATGCAGGGGATGAAGTGTCTCCTAGATACAGCGCGACTCCCAGACACCTATTGGGGTTTCGCGGCACAGGCATTCTGCTATGCATTAAACAGGTCGCCACGCGCGATACTCGGGAGCGTGAGCTCCTACGAAAAGCGTAACGGGGTTAAGCCCGGCGCGCAGCATATGCGGACCTTCGGGACGCCTTGCCGATACAAAAACTTCGTGAAAACGAAGATGGAGCGCGCGTATCTTCCGGGTATTTTTGTAGGATACTCGCACCTATCGCCAGACTATTTAGTCTGGGACGAGCAGAAGAAAAAGGTCATCAGGACCAGGGAAGTAGACTCTGGCGCGGAGCCAACATACAGGGGGGATACATCCCGCCCGTCCATCGCTCCCGAAGCGAAACCGGACAAAAGTGGAGACAGTGGACAACCAGAAAAGGCTGACGCCGCACAGTCGGGGTCCGTAGTCCGTCTCACGCGTGATATGTTGGAGAAGCTCCAAGTCCCAAAGAATCTGAGTCGGTGTCAACTCTTCAGCTGTGGAGACAAAATCCCCGCCAAGCTCAAGCGCCTCAGCGCGGCTGTTCTCCGAGTCAATAAATATTTTCCAGCTGATCCAGCTAGGTACATTCCAAACAGCACAGGCCTCTGTGCTGAAGTGTCTGACGGTATCAAGACACATGAGAACTACTCGCAATTCCTCAGCGATGCGACCAAACTTCTCAAAAAGAGCGGAAAGCGCGCGCTCCAGTGCTCGAAAGGTCGCCATAGATCAGTGGCACTCGCGGAAGCGCTCCGTGAGGAAATGGGCTTAGAGAGTCGGCCTGTACACCTTAACCCGCAGCGAGAACTGGAGAGACGCAGTAAGCACAAGGAAGAGGAGACCTTGCTTCCCAGTGGACACACTGCGGCAGTCACATTCATCGAGGACCTGTCCCCTCAGAATGTCGACTTTATAGCCAACATCATCGAGAATCTATCAGAAATCGAGATTGGCGACACTACGGACGCTCTGACCCACGATGAGTATGTCCTCCTGCTAAGGACCTTGACGCGAAAACAGGCACTCGCAGAGGATCCAGGAGGCTGGGCCGCCGCGCTGGCGTCAGAGCTAAACTCGATCAAGGGGCGAGACGTATTCGATGAAATATCGGTCAACGACCTGCCTCCAGGAGCGAAGGCTGTGCCGATGCGAGTACTATATAACGTCAAAGACTGTGGGCGACTCAAGTGTCGCGCCGTCGTGCTCGGAAACCGAGTAGAATACCAAGAGAGCATCTACTCGCCCGTCCCTCGGATCCCAAATATTCGGCTCATGTTCAGGATAGCCATGGCGCTAGACTTTGATCTCGAGCAATATGATGTCAAGACAGCTTTCCTATATGCAGACATAGTCGGCGAGGACGTCTACTGCATACCACCCCCCGAGTGGCGCAAAGGAAAGGAAAATGTCCGATGGAAACTCAAGAAAGCCCTGTATGGATTGAAAAGTGCTCCAGCTCTCTGGGCTAAGACGTTCGCAAGACACGCCACCAGCTCCGGTTGGAAACAGAGCTCAAACGAACCGTCCATGTTTTTTCACGGCGAGCGCCGTGTGTGCATGCTCGCATACGTGGATGGCATAGTCTTTCTAGGTCGGAAAGAGGACATAGCCGCGGTTCGGAACGGCGTTAAACAAAAGATTGAACACTGATCTTTTTAGCAGTTGCACTGCTCAAAAGATTGGCCGACTGCTGAAAAGATTCGACAACTGCCAAAAAGATTCTTTGAACTGCTTAAAAGATTTGGGTCTCCTAAATTAACGGATAAACTAACGGAGACACTAACAGACTAACAGATAGCGGAAAACCAACGGAAAAACTAACGGCAACGGCCTCCGCGCGATCTTTTTAGCAGCCCAGGCAGCTCTCTCAGCAGTCCATACTGCTCTTTTCAGCAGTCCTGACTGATCTTTTTAGCAGTCGCGGCTGCTCTTTTTAGCAGTCGCGGCTGCTCTTTTTAGCAGTCGGGGCTGCTCTTTTAAGCAGTCGCGGCTGCTCTTTTTAGCAGTCCCCAGGCGCCATGGATCTTCTCAGCAGTCCCAGGGCCCCGCGGATCTTTTTCACAATGCGGGGCACCTTTTCAGCAATTTCCCCACGCCTCTTTTTGACAGTCCTCCCGCCCCATTTGGCCCACCAGCTGTATGGTAAGACACCTATACAAACTACAAAGCAAGCAACCCCCAGCACAACGCGGCGCCCTGTGGCCCGCTTTGCAAGCATTTGCGCCGATGCGCCTTATAAGCTGCGGCGCACCTACTTGGAAGCCACGCTGTCAGCGTCGCTAAGAAAGCCACGCAAAAATATAATTGCCTTTGCCAGACACGACGGACGCGCCCACACGACTCGCAAGGCGCGGCCATAGCCATAGTACACGCAAGACAAGCGCCACACTTAATTACCCACAACAGCGAAGACATGAGAGGCAACGGCAAACACACAAGACACCCATAGCCCTCCCAGCACACCCGCAAGACACTAATGGAAAGACACGACAGACCCACACTCGAGAGACACAGCTCGCACCCGCTCGACACACGCGGCCCACACTCCCTCAGCCTCACAGGACGCGGCTCCCACTCCCTCACGAGACGCGAAAAGCTCGCACCCGCAAGACGCGGGCCACACTCACACGACACGACTAACACTCGCAAGACACAGCCCACACTCACAACCACGAGACGCGACTCAGTCACACCCACACGACGCGACTGCTCGCGCCCACAAGACGCGGCGCACACTCACAAGACAAAGCTCGCTGGCCCGCACTTGCTAGGCACGGCGCGAACCCGCAAGAGAAGACGCGACCCGCCAACGCGGTGCGCGACTCACAAGACGCGGCCCGCACTCGCAAGACGCGGCGCGCACTCGCGAGGCGCGGCTCACACTCACAAGACGCAGCCCGCACACACAAGACGCAGAGAGACCGCGCCCACCCTCACGGGGGGCAGCTCACACTCACACGACACGACTCGCACTGACTCGCAAGACACACACACAGCCCGCACTCGCAAGACGCGAGCGCAGCCCGCACTCGCAAGACACGACTCTCAGGGGGTGACTCCCTCACCGCGCTCGCAAATCACACACAGCCACAAGGAAGACAGACACGACACGCAGCCCGCACTCACAAGACGCGAGCGCGACAAGCTCGCTCCCACGCGATACAGGTCGCAAGACGCAGCCCGCACTCGCAGGACGCGACTAACACACGCAAGACACAGCTCACCCTCACAAGAGACGACACGACTCGCAAGACGCCCGCGGACCGCACTCACAAGACACCGCCCGCACTCACAAGACGCGGCCCGCACTCACAAGAAGCGGCCCATACTCACAGCCCGCCGCCCACTGTCACACTCACTAGACACGACTCGCAAAATGCGACTCGCAAGGCGCGACTCACATGACGCGCGCGACTCACAAGACGCGACCCACACTCGCAAGGAAGACACGAACCACAGGCGGACGCGACTCAAAAGACACGACTCACAAGACACGGCTCGCAAGCCTCGACTGGCTCACTCACACTCGCAAGACGCGGCTCACCCTCTCTCACACCCGCACGACGCGCCTCGCACTCACTTCACACGACGCCCCTCACACCTGCAAGGCGCGGCGCGCACTCGCAAGACGCCCGCGGCCCACACTCGCAGGACGCGAATCGCACTCACAAGACGCGGCCCGCACTTCCACCTTGCACGACGCGACTCACGCTCACACGACGCGGCCCGCACTCACATGACGCGACTCAAACTCACACTCATGACGCAACTCATACACGCAAAAAGCAACCCCCGCCCGCAAAGAAAGCGCGGCACGCGCTCGCACTCACAAGACGCAAATCACACCCGCAAGACGCGACTCGCAAGACAGACGCGACCCGCAAGGCGCAGCCCGCACTCGCAGAACGCGACCCCAGCCCGCACCCGCAAGACGCCGCGGCGCGCGCTCGCAGGGCGCGGCTCGCGCTCACACTCGCAAGACACGACCCGCACCAGCACCCGCGAGACGCGGCTCGCACTCACAAGGCGCGGCGCGCACTCGCAAGACGCGGCCCACGCTCACAAGACGCGGCCCACACTCACAAGAAGGGGATCGCACTCACTCACACCAAGGAAGGCACGCGCGGCCCGCGTTCACACTCGCAAGACGCACGCAGCCCACACTCGCCAGGCGCGACAGACTCGCACGACACAGCTCGCACTCACAACAGGCAACACACGACCCACACTCGCAAGACACGGCCCACACTCGTAAGACACGACCCAGATTCACACGACACGCCTCGCACTCACAAGACGCGGCTCGCACTCACGCGACGCGGCTCGCGCTCGCAGGACCGACGCGGCTCGCACTCACAAGACACGGCCCGCACTTGCAAGACACAGCCAGCCCGCACCCGCACGGCGCGACGCACACTCGCAGGACGCGGCTCACATTCACAAGAGGAGACGCGGCCCACACTCGTAAGACACGACCCAGATTCACACGACACGCCTCGCACTCACAAGACGCGACTCGCACTCACGAGACGCGGCTCGCGCTCGCAGGACGCGGCTCGCACTCACAAGACACGGCCCGCACTTGCAAGACACAGCCAGCCCGCACCCGCACGGCGCGACGCACACTCGCAAGACGCGGCTCACATTCACAAGAGGAGACGCGGCTAGCACTCACACCGCAGGACACCGCTCGCACTCGCAACCGCAAGACCGACGCGGCCCCCACTCGCATCGCAAGGCTGACGCGGCTCACGCTCACATCGCAAGACTGACGCGGCCCACACTCGCAAGACCGACCACGCGGCCCGCACTCGCAAGACGCGGCGCGCACTCACACGACACGACTCCCGCGACGCGACTCACACGACGCGACTCACACGACGCGACCCACGCGACGCGACTCACACGACGCGACTCGCACGACACGACTCGCACGACGCGACCCGCACGACGCGACCCGCACGACGCGACCCACACGACGCGACCCACACGACGCGACCCACGCGACGCGACTCACACGAAGACGCGACCCGCACGGAGACGCGACTCACACCCACGCCCGCCCCCTGGCTCGCACTCGCATGACGCAGCTCGCACTCACTCACACGAAGCGCCTCACACTCACAAGACGTGACTCACACCCGAAGGACGCGGCCCAAACTCGCAAGACGCGGCCCACACTCGCAAGACGCGGCTCACACTCGCAAGGCGCGGCCCGCACTCGCAGGACCCGACTCACACTCGCACTCGCACGACGCGCCTCGCACGGCGAGGCTCGCACTCGCAGGGCGGGGCTCGCACTCACAAGACACGCCTCGCACTCACAAGACACGCCTCGCACTCACAGAACGCGGCGCACTCTCGCAGGACGCGACTCGCTCGCACCCACCCACAGGACGCGACTCTCTCACACTCGCAAGACACCCGCGACACACACTCGCAAGGAGCGACCCACACGACGCGACTCGCGCTCGCACACAGGACGCGGCTCACACTCACAAGACGCGACTGGGCTCACTTGCACGACGCGACTGGGCTCACTCGCAAGAAACGACGGGGCCCACACTCGCAAGACGCGCCTCGCACTCGCAGGGCGCAACTCACACCCCAAAAACGCAGCGCGCACCCACAGGACGCGGCCCCCACTCGCACGACGATGCTCGCGCTCGCAAGACGCTGCCCACACTCGCAAGACGCGACTCACAAGGCGCACGCGTGCGCGCGCTCGCAGGCGGCGCTCCATAATCACACACAGACACAGCAAACAACTCACGCCCACTTCGGCACGCCTTGGCCTCCCTGGCGGCCCCTTCCTTGCCCGAGACGAGTGGCGGCCCCGTATGGACACCCTTTCTGGCCCCTCATTTCTTTGCGGCTGCCAGGCTTGTAACTGCTCGAAAGTTTTTAACTGCCTGGAAGTTGTGTGCTCATATCTTTGCATACCCGAACGGGATCCTTGACAGGTTCGAACACAATACGCGCGAACCGCAAAAGCTCGAGGACGGCGGACTACTGTATAAGTTTCTAGGCATCAACGTTCTCAAGAAGAGACGCAGACTGGCCTTGAGTCAAGAAAATCTGGTCGATAAGATTCTGCAGGACTTTGACTCAGATAAAACTCTGAAAGAGTGCGATACTCCCAGAACACGGGCGGAGATAGATCGTTTCGAAAAAGAGCCTTCTGAGAAATCTCGCCCGAAAATCGCTACACGCGTACAAAAATCGACCTACCGGAAGTCTGTCGGTGCGGTCATGTACCAATGTACATCAACACGGTATGACATTGCGTATGTCGTTCAATACCTATCCACATGTCTAGAGGAGCCCACGCCAGTGGCCCTGCGAGTGTGTGATCGATTATTAGGATATCTTCGCAAGACGCGGAGCTTCGCCCTAGACATTGATGGTCGCGACGGTGACTTAACTCCAAAAGCTTGGACAGATGCTGACTGGGGAACATGTAAAAAGACCCGTAGAACGGTCAGTGGAGGTCTCGTCGAATTAGGCCAAACCAAGAGCACGCCTATCGCGTGGCGAAGTAAAAAGCAGCCTGTCGTAGCACTGTCAACGACAGAAGCGGAGCTTATAGCCGCGACTGAAATCGCGCGGGAGGCAGTTTACCTCCGGAGACTACTTCAGGAATCACTTGAAAATCTAGGCAATAGCCGACAATCAAAGTCGACGGATCCACGTGGCCGCTTGAAAAAGTCTTTAGCTCCAATTCCTTTAATGATCGATAACCGAAGCGCGAAAGCGGTCGGCGAATCGCCAGAAGTTCGTCGGGTCAAGCATGTGGATCTTAAATTACTCTGGATCCGCCAAGTTGTCGGAGAAGGGAAATTAGATCTACACTTCTGTCCCACTGACGAGCAAAAGGCAGACATCTTCACAAAGGCACTTAATAAGCCGACATTTGTGAGTCTATGCCATAAAATCGCAGGAACAAAACCCAAAAAGTAAACTTAATTTTTTTTCTACTCATCGAGGTTCGTTGTCGGATCTCGTGTGTATTGATGCTTGCATCTGTTAAGTTCGTTAAACGCTATCGGATTTTCATGCATATTCTTGCTTACTGTTTCGAAGTTTGTTTTTCGTCTTTTTCTAACTGGGTCCTAGTCATAAATATTTAGTGCGCGTATAGTATTTCTTCAATAGTTTACCGTTGTATTTTGTAATTATCTAACAATATAGATTACAACTACCCAAAACAAAAACAAAATGTCGGGCTTCGCGAGAGTAATCGTTCCGAAGGAGCCTCAACGACTACAAGGGACGGAGGCTTGGCGTCAATCTTTGATGTCAGCAATCCGAGGTAACGAGGTGTCACTTGCTACAAGACCCCCTTCGCCTGCTTTTCCAGCTGATCTCGGAATAAAGAGTCACATCTTCTACGAGATCATTGGGCGACACGTCGCAACTTTGAAAGGATGTAGGTCGGACGGCGACTACGCAAAAGCATTCCAACTATGCTTATCGTGCATGCTTGTCCAAGAGAAGAATGTTTGGAAGGAGTGGATAATCAACCACGGCCCGAACATGAATTCTCACTACAGTCGACAATGCTCGGATATGGGTCTTGCTCTGCAGACTGCGTATTGGGACCTGGCAAGGAAAATGAGGAAAGAAGGAAGCGCATTCTTCCACAATTGCATTCTCCGTTTAATTTACGCTCGGGAGACGGTGAGTAACTTGGATGCCGTTGGATCCATGGGAGTTATGGAGAATACAATCAACCTCGTTCAAGCCTGTCCAACGTCGACACGGGTGTCCCACAAAATGGCACCTGGGAAGCAGACTCCTTCTTCTTCTAGTAGTTCCAGTAGTAGAAGTAGTTCGGCGACGAAGAACAGCAGCAGCTACCACAAAGGAAAGGGGAAGCAAGCGGAGCAGCAGCCGCACAAAGGAGACAAAAGCAAAGGCAAAAAGGGGAAAGGTAAACAAGAAGACGGTGGAGCAAAAGGGCCGCCGCTGAAGAAAGCCAGAAAAAAGGGAGAAGCAGCACCAGCAGAGGCAGCACCGGCGGAAGCAGCCGCTGCCCCTGAGGAAAACGGAGAAGAACAAAACAACATTGAGAATGTTGTTGAAGAAGACTTTGGAGAAGAACTCTAAGTCTCATACTTGGCTACGTAGAAATAGCCTATGTTTCTAATATTGTGCAACAAAAATTATTCATCTTCAGTCATAACATGCATCATGTTTTTTCCGTATTGTATTCATTCGCTGGAATACAGTCGAACTTGCAACCACTATTTTTATTGTAATCTACACGTCATTCATTAGATGGAGTATAGATTAAGGGGGGATATGATCCAGTTCCCCTGTTCTGCAAATGATAGAAATAAGAAGACGAAGAAGATGAGCACGATGATCCTAGTACTTTCATGAATATGAAGATCATCAACAGCATGAACATGATGGAAATCGTTGCAGTCCCATAGTGACAAAGATCACACCACTGGAGTACCATGCTAATGATGTGGATCCTTATCGTGATACTTATGAACAAGAAGGTCCACACATTTGACAACTTTGCAACCGCATGAGAATCATGCAAAACCTTCACGATTTGCACAACTGAAACAGGCCGGGAATTATATAAAAAAGCGCATCACCACAAGGGTGAAAATATACAGTCCTAGTGTTCACAAACACATTCGTCAACTTCAAACTTTGTTGACTTCATCGAGGGCTCTAACTGCACTGGTACTTCTTGATGCTGTTCCTCGTTAGAAGTTGTAGTAATTGTTGTTCTTGTCGCTTTAGTGGTATCAGATTCTGTGGCGAATATGCTTTGAAGCGGAGGTAATATTTGCGACGTCGTGGTCATCGTCTTCCCCGCTACTTCTTCTACTGACTCTGCGTCATTTTTACCTTCATCGCCACTATCGTCTGGTACATCTGACAGGTCCGATAAAAGTCCCGTGTCTAGAAGCCGCACTAGATCAGCAGCATTGTCTTCTACTAGATCAGCTTCCGTAGCATGGTCTTCTACTAGATCAGCTTCCGTAGCATTGTCATCTACTAGATCAGCTTCAGCAGCAATGTCATCTACTAGATCAGCTTCAGCAGCATTGTCATCTACTAGATCAGCTTCAGTAGCAATGTCATCTACTAGATCAGCTTCAGCAGCATTGTCATCGGCTAGATCAGCTTCAGCAGCATTGTCATCTACTAGATCAGCTTCAGCAGCAATGTCATCTACTAGATCAGCTTCAGCAGCATTGTCATCGGCTAGATCAGCTTCAGCAGCATTGTCATCTACTAGATCAGCTTCAGCAGCAATGTCATCTACTAGATCAGCTTCAGCAGCATTGTCATCGGCTAGATCAGCTTCAGCAGCAATGTCTTGTTCTAGGGGTTCTTCACCTACACCTTCATTTTCTACTACACCTACTTCGTCCACTGCTTCAAACAACGAGGGCCGCCCACCCGCTTGTGCCGACGTTGGTGTCGGTGCATTAGTACAACCAGGTCTGAAAGTAGTAAAGCTACCACTTCTATTTTTTACTAGCTGTGTGTCTTGTTCGTCTTGCTCTTCCATCATTTTATGTGACAGTGACCCCTCAAGAAGGTCTAACTCAAAAGCTGCAAACACGTCATCGAAGTCGGTATCCACTAGCAAGCTTTTGCTATGATTTTTACTTCTACTCGAAGAAGGTAGTAGGGATGAATATGATGACACGACAAGAACATTTTCTTCTTTACTACGTTGCAGCCTCATTGAAGATGTTGAGCTATTGCTATGACTACTTGGCATCAGCGGCGCAACGTCGGAAGCTGCAATAGAATTTGAATTACTACTAGGAGGTTTTGCATTTCTTGAGTCAAGACCAAGATCGCCAAAAAGTCTGTCCAGCTCCTCGTCTAACAGAGACTCATCCTTCAATTGTTTGCTACTGGTACTGGTTGTACTAGGTGGAGTATTTGATGCTGCTGCAGCAACGACGGACGATGCTGCTCCTTCTCTACTATCTTCGTAGTCTTTCTTCGAAATTTCAAAGGAACTCGACGCTGCATTGTGTACTGTTATTTCCTTGATGTTACGGAGTCCCGAAGAAGGTTCTTCGACTAAGGTTCTTTTTAGCGCTTGAGAAGTACCAAGTAAACCCTGCCCAGAATCCTCGCTCACATCAAGAGGAGCAGACCTACTACTCGTTGCTCTCACACTCTGATCGTAAGCAGCAGTGTCGTTTTCCCTTTGCACATCCTTGCATTCGTCAGACCTCTGATGCTGCTTGTTTTCTTCAGGAAGATCCTCGTTAGACCCATATTGAGTCCCAGCGTGAGCATGAGCATCATCTTCATTGCTACATGAAGGAGCACTGGCGGGAACGACCTCGTGGTCGTGAGCCTCTTCATCAATACTAGCAGCACTCATGGGAATTACCTCCTCGCGAGCATCATCTTCACTAATACCAGGAGCACCTCTGGGAACGACCTCCTCATCATGAGCATCATCCTCGTGGTCGTGAGCATCATCCTCGTGAGCATCATCTTCCTCAACAGCACGGCCAGCACCGCCAACTTCCAAAGGTGCTAGAAATATATCGCCCAGCGCAGCTTTACTTTCGCCTAAGAACCTGGTTCCTGCAGAATACATGGACCGTCCTGCATCTAACATACTTGGTAGAGCCTTATTTTTCAAAAAAGTTGATGCTCTTGAATGCTTCAACTTCCTGGATCTGCCACGTGCTGATCTTCCGCGCTGATTATTTCCCTTAAGATTAAGCCTTAAGGGACAGCGCCACGACAGATCAGACATCGAGGGATCCAGGTATTCTAGACATATAGCTCCCGTCTGCAGGTTTGCTGCGTCCTCTCTGAGTTTCGCAGGAGTATCTTCGTTGTAATTGGTCGTGCTGCGTAGCACAACATCAGCCAGGGATTTGCCACTGTCGACCAACGCTGACTTCGGAGGTGACACCTCTACTAGCGGCGTCGGAGATTTTGACACCTCGTCTTCTACTTCTACTACAGGTGGAGGCTTTATATTTTGCTGTTGGTTCAACTTTACTGCTGCTCCTGTAGGTGCAGTGTGCATGTGCGTACTGTGCATGTGCTCTTCTTGTTCCTGCTCTCTTCTTTGGTCGGGAACAGGTGCGGTGTCACTTCCAGAAACGTTATCTCGTCGTGAAGACTGAGACTTCTGCTTGTCTAGAAGGTTCATCGGTAAACCGCCTGCTGGAGCCGAAAATGATGAGCACAACCTAGGGGCTGGAGGAGGTGGCGGCGGTTTTCTGAAGATTATCGCAACAGGAACAGCCGAGCTATCATCTTCAAGTCGACTCTCGTCTCCTGTTAGCATCTTCGAAACCACCTGCGAAGTACTTCTATCTTCCGCAGGCGCCTCACTCACCACTGCTTGCACTATAGGGGTTTTCCGCTCCCCAGTATTTGCAGGTAGCGGCGGAATACTCTTCGGATCCTCTTGTTTAGGCAGGTCAAGAGAAGCTTGGCGTTTCTCCTCGTCAATCACTTCTTCTATTGGAGTCGGACTGGCTTTGCTCGCCTCGTCTGCTTTGGGCTGTTTCCCTATGAGCCGGCGTTCCTCTGGTGGGGCAGCGTGATGCTCTGGCGCGGCTGTAGCAGTACAAGAAGTTTTAACTATATTTATAGCACGAGGATTCGGCGAATTAATATCGCGCTCCGGTGCTGTAGTGCTAGCGACCTCCTTTGTAGTATCGTTCACCTCGGCTAACATGGTGTCCTCAGATAACGTGGCGTAGCCCGTTCTCGAGTCGTCAGTGCGAGCAGGAGCAGCAGTTGTTCGAGCTTCACCTCGAACTTCCTCTACAACAGATGAAGCCTCAGTTTTTAGAGGACTCTACTTAATACTGAAATCATTACTCACCTCATCTTCATCAACAGCAGCGATCAACATCTTGGTAATAGAAATAGTAGTAACACTACTAGCATTACTATCCAAATTAAGTATGTTGTAATGTCCCATTCTTACAAAAAAAAGAAACAGCTGCCAAAACTAAGACGAAGGTCGATGCTTTTCAAGATGTGAATGAGGTTTCTCGTCAACATATGCATCAAGAATTAGCAGGGTACCAAGAAGTCTTAAGTGTTCATCTTGCAAAAATCCCATCAACATTTGCCAGGTGAATTCAACATCAGTGTCAGGAGGAGAAGCTTCCGCGTTCGAGGCCAACGTCTGTATCTCCATGGCAACTGTAAGGCTCGGCAAATTGAATGATGCCACTGATTAAGAATTTGTTTTGAAAGGGAATCACGCCGAACCTTGCCCTTCATGTTCGAACAATGAGCGCAGCCCAGACTCACCCGCGCAGAGCAGACTCGCTCGCGCGGCGCGGACTCACTGCTCGCGCAGCGCAGACTCACCCGCGCAGCGCAGGCCCGCCCGCGTAGCGCGGACAAGCTCACGCAGCGCAGACAAGCTAGCCCACGCCACACCCGTCGACTCACTCGCCCAGAGCAGACTCGCTCGCGCTGCCCGGCGCAGACTCGTTCGCGCAGAGGCGCAGACCCGTGCACGCCGGGCAGACCCGCTCGCGCGCGCGTTGCTCGTTCGTTCACTCAACGCAGACTCACCCACGCCGCGCGGAGGGACTCTACTCACTCCCTCACGCAGCGCGCGCAGACTCGCTCGCCCGTGCGGAACGGGCGCACTCCACTCGCTCGCGCGCCGCCGGCTTCCTTGCTCGCGCAGCGCCGGCGCGCTCGCGCAGCGCAGAGCTTATTGCTCGCGCCGAGCGAGCCGACTCACTCGCGCAGAGTAGGGCCGCCCAGTAGCGCCGCGCGGACGCGCTCGCGCGGGTCGGACTCGCCCGCGCAGCGCGGGCTTGCCTCGCTCTCGCTCGCGCAGCGCCGACTCACTCGCGCAGCGAAGGGAATGCAACTCAGTCCGGGCACAGATCGCAAGGCAGCCACCCCTCGACCTGGCAGAAGTTTTTCTATCCCCTCGCCTCGAGTTGAACTATTGAACTAGTTCAATTTTGAACTAGTTCAATGTTTTATAGAAACGGCTGAGAGCCAACCCTTGAAGGACGTAAAAAAATAAATACTAGCCTTCCTAAGCCGCAGCCCTTCGAAGTAGACGCACAACGACCATTGGACAACTTAATTAAATTCCTAGTTTCTTTTCTTCATTGAGACACTTAATTAAATTCCCTTTCTTCGTTCTCAATCAGTGGCGCCATATACAAACAGCCATAGACCAGGTCTGCTGAGTAATGTAAGAACTTCAAGCCTGACACCACGCCCAGAGCTGTCTCAAGGAAATCCAAGTCCAAACGGTTGATGGATCACTTAGAGCAAGAGCTAGAAGAGCAGCTCATAGTAATTCTATGATCATTATTGCTCGATCAAATCTTGATCTTTGTAATGAAAAATAGTCGCAGAGGAGTCAACCAATTCATATACATAGTCTCAGAATTTTCAAACATACGGCAGAAACGGACAAGATTCGCATTCGCTTTCGCAGGAGAAGATGAGCCATATTAATCTACAATGAATTCAATTAGTTCTGTGAACCTTAAACAGCACGTCCCGGAGCAAGCGCGCACGTGACACCTCTAAGGAAAAAAGGATGCTTCCCCTTTCTGTAAAGCCAAGAAGTTTCGCAAGGTTTTCATCAGTTGTGTCTGAAGATCGACGCGCCAAAGCTTTCCTCAGTCTGTACAAATCACGTCGCACCATAGAAGTACTAGTCGGTGTGATTTTTGGTTTGGGTTATATTAGAACATTCACAAGGTTCCCAACAACAACAAGAACCCTCCGTTTAGGTTTACAGCGTGCTGCTTCTTTCAGTCTAATTATGTTGACGTTGACTAAGTTAACATTTAAATTTTACATTCAACATGAAGTGACGGGCATATATCAGTACCAAAAAAAGATGTTGAGTAGGTTTTCCATCTTTCTTGTCTAAGTCTAACTCTATGTCTAAATCATATTCACATTAGCATACTCCTAAGTTGTCGACAACAAGCCAACGCTTGTTTTGACCGCCTCGCGGTCGTACGTAGCGGAATCCATCTTTCTCAATTGTCATCGGTTCGCCTTTCGCACAGAAAAAAAGGGAATTCGGATAGATCGGCAATAAAGCTGCATCTTCGTTCTCAACTACACCCTCTATCGCTTTTGTTCTTTGCTTGTCCTCATCTTGCTCTGTCGAAAGGGAAAGATGGGTCGATATCGTAAGAGTACTTCTATCAGTTGTTTCGTCTTTCTTTTCCTCTGCTTTCGCTTCATTCCTTCGATTTATCGCTCTGGAGGCACGTTCTGCGTCGCTAAGAATATTTTTCGAATCCAACTTCGAAACCACTGGCAATTCCACTCGTTGACCCAAGACAGAGGAAAATTCGCGTCTCAGATAAAATCGCGCATCGCAATATGAAGAGGCAAGAGTACATCTTCCAGCTAAAGTTTTCATATTTACATTTAAACCAGTGATGGAAGCCTTCTGTTTAGGAATGTTGGCAAGTAACTAGAATGGATATATACGATCGTTTTTCTAATATAGGTTCGAGTCGACGACTTCAATATGAGGAAAAAGCGAGTACTAATCTCGTCATAAGCGAGCACTCATGCGACAAGCTCCGGCCAAGTTTAAAAAATCCAATGCTGCTCCACCGCTTCCTCTATCGAAACCAAAACCAAAAGTGCGTTGTAAAAGTTCATCGTTCAAAACGATCTCATATGATTGAACCTCCTTGTTCGAAGATGTAGACGCAAGTTTCATCTGCCGCAGCTTGAATATGGAAGCACTTCCTCCCATCGAGTCTTCTGTTCCCTCGTCATCTTCTTGATGTTTCGACGTATTACGTTGTGAGCATAGGCCCCCGTTTCCGGTCGCGGTAGTCCGCTTCGCCTGGTTCTTTTCTTCATTTTCGGGACTGCTAGGAGTAGGACCAGAAGCCGTAGTTTCTTCATCGAAGTCATCTTCTCTGAAATGTTGCTCTAAAACACGTCCACTGATGGCATCTATAACCAAACCACGTCTGAGGACAGGAACAGGGTGGCAGGACCTGTTAGAAGCGAAATCTCGATCTACTTTGTTTCTAGTAAAAGAGCAGAAAGACGCCGATGCGTTTCTACTTAGTTCTAGTTGTATCTTGATTTTCTCATTTCTTAGAGCTAGAGGGTGAGCAGGCTCTTTTTATCATGTAGTTACAGTCGCCGTCCTGGAGAATCTGCAACATGTTCGTTGTGGTAATTACCATTACGACCGAATCATTATTTCTAACCCGCGGCCTTAAAAACTTCAGACGCAGAACCAGAAAGAGACGCAGGATTAAAGTCTCCCAAGTAAATTGCGTCATGATGTCGGTGTCCACCTCTTCCTCTCGCAAGTTGTAGTCTCTCACTCTCGTCACTTCTTTGCGGCTGCTCCTCAAAAGTAATCCTTTTGCTTGTGCTTGTACTTCCTCCTGCACTTGTCCTTGTACAACGCACCAATCCCGTGCAAAACTCATCGTGGCGGAACTCGCCTAAAAGCGTTAAAAAACAACAACCACCGGCAATGATCTCTGCTCCGGATCCATGCCGTCGCCCTGCTCCGTCAACTATTTTAGAGAGGTTGTAATTATAATGGAGGGTGGAACTCCTTCTCCTTAAAGGGTACAACGAACTATCATCACCCTCTGTGTATCCAGTTCTTGAGTGACGAAACCTATAATGGAAAAAATGGAGCAGCTGCAGCCTTAACATTAGCGGCGTCTGCGTCAGCAGGAGAAAACTGTGCGACATAACTACGGCCAAGAGTAGTCGCGTACACGCCGTGGTGTGAGTACCGATCTCCGTTCGCGTAACGGACCTCGCCTACGATGGCGGACATCTTTTGTTATCGTGTTCTTTGTAGTTTTTCGGCATAATTCGAGTCGTCCATTTTCTTTTTCGTCTTTCGTAAAGAATGGGACAATTGCATTAAGTTTCAAGAACGAACTTCGCAACAAGGATCAGTTTACGCAAGAAACTTAAATTATGACGTTGCTCATGAATATACCTCCGTCGAATCAACCTCCTGAATTCTTATCATTGCATAAGTACGTAAGAATATCATGGTAAGTTTGAATGTTGTCCGGGCGAAACTGGCAATAGCAGTACTGCCAAGAAAACTATATTAGGTTTGATGTTGATGTGTGACGTGTTCGTGGCTGTGTAAAGCAGCCAAATGTTATGTCATGGAGCATCTTTTTTAGCCTTTCGTATCTATATATAAATATGTAGTACAGATTTTGCTAAACAGATTTCACAAACGTCACCAGAGTCATCGTTCGTCCAGTACAGGGACAGAACAATGATTCTTAGAAGTTAAAGCTTCTTAGAAGAATATGGTATACTATTCATATTCTTGTGTACTTAATCAAGCCCAGCACATTGCAGCACCAGATGTTGTACTAGTACTATAGCAAGATCAGCCACCAGGAGAGCGAAAATGTGCCCTGACGAGTGAGAACGAGAAGGAGAATAGCATCTTATTGCCCGTACAGGAAGACGGAAGACCGATATTCACGCTGCTCCTAATCAGATTCCCGAGGGAAAATTGTATTGCCCTTGTTCATCATGCCCTCACAAGAAGTTCGAAATCCACATTGTTTCCGATGGAACTCCCGAGTGAAAATTGTATTGCCCTTGTTCTTCATGCCCGCAACTTCTTGACCAGGAATAATTCACTTTCGACCTCCTCAGACCCTAGCTAAATTTAGCAGTCCGCAAACGGTTGATGGCACAGGCAATCTCCAATTTTCTAGGCTTCGAGTAGAATCCTTGGGGGCCTGAAAAACGCGACAAATTGTCGAGTCCACAGCTTCCGTCAGGTGCGCGGTCAAGCAGAACATCCAAGACGTCGAGCAAGTGGCGAAACTCTGATTTGCTGTCTGATTTGCTGGCGTTTCCGGAAGAAGTAGAACTTTGTTCCTCGTCGATTTTGCTCCGAAAATTAAAGCGAGACCATCGCGATCCGACGTTGTTGAGTGACTGCTTTGTGCTCTCTCCTTGAACTTGATTTTGCCTTTAACAAGTAGGCAAGGGGAACGCCACTCAGGATACCTCACACGACGCCTTTACCTAGAAGCCTTAAGAAGAATTTTCATGGTCTTATAGTCGCCAAGATACTGCAAAATGTCGCATAAAGCCTTGGCTTGTAGCAATTAGAGGATCTTGATCTTCTATTTATCTTTAAGATAGCTACATCAACTAGCGAACTACAACTAGAAGTAGTCGGGGGCTAAACACGAAGTTAAGAATTAGTCATCTCCTAAGGTTGTACAGCTACAGGGGACAAATATCTTCCCGATCCTTTCTCCAAGATACATAGTTGACGATTAGTATTTACGCACAAAGTCACATTGACGATAAAGGTGCAAAGTCAAAGTCACATCAAAGCCTGTTAAAGTCAAATGATCTTCCACAGTGTCACATCTTCTTAAGAAAGCTCGACAAGCTGCTCCACGTATGTCAGCTCCACTTCTTCATCTCCGTGTTTTAGAGCAGGTGTGCATCTTTAATATAATTAATTTCTTTATTCTTCTAAAAGTAGTAGTAATAGCAACAGCTGACTACTTGACTATTGACTTTTTTTGTCTCTGGGAAGATGTTGCCTTACATACTCAATGCATCGAAGAGATCTCGCGGACGCTTTCCCGCTTGCCACACAACCATTATCGCCTCCCGCTAATTTGAGCTTTCGGCCTCGTAAAACGGGAAAGATTCCCGATTTTGACGGCTCCACGCCGCCTGATATAAGTAGAAAAAGATCGAAACTTCTGGGGATGAAATAGTAGAAGAGTTCAGCAACAGAACAATCATTCAAAAAGATAGGTAGGAACAGAATTTCAAGGAACAAACTGTCGTTGAAACAGGTAAGGTCATGGAAAAAAGTAACCGAACGATCGCAAGAACTTGTAGGCTGTCATAGAAAAAATAAAGGAAATAAAACCCCTACATTTGTTGGCTTTTACTACCTTTATTGGTTTTTGTTTTCTCGACGATTGCCTTCGCCTCGGTCGTTACATCTTTCGGGCGATAGTCTTCCATGCATAGAACCGTATCTGCTACCTGAAAAAAATCTCCACTAGCGCCAACAACCAAAATTGTCGAGACGCTTCTCGAATCCCAAAGAGGCAACAGTTTTTAGCGCTCCATAAAAAATAAAGGAAAACTGTAGTTCATTTAGTTCTTCTACGGGAATAAAAGGTACGTAGTATTTTCTGGTCAGAAAACACATCCGAGAAGGAAAAACAAAATGAACTTTGAAGAAGCGGAGAGATATTAAGTGCTAGAAGTAGAAGAATCAATGGATGATGAAGAATAAAAAATTAAAATTATAGAGAATGAACAACAACAAACTCTCCTCTTTCATATTTGTCCTCTTTGAACATATCATCATGATAGAATATATATATAAGTTACTACTTTGAGTTCGAGATGATGCCTTAAACTTTGTCGATGAATGGCTGGATCGGTTCCTTTTCGGTTGCTACTAGCATTTGCATTCGTTGGTCGCGGATCATAAAATTCGTTGCGCACGTGTCTTCGTCTACTAGCAAACTGTTGTTAGAGCAGCTCATCCTGATTCATCTTCAAACTCATCGCGGATGTGCCTTCCCCTAATGTGCGCGACAGCTTCGCGATGCTTCTAGAGATGGGCCAGCCGATCAGTCAACTGCATGCGGCCGCCTAACGAGCGGCGGCGCTGGATAACGGAGGAAGAAACAGACCCGGGGCCAGGTCTGGACTGTGCAAGGGTGCTTGAGGCACGCCTGTGCTTCCCTCCCCGCTGACCTAGCCCACAAAAGACCGCCCAAAGTACGAGGCCAGTGGCTAGCCACCTAACGCAGTCTGTTACAATGAACCTCAGGCGCGAACTCGCTGCGGCTGTCTTTGGACTCTGCCCGCTTTGCTTAGGCTGTGCCAGGCTAATGTTCAGCCAGCCAGTCAGTCAGCCAGTCACTCAGTCACTCAGCCAGTCAGTCAGTCAGTCAGTCAATCAGTCAGTCAGTCAATCAATCAATCAGGTTGCCCTCACTGGAGATGGATCGGGGGTAGGCTTAAACTTGCACCCCGCCTCCAAAGCTTCTGAGATATTCGCCGCTTGCGACGTGCTGCCACTTGCGTCTTGAGTACTGAAGCGAGTGGTATCTACGTCAAAAGGCAGGTCGCGGATAAATGGCGAAATATCCGTGGAAAGAACAGGACGCCCGTCTTCGGATCGCACTTTGAAGGCCATCTCGTCCGTGACCACTAGCTCACGCCCATCCGCAGGTATAGCATCGTACACTCCGGTCTGCAATGCCTGCAGAAGGGTACTTTTACCGTGGAAGCCGCCGCCAACGATGAGTGTGATCCCTCTCCTAATCGCCATACCTTGAATTTCGCCGCCGTGCGGCAATGTAACGCACATGGAAACGCTCGCTGGTGACACGAAAGGAACCACGCTTGAACTCTGCATAGGTCTGTCATCATTTCCGCTTTTTCTCGGCAAAATAGCACCATTTCCCACAAATGCCACTAGCCCATTCGAACGACACCATTCGCGTAAAAACTGCTGGTCGAGCACGCCACTAGTGTAGTTGTTGTTGATTGTTAATGATGGCCGCGTAGTACTATTCAATCAACCCAATTTGGGCCGCCCTGTTAGTTTTTTTTTGTATCGTGAGCGAGTTCCGCAAAGAACAAGCCTACATATTTTCCGCGTGGTTACCGGCGTAGGGGGAGCTCTGAATCCCCTTGCCAACTACGCTAAAAGCCCTGGCCCTCGGTCCCTGATTCTCGGCCCATCCCTTTTTTTTTTTCGTTAGGACTATATGCCAGCGCCCTTTCAATCAATTATACATTTCCAGTAAACAATTAAGCAGTTACATACTGGGGGTGCATGAGGCCGGACATTCAGCCGACAATTCTACAACTATCAGAAGAGCCGCACACTCGACCCTTTTAGAAAAACCAAGGCGCAACTCGACACAGCGGGGCCCCGGGAGCAAGTCAGCACACCTGCAGAGGCAAGACACGCCGCGCAACTGATGAGGGACTTACTTTCACTGATGAGCCACCTGCTACAGGATGTTTAGCTCATTGAAAAACGAACTATACTAGGCATAGATAAACCGAAATCAGACAAGCAAGCCTTTGCTAAGACTAAGCGCAGAGATCGGGAGTAAGTCACTTTTTTCGATCTCGACCAGTGAAGCCACATGCCTCGCCGGTCATCTACAGCGCGGAAGTAGAACTTTGAGTGAGGCGGACTGGTAAGAAATCATCGGCAAAAAGTGCCAAGGCGGATAAGTGCTAGGAATTCATATCGGTGAAGCCTACCACAACCTACTTCCACTTCTTTCTTCGTTGCTCCTCACCCTAAAGCGCTCTGTCGTCGCTCCCATGCTCTGCTCCGCAGATGTTTGTTGCAATCGTATTCGCCAGAAAAAAAAAAGTAAGAACAAAGAGAAGCAAAAAATTGGGCGGCTAACTCCGACCACAGGGGCCACCTTATGCCGATAGCCACTACTCTGGTAATATCGGGCAGGAGATAAAAGGATCGGCGAGGGAGAGCGATGGACGCCCTCCCCCTTTTACTTAAATCACGAAGACGCTTCTTCGAATATTACACCGATAAGAGCACGCCCGTACGCTCTGGAAGTCGAGCATCCGCGTCATTTCGCATCGCGACCCACGGTCGTGCCAGCTTTGTCTCGGGATAGCGCTCCACTCAAAACAAGCTAACTCATTCTCGCAAAGAACAAGAAAACGCTCTAGAGATATCCGCTGGGTTCCAACGGGCTCCCGGCTTATCTCAGTTGCAAAGACCGAGGCAGAATCCAGGTAGGTAGATCCACGTCGTTCAGAGAAACTTCCTCAACAGAAACGTCAGCTGGCCAGCAGACAGAATCAAAATAAAAGCACGCCCCCAGTTGGCCAGCCGACAAAATCAAAATAAAAGCACGAAAAGCGCCCCTCGGGGAGGAGTTAGCCAGGTGCCTACCGCTATATGGTAGAGGAGGCAGGCGTGCTGCAATACTGCGCGACGAACTCGGAACCGCATCAAGATCAAACAAACAAGAACGGAAACAACCACGAAACTAGAATCGCTTAGAGCGAGGCGAACCAACTGTAGAAGTAAAAGCATACAGATGAAGGAGTCTCGTCATCTTTGTATACGTAGAACACCAGGCAAGCCGTTAAACATCCCGGGAAGGTTGTGGCCCTTGACTCAAAGGCAGGCCCTGCGCACGACAGAAGGCTGGCCAGTCTATGAGTTCAGTGCTGTCGCTGTACGTAGGAGGCCACTGATTGGAGTCGTGCCATATTTGGGCACGCTCCTACTTTCTCAAGTCTCTCCACTTTGTTACTCTTAACCTTTTCGGTTCTCGTTCTCGTTATGGCGAACAGAGCACCCTCCTCACTCACTCGGACAGAGATGATAGACTTTGTCGTCATACAACAGAGGTTAGGTGAGGCTGTGAACCCTGCGCAACGAATCAGCCCGGCACCTGGCTCGGCTTCGAGGATGATCGGTGACTTGAGTAAAGTCGACAACGAACACCGGGGCCAGTGACCTGAGTAAAGTCGGGGCCATTAAACAGGACCGATGTCCCGGTGGGTCTTTCCACTCCTCTCAGTGACCGACAAAGCCCGTTTACATTCTCTTCTTTGTGCTTTACGAGCCAAAATAGACCATCGCCCCCGCTAAATCCCCTTGTCCGTGCACCGCGCACAGATCCACTGGCAGCATGAGAGGCCTTAATGCCGCAAACGGCAGGAGAGCCTTAAGGCAGAGTGCGAGGCCATACACTCGCCAACGCAGAGGATAACCATAACTGTGGTAGCAAATAACTTACCATACTCACGCTTTGCTAACAACAGAGCATCTGCGCAATAAGTCCCCCCGTTACGCCGCGCGCGGATATCTGTTGCCGCGTATGCACGTCACGACTACAGCTTTAAGCTAGCCTTAACTTGGGACGCTGCAGTAGACGACTTCTCCACGTTGCATATTTGTGGAAAGCCTTAACTATGTGGGGGCCTTAACATCAAGATCGGGCCCATCATTGTACGAGGCCGCCCAGTTTGTGGTAGGATCGCGCTCGTGGTTTGTTGTCTCTGCGCGATCTTCGCTCCGGGCCGTCCGCTGCCGTAGTCATGCTAGCCGGGTCTTGGTCCTCATTCTGTACTGTTCCACCATCTCTTTTCGTTATTTATCTAAATAGGAATGCGTGGCACGCTGAAGATCGTTAATTAGCATTGTGGGTAGCGCGCCGGGTGCCCGGAAGGCCGGCGCCGCTCCCTCTTATTCAAGTACATATAGGATTGTTGTCATTTCACAGGGCACAGATCTTGAGCCAAAATGGCTACGGGAATCTGGGAAGCAGCTTGAGCCAGAAATTATCTACTTAACTACAAGTACAAGTAGCATGAATAATCAGAAATCTACATGAGCCGAAGCCCCCTAACCCATTTTCACACCAATAGTGACTATTGCTACAACTCATATCTTTGGAAGATTGAAATGCTCTGACTGACTAAGCAACTAAAATGACACGTTCCAAGAAAAAGTGTGGCTATACTTGATATGTTTTTTGAGCGCAGCGTGGTCGAGATTTGCGAAGATAAGCGCTTTTTGCGCGGTCTTGTTAGAGGTTCCGACCTTGCATGCCTCAGAAGAACATCCCTGACTCCTTTCGTACTGGAAAAAGAGAGAGTCAAGGACGTACGAGTTGCTTGGTGAAGAATGTAATTAATCCCAGAATCAAAGAAGAAAACAAGAACTGAGATAAGAAGTCCACTTCTGCGAAGGTCATGAGCTAATTTGGTCACGAGGACCAATATGAGCCGTAATCTTCACTAGGGCATCAAGCGCACCCGCCGCCTTCTTTCCTTCTGCTGTGCGCCCATGGGCTGGCAGCGCCAACGTCGCACGAGCCTCGATATACTCCTTTGTAAGTACAACGCAAGAACGCTGCAAAACAAATTGTGATGGTCGGTCCACTTGGATATCTTAGAGGCAGACCGTAAAAAAGATGAGGATGGACCAAACAATGTACATCAAGTAGCACATGAAAAACTGAAATATAATCAACCAAGTAAAAATAGCTGATAGATCTACTTACTTATTCGAAATTGTAGTTCTGTATGAAGGGGTTAGCACTAGTATTCTTCAACTTTTTACTGCCTCAAGAAGAATTTACTTCATCAGGTTACTTCATCGATTAAAAAATACAAATACTAGCTGCCTGCATAAATGTCACCCCCTTTAGAGCTCGACCAGCCTCCGCCACCAACCGCCGCCTGGGTGAAATCTACCCCATAACCACCACGCAAATAATCGTTTAATACGCGTTGCATGAAGTCTGTGGCAGCTCGATTTTTCGTCGCATCCGTGTGAAAAGGCGCAGGATGCCTGAAATGGTCTAAGTGAAAAATGATCGGGATCGAGTTGCCAGGAATGAGCCCTCTGGGAAGTCGAGTATGACCTTCGAATCATCCATTTAAATTCATCTATTATCATCATCATCATCATGTAGGTTAAAAAATAGAAGTGATCATGATCTCAATCAACAATGTCTAATGACATAGCAAACATTTACTACCCAGCCAAAGACATCGGTATCCGCACACGAACATGACTTGGTGGTGCATAAGCGTCCCCTTGAACATGATCCACAAAAACTGTAAAATCGTCCTCTTTCCACTCACCATGGTTTAGAAATTTCAAAAACAAGTGAAAGTCTTCAAAAAACTACAAATAGCAATGGTTGAGTAAGGCTATTGTTGTGCAACTTCTTACACATAAAAAAGGTAATAGGGATTGAGAGTTGACTAGTCTAGTATCTTCCCATTTAGAGAAAAAATTACAGCTGTACTAGTTCTAGTACAACTAATAGTGTAATTACTTCTGCGGGCAGCACACCCGTGAGCATGATGATCCTCAAGTCAACATAGAGCATAGAAATATAACACTTAAAGAAATGGACGAAAAAATTCTATAGCAGGGCTGCCTACAAGCATAATTTGAGATCCTTGTAGGCTCCATAGCCGGCACCTTCGAGGTTGTTCCAACAGTATTTCTGTAGCTCTGTTTTCGGTGACGTCAGAGTTGGAATGTCTATCAGCTTTGTTAGAGGACTTTTCATGAGTTTTTTCGTCAACAGACCCATGATGATCATGGTACACGTACATAGTAGCTAGTACAGTAATATGATGAGACCCATGCAGCTGGTACATAGTAGTACTAGGTGATGGTTTGTTAACCTGCTGTATCCTCCTTTGTAGGGAGCTGAGTGGGCCACTACTTGAAGCGCGTGTTTATTGTTCACCTGCATTCTCCAGTTCCAAAGAGACATGCATTCATAGTAAGTACTCCATGTTCGTTCACCTGCGCCTCCTATCATTTTGCAACCCCAAACCCAGCGCCAGCCGTTCACCTATGTATTGAAATTGAGAATTACTGGTTTATAGCCTTAACTTTGCTTGTTTCATAGGCCTTCCATTGCTTTCGGTTTCTCCACCACGCTCCGGAGGTGAGTAGGATCCCCCACTAGATTGGCCTCCACCTCCTTTCGATATTGCTTAGAAAAAAAAGAGGACTTCGACGTGTTAAAAAAAGACCACGACTTGTTAGACCTAGGAGTAGAAATATTAAGATTAAGTGGTCCTTCTAGTGAAGATTTTAATATGAGAAGTATAACAACAACAAGATCACGATGAGCATCCTCCTAGTAGGACGACAACGCCAATAAGTACAACTAGTCGACGCAAATTCTCTTGTTCTTGTTCTTGAAGTTATAGCTGAAGGTGCGGCTCAGCGATGAGTTCCATATGATATCATTCTAGTTCACCGTAGTTTAGGTGCCGCCATAATTAATGTGTTGCCACCAGGGATAGCCACCGCCACCTTTCTTTCCTCCCTTGCCGCCGCCCATTTTCTTGATGTAGTTTTGTTGACGAAAGTATAATAAGTACTACTAATGATCATGTAGCTGTTCTACTGTTGAAAGTATAGTAAGCTTAATCCTTGAAGCAGAAAGAACAGAAACAGTGAAAAAGATCGGGCAACTACTTCTACTTGATATTACACTACTCTAGTAGAGGTTGTAGAATGCCTAGTAATCGTAATGTTGTTCTGTAGAGAGTAATGCTAATGCTTGCAGATGTAATAACTGGGTAAGCAGTAGACGTGATAGTAATAATTGTAGACATAAGAAAAAATGGGTCAGCGTACAACAACTGGGTCTTACTATGCCCTGTTGTAGATGTAATATATATTGGGTACTAAGCGTACTTTACATGTGATAACTGGGTGAGCAGGATAAGATCAAAAGTGCCAGAAACGTGGATCATCTTCTTGAAATATTATCACGGATCTTCATCTCGGATCTGTTGACCAACGATCTTGACGCTCACGGGCAGCAAGAGGCCGGTTAAATCAAACACGAAACTGAAGATGGATCATCAAGGCCATCAGCTTCTAGTAGAAGTAGAGGATCACTTGATGAGGGAAGATCACAACTACACGGAAAAGCCACGTGCCATCTTTAGGTTCTTCAGCAACGCATCACTTGATGTGACGTTCAGCACGTAATGTGCACTTTGATCTCTTATCATACTAGGGTCAGTCTCAGTCAAACCCCATCTATGACCTTTGTAAATCGAAGAACCAATGACCAAGCCTTGCTGTAGTCAGGAAAAGCCATGTCCTCTTCCTCAGCGGTTGTGGTATTTTTTCATTTTTTTCCATTCCGATACAGCTGGTGAAAGGTTTTCATATAAAAAATACAGCTGACGAAGTGCTTTAAGCAGCCGAAGCAAGACTTTGAAGTCCAATCTTCTCCAATCTTCTTTAGCAAGAAGTACACTATACCAAAAGAAGTCAGTTCCTGTTGACTACAACGGACTGACTCCACAGAAGACATCGACATCGATCTTGAGAAGTGAGAACACATGAAATAGAAGAACGCATGGAAATGTGTGTTGAATGGTGGAACCGAAAATCTTGGTGCACCATGTACTTTTTTGACACTCTAGGCATGTCAACAACCAAGAAATTGTAATTTAAAAAAAAATTCGTCCTGGTGCTCGCCGGAAGAAGAATTCCTAGAGATAAAGTCAAGTCATTTGTAATTGTACGCACCAGCTGGTGAAGATATTCCCATTATAAGTCGTAAAATCAACTTCTTATTCTCGTGAAGAACGCTTTAGCTTCTTCTTATTTCGTCTTCTTTCCCTCCGGCTTCTCTTGCTTCATCTTCGCATCTTAGAGGAGAGATGCAGATGGCGCCTCCATGTTGTGTTGTAAAGAACGTTAACTTAGTGATCTAGAAGTTAATTGATCTACTCTGCGACTTTCTCGTCTCGGAGAGCAGATGATTGAACTAAAACGACTGGGTAATTACAAATATAGACGACATAGACCTCCACACCTCCGAGCCCGAGAAATTTTTGACCTACAGCTGGGTGATAGTTGTACACTGCCTTCCTTACAGTACATATAGACCAGTAACATACAACGGAAAGTAGATATTGTTAGTTACTACTTCTAGCAATTCTGATAGGACTCAGATCCATAGTTTATCCGTAACATTTTCTGGTTTGCAGTTTCAACACCGCTAAAAGGAGCAGCGAAACCGCAAAGAACATAATCCCGCTATAGCCACCAGCACCGAAAGGGGTTAGAAGAAGACATCACCAACAGGAGTCCTTATATGTGTCCCAGGGCTCAGGTCCCGATCTAACTTTTTGAGGGGGGGGTAAGACAAAATGAACGCCCGAGGGCTCCCGCGTGACGCGTGACGCCTCAGGCGACGCCCAGAACTTCGGCGCGCGAAGGGTAAAGAGGAGCGCTGGGAAGAGCGTGACAAGCCTAGAACTTCAGGCGGAGATCTCTGCCTGGAGGAGCGTGACGAAGCCAAGGCCTTGGGGTGATTTGTGTGCGCATAAGATTGACCCAGCAAGAGCCTCAGGTCGGCGCGGCTTGTGCGTCATGCTCTTTGTGGGGCTACAAGCCTCGGAGAGTGTTTGACTCGATAGAAAGAGGAGCAAGCTGGAGGCTGATGACTGAGAGAAAGGCCGCAGCCGTATAGCTCTGCGCATAAACTTGCCGCGCACGGCCTCGGTAGTGACACAAGGGAAAGACTGCGAGAGAGAGAGAGAGAGAGAGAGAAACAAGAGCGACGCAGAGAGGAGCGACGGCAGAGAGATGGCGGCGACGCATACAAGACAGAAAAACGGCGAAGAGCAAAGACGGAGACAGGGCAGAAATATGGCGAAAAAAGGCAAGGCGCTGGCAAAAGTGCTCTAGTTTGATAAGCTTGGCCGCGTAGAGTGACGCAGCGCAGCCAACGAGCTGCGGCGTCTAGAAGGGAACCGGGCGAGCGTGTCACGGCTTTTGGCGTTTACTTGTTGCCTTTCTTACTCTCACTCTTTTTCTAAAAGCTGAGCGTAGCTCTGAGAGAGAAAGGGGCAAGTATCTGCTGGGGGCTTTGCGTGTTTCTTCGACTGGAAAAAATTGCGTGGCTTCTTCAGATCGGCGAGGGAGTCGGCGTGACGTGGTGGGCCTCCCTCTTGTGTGGGTGTGCCTTCTGTACAAGCTGAAGAAATCGCTTTAAGAGGTGCGGGGCCCCGCGCCTTAGTGGTGGCCAGCTTGGCGCGCTTTTTTGTCATTAGCAGGGCGAAGGTGCAGCGAATTAGTAACACCTGTGGCGTTTGCGTGGCATGGCTGGGAGTGGGACAGTCCAACAAGCTCAAAGAAAGGGCGCCAGGGAACAAAGACGAAGGGCACAAACAGCCAAAAAGCCGCCAGGCCAACAGTCTCGCTCAGTTCTGGCGGCTAGACCGTGAGTGACGACTGACGAGAGGGGAGGGCCGTGGTTTTCGGGCTGGCTCTCTCGCCATTTTTTTTGAAAGTGGTAGCCCAGGGGCGGAGTTGCCTGACAACGCGAGGGGAGTGGTCACCGGTTCAACAAGCTTGGGGCCAAGTGCGTGCGCGGTCGGCTGTCGTGGGGTGAGTTTTTTCTTGGGATTCTGTGGGGGGCCGTGCAAATCTTGGGGGATTTTCATGACCCTCACGAGACGAAGTTCCAGGAAAAACCTGCGGCGAGATGGTTGGAGCAGAATGAGACCCCAATCGGAAAGCGCCCAAGCCATGCCCAATCAGAAAGCGCCCCAGCCATGACGCATCGCGCCGCCCGCCGACGTGCGCGGGCCGGCGGGGAGTGAGGCAAGCCGGCTGCGTGCGTGTCGGGTGCGTGGTTTTGCATGGCGGAAGAGGAAAGGCGGGGCACAGCATGGATGGCGCCTGGAGGGCGCCCTGTTGAATCACAGAAGGAGCACCTAGTCCAGAACATTCCCCAGACAAGATAGCTAGAACATCCAGAAAAGAACACCCAGACAAGAGCACCCAGGCAAGCACATCCACCAGGCAAGAACCCCCAGGCAAGAACACCCAGACAAGCACAGCGAAGCAAGGACATCCGGGCACAGACATCCGAGCAAGGACATCCAGGCAAGAACACGCAAGCAAGGACATCCAGACAAGAACACCAAGACAAGAATCCCCCCGACAAGAACACCGAGACAAGAAGAACACCCAGACAAGAACAGCCAGGCAAAGACATTACACCCAGACAAGATGAACAGCCAGACAAGAACAGCCAGACAAGAACAGCCAGACAAGACCAGCCAGACAAGAACAGCCAGACAAGAACAGCCAGACAAGAACAGCCAGACAAGAACAGCCAGACCAGAACAGCTAGACAAGAACACCCAAGCAAGACGAACATCCAATCTGGATGCTCTTGCCTGGTGGATGTTCTTGGGCGGGTGCGTGTTCTTGTCTGGCTGCTCTTGTCTGGCTGCTCTTGTCTGGATGTTCCCGGCTGCGTGTTCTTTGCTGGATGTCCTTGTCTGGGTGTTCGTCAGGCCCGGGCGTTCCAGATAAGGACACCCAGACAAGAACACCCAGCCAAGAGCGCCCAGGCGGGTGGCTTGGCGTGTGCACCGGTGAGCCATTTCTCTCCGCATCGATCTGCATGGAAGTGGGACGGACGCGCGCCCCGCAACGCCGGGGGGCTTCTCTTGGGTGTGTTCTGCTTTGGAGCGTGGCGCGCGTCACGCGTAGTTTTTGCATGTTCTGCCGTAGGTGAAGCCCAAGCTTAGAGCGTGGCGCGCGTTACGCGTGTTTTTTTCACTTTCTCCCTTAGGGTTCGGGCTTGGAGCGTGACGCGCGTACTTTTTTCACGTTCTTCCCAAAGGTTCGGGCCTGGAGCGTGACGCGCGTCACGCGGTTTTTTTTCACGTTCTCCCTTAAAGTTCAGGCCTGGAGCGTGACGCGCGTCACGTGCGTTTTTTTCATGTTCTACACCAAGGCTCGGGCCTGGAGCGTGACAGAGTCCGGGACACAAAAGGAGCACCACAAGAGGGGGGCACCACTAAAGAAGGGGGCGCTTTGGCGTCTAGTGGGTTAATAAGAGCTCTGGGGCGTTCGTTTAGCCTTACGGGGGGCCTCCAGCCCCGGCCCTTTTTTTCGGGCGGGAAAGCCTCGAAGCGCCCACCTCTGACCCCTTCCCGCTTCGTGCCTCGACCCTACAGCGCCACCATGCCGTAGGCCGTTGAAGCACTGGGCGGCGGACTTGGAAGGCTTCCGAATATGGCGAAGGCGGCCAAGCTGGATCCCCTACTTGGCGCGTTGCCTGTGCCCTACAGACCTGGCGAAGGCAGCAAGGATGGACCCCCTTGGCGTGTTGCGTGTACCCTACAGACCTGGCGAAGGTGGCACGGCTGGACCCCCTTGGCGTGTTGCATGTACCCGAAGAGACCCGGCGAAGGTGACAAGGCTGGACCCCCTTGGCGTGTTGCATGTACGCGACAGACCTTGCGAAGGTGGCAAGGCTGGGCCCCACCCCCTTGGCGTGTTGCGTGTGCCGTTCTCTTCCGCCACTGTGATACGCCAGAGGCCACCACGCCACGGGTGGGCGCTTCTCGTCGCTCGTTCTGCTCTCGTCCCTCGGTCTGCTCTCGTTCCTCGTTCTTCTCTCGTTCCTCGTTCTGCTCTCGTCCCTCGTCCTTCTCTCCTCGCTCGTTCTGCTCTCGTCGCTCTTCCACCACTGTGCTGCACCACAAACCATACCACAGGGGGGGCCTCCCTCCCTGGATACATATTTGAACACGAGATGACATCACTTGGGCATCAAAGGGGATGAGCAATGGATAATTAGTAACTTGTTTGCTATACTACATCCATGCACAGCAGCTACAACTCGCTTATTTAAACATGAGATGACACATAAAAAAAGATGCTCCAGCTTTTTTTTCGCTTCACGAGGATCCACTAGGTTTATAAAAGCCTGGGCCATCTCGTAGGGATGGACCGAGAGAAACGCATGTCGCGGTTCCCAGGTGACTTAGAACACTGTCCTCTTGTTATTTTGCCGTGGCTACTGTTTTCGTAATTTGGTCCTTGTCTAATACTAGCTACGTCACGAATCAAAAATGAAAATTTTTACATGATTGACATGATATTACATGGGCCAACGAAGTACTATGGCTATAGCCTCGCCAACCACAGAGACCAACCAAATTTTATGCTAGTTAGAAGTCAGGGTAGGCATCTTAATCAACCGGTCTGCTCCCCTGCATTTTTTGCTCTGCCGACATGGTAGTTGTAGTAATTATTTTCCGGTGACTAAAATGAAGCTCAAGAAGTAAACCTATTTCTATTTAAACAAAGATCTTCTAATTTGCCTAGAAGAGGGAGAGGTGGAGTGGAGGAGGAATTCCTATGTAGATTCTGCGAGATAATTATAGGGGTGAGAAAAGTTGCTCCGTCAGCAGCTGGCTTGCATCTGGGGTATTCAAGGAAGGGGTCAAAGTAGAAGCCCTTTAATCGGTTAAGGACAAACATGAGCTCGTACATGAAGAAATAATATTTTATTAGATACAACTACGCTACGTACCGTGCTGCATCGTGGTCTTTTATTTGATGGCTGAAGAAACATCGAACACCTGCTCGACAGAGGAGCACTTATTCTTGCTCCTTATGCGCTTTCGTGGTTTGCATTCACAACTGACTCTTCATCAAAGAAGAAGAACAAGAATCAATTATAAGAATAAACTACTAGTAAATGTACATGTACAATGTACATGATTTTCAACATCAGGCGTGAAGATGTTCATGTTGTGCAAGCATCTGGAATTACACTAATGTCCTCTATCTGTTGATAGATGCGGTTCGACCACAGTAGAACTCACGTTGTCCTCCAGGTCCAGGACTCCTACAAGAATCGAATGCCCCATCAACATCATGTTGTCCCGGTAGAGTTGTTTTCGCCAGTGTTATGCACCTCATGTCCTACAGTTTAGAGCACAGCCGACTCCATCGCGAGATTCATCCGGGAACTGTTCTCCTTCTATGTATGGCACAGCTCCAAGATGCTTCAAAGCTCTTGATCTTGTCATGTCATGGCGCCTCTTTTATAGCGTTTCGCATCTACTTATGGGGCCACTCAGTAGAGAAGTGTACGCTTTGAGTCAAAAGATGGATTAGTATTAGCGTAACAAGCCTTAAACAATGCTGTCGTTCACATCCTCAGAAAGGTGACCATTTTGCTTATGCAAGTCACATCTCTGTAAAGCAACGAAAAAAACCCAATGGGCACAGATCGCGTCGGCTCGACTGTGGTAATTAATTTAGTGGGGTACTATTGCGCAGATTACCGATCGGATGATTGACTTTAATGCTTCGACGATGGTATTGCTGAGCGCTTAAATGTTGCAAATTACCGGGGTGATTATGTTATTGGTGCAAGATATTTGGCAAGTAAAGAAGAGCCACTTTGCTCCTGTTTGTGTTTGGTGCATCTTAGTGCTCGGGGCATGATCAACATCATTGATATCCTTAAGCAAACAAGTAGACGACTAGACTCATGCACTTCAAGATTGTGGAAGCCATTGGATTGATGTGACTACGCTGCTGACGCTGTTAGGATCCTGGGAGCTTATGCGCGCAACGACTGAACTCATGGAAGTGAACAACTTCACTCGTCTCATATGCGCGACATCCTCCCCAGCTCGAGGAAACCTAAACAGCCAGCTTACTCAAGATTTATAAGTTCACAAAATTACAACAACAGGCAAGAAGAAATAAGTACCAGTATGATGAAACAACGACAACAATCATAAGAAGTAAACAAAATGACTGATGTCAGTATAAGAGTGACAAGGTAAGTAGCTGCGTGAAGATGAACAAGAAGGAGATAGGTGCAAGGAGTCACGTGGTGACTGAAGTGAGGCACCATAAGAATCAAGATAAATGACGAATCACGAATAGAGACCAAGAATACGAAACAGCACGGAGCTGCTAATAAACTAAAGTGACGCAATTGCTGGAGGATTGTTATAGCGCAACGAATTAGCCCAGACGAGTTCGACCATGTTACTCAGTCGAGGACATTCTGAAAAATTCCGCCCCAGCTGTCAACTTCGTCAAGCCGTTAGCTTTGTTCGCCAAGCTTTGGAAGTAGATCGTCTTGGTCGCTCCTCATCCCACAAGATCACGCACGTAGCGCCTTCGAGTATCCACGTGCTTTAGTCTTGAGGCTGTTCCGCTGCGTCCTTGGCTATACTTAGTTGCGCCCTGGTTACGTTATCGCGCTTAAGTATTAGCAGACGATAGATTTTAGGTTCTTTAAAGAATTTGCATACTATGTATTCAGAAAGTGGTAGAATCGAAGCCCAGCGCTTGATCCATCAGACACAGAGGACAAACCAGCTTCAACCACACTAGTGGCAGTCGTGCTTTGCGATAGTGGTCGCCAGTGCCAGTAGAAGATCGCGCTGCCACACAATGTGACAAAGATTCCAGATATGGACTGCCGGCCTTCTTGTGGTCCGAAGTCAGAGCCAGCCCATACTGACAGAGTTAGTTTCCCACTGTTTTCCTTTTGTCTGTTCACGTACTTCAGTGCTCTTCGCGTTCTGAGGTAACGGGCTATGCGCTTCAGTGCTAAAATTGATTCACTGTTCGCTTTGGCTTTGCTTGCTAACTTTATTGGCACTGTTATGCCAAAGAACCGCGCTCCAGATGCAAGATACTGCAGCGCGCCTGTAAATAAGCAAGCTCCTGCTTAGGCTTCAGAAGCTTGACATCTTCGGGCGTTGACAGGTTTGGGGCGGTTGTCATCGGGTTGGATATCGTCCTACCAACTTGACCTCCCCGCCGAACCGCGCCGATACCTCTTCAGCGTGCTCCTCTTGGCTGAGTAGCATGCTGCCAGTAGCTTTATCCTGGATAATCTTGATACCCAAGAGGTCACTGATGAGACTAGTAGCAGTTTCTTCTACGTACCGCCTCGGGTGCAAGTTTTAGGCGAGGCCGAAGTTCTGCATGGAGATTCAGAGCTTCCCCCTTTCTTCCAAAAAGCCAAAAGCTATCTACGAAAACGACCAGCAGAGCGCCTTCCTTGTGGCAGCGTGTGGGCTTTATGGGATTGCTTACCCTACCACATAGCGACGGCCTGCCGTCACGATGATCAGCCCAGGCTTTTGGAGACATTCCTGGACCGTTACACGCGTACTGTGCTACTGCCCTGCGTGCTTGTTATAGTTGAGGCAAGACTGTGGCCTTTGGTCTAAGGTGATCAAAACTGGGGCCGGGTATGGAGACTGTGAGATAGCTGGCGTAGCATCAGATGGAAACGTGGATAGATCTGGCTGCTGGCAAACTATTGCAAGGAGTAAGCGCATAAGACACAAGCTTGGCACTTCGGCACACTTGTCGCCGTAGCTTGGGACTTTGTCTAAAAAACCTAAACAAACCATCCTGGCCCTCTTACGACCGTCGCGCTTGATCGATAGCAACACCTTGCAGGGTATGAAGCTGCAGCTTTTCTGTTGTACCCAGTGAGTTGCTTCGCTATTTGTCGCGGGTCGAAATGCGTGCGCCCTTTCTCAGTGGCTGCCTTCCAGTCTGGCTGGGTGAGGTCGTGTCCAGACTGATCAGCGCCGACAGATGCGGTCTCCATACAAATTCCACCTTCGTCTCTCTCCCAGTCAGAGCATAGAAAGGGAGAAGCGAACCCAATAGAGTTTTCACCTTGGTCGTCTAGGTTCGTGCCGTCTGAAGCGTAAGCCTGGCTTTGCCTATAGACTTCAGCTGCTATCTTGTTCAGCTGGGCCTCTTTTAGGTCTTTATATTCAGGCTGTGCCTGGTTGAAGCCTCTGCGCGTCTTGATTCTGAGGCCTTAACTTTGGCGCACATTTGTCCCGCTTTTCAGCTTTGAAAGAGTTCGCCTCTCGCTTTTTTTTCGCGCAGGCCTCCCTCTCAGGTTTTTGCTTTTTCTGTCTTTTTTTTCGTGTGCTTCTTTCTCAAGTTTTTACTTTTTCCCTATGTTGGTCCCCCTCTCAAGTTTTTGCTTTTTCTCTCTTTTTTTCTTATGCTCTTTCTTCTAAGCTTTATCTTCGCTCTTTCCTAGTGCAAGCCTCTCCCCCAGGTTTTCGCTTTTTCTGTGTTTTTTCGCATGCTCATTTCTGTAAACTTTTCCACTTTTTCCCCTGCGGGCCTTGCTTAGCGTACAGGTGAGCTCGTTCGTTCCGTTGGATGTGAGTCAACTTAGCTGGTCCAAGCCATGCCTCTACTCTTTGTGATCCTTGTCAAAAATATAACCGAGACCGTTGGCTTTGATCTGATCCGCTTCGGGATAGGCGTTGCGCTGCATGTCATTCAGCTTACGCATGTCCGCAGTGAATGCTTTGCCTCTCTTTAGTTTTTCAAGTTCTGAACCGAACGAGCATCGCATCGCACACGATACGCCTCAGGTGCTTGACTGTCAACTGTCGCCGATCCCTGCTGATCGTTCAAGTTTTCAAGGCCATGAGGTTCCAGCGGAAATGGGCTGGGTGCCCGTTGAGCTTGGTAAGGACTACGGCCGCCTAATGCTCTAGCCAGCATAAAGTTCACCGCGTTAGTAGCTTGCTCTACTAGCGTCGGCACTCTAGTACCCAACTGGCCATAGAATAGATATAGCAGAGCTTCGCGAGTACTGTCCTGAAAGTTCTATGCCTCCGCTCACGAGTACCGTCGGCCCCGCTTGCTTTCGGTGTAAGATAGAAACCATACCCATGCGCTTGAAGATATTCGCGCACTTGGCCTTGAGTGCTATCGAATTCTTTTCCTTGGTCAGATAAGACACACTTGCCGCGGATGCCTCTGCCTTTGCAGTGCTCCAGAAATTCAGTCGCATCGTTTCCGGTGGGTGCCTTGCGCAGTGTCCTAGTGTTAGTGGCACTCGCTCTAGAGTGTAAGCTAATAGCGTGCAACGCGTAGCACTTCTTTCCAAGAGGGGGAAACGTATCAACAGCAGTGAGATCTGAGACACGAAGCCCGTCTGTGCCGCCTACTTTGTGGCGAGGGTAGGCGTACTCGTTGAGGCGGTTTAAGTTGTGCCTACAGTACTGAGTAACCATGCTACGGGCTTGCCGTGAGTAGAGTTATCGATAGCTTTAACTGTTTGCCATAACTTTGGAAAGCTTGGAAATCCTAATGCATGGCAATCGCGCAAAGCTTATCCCAGGAAATCCATGCTCCTCTAGGCGTAGTGGTGTTTGCGTTACCACGAAACTCCTCGGCAGGTCGCGACGAAGATGCCGCTGCTTCTTCGTCTGCTTTGCGCTTGTTCCTCCTTCCTTTTTCTTGCTTCTTCTTTTTCTTCTTCTTTGTAGTGGTGTCGAGGATGGAACTGCTGGCGTCACTATTATCGTCGCCGCTAGCTTCTTCATATTTCTGACCATCGTCATACTCTTGGGGATCTACTCCTTCAGCCGGTTGAAGCGAATGATTTGAATCCGGCGGAAGTGCTTGATTTGTAGAAGAAGGCGACGAACTGCCTGCAGTGTTGGATGATGTTGCTCCTACTGCAGTAGAGGGAGACGCTTGATCAATAGGAGAGCACACCGATAGGCAATACTTCGGGCCACTAAGAGAACTCGCGCGACCTTGTACGCTTGGAATGGCGTAGCTCGTGAATGGTTCTGCGATTTTGATCTTCTCCGTCGCTTCGTTTGTGCGGTTGGGGTGGCCTAAGGTCAAAACAACTGGTCTACTAGTACAACTCGAACTGCGTCGAGGTATAAGAAAGCTACTGAGCTCCTCTGTGGTCGCGTTGTCAGCATCGAACTCATCGCAAGACGTCTGAAAGTCGTAGACGTAGGGCTCCAACTCCGTTAAGTAGTCGTCTGCGCTGTGAGATAGTCATAGGAGACTGATCACGTCGCTGGCCGCTTTAGCGTCAGCGATCACGTAGACCGTTTCGCAGTGCTGTTCGTTGTTGCGTTGAGGAGGAAGAAGAATCCGCAATACTCCTTCTCGCCAGCTCGTCGGGAATCCCATAAGCGTCACACTTGCGAAGTCAGGGCAGACCCCTCCGCTCGCAATCTTGGATTGACTAACGACGGCTCGCATTCCTAGTGCTGGCACGTGCAAAACATCGCCCCACGAGATGCCTGAGTCTGTTGTAACAAGCGTTCCGCGCGCTGAAGCGTGTGCTGGATCGGCAGACGCTGTCGCTAGTCGCTCGCTCACGTTCCTGTCAACGTTGTGGAGAAGCGAAAGGCCACCAGTCATCTGGCGACTACTACAACTATCAAGAAGAATCCAACTACCACTAGAAGCCATTGAATTTGTGCTGCTCATTGCCATTCCACCACTACTAGGCACCGCAGCGCCAAAGATCGCGAAACTTCTTTGCGGCACACGTGGCGGCCCTTGTTGCGGCGGTGCCGGGGGGTGTCCTTGAAATGGGTTCACAAAAAACAAATGCCAATAGTTGATTTATATGAGGCCTCTCTTCGTGTTTGTCAGTACTCTATTACTTAGCGCGATAGTCTACCTTCTTAGCACTTAATCAATAGTCTAGCTCCTATAGAGTATGACTATCTACTTAACACAGTGGCAGACACTTCTCGTAGTGTTCAAGAATAACTTGAGACAAACTGCGTAGCTCTTGCATCAGCATCAGACGAGTAGGCGCTTCCTTTGTACTATACACACTCCGAGCCGTGCTGGGTTGTAGTGGTTGCGAGAGTCATTACGACTAGGGATGGCCTCCATAGGAAGAGCACTAAGTAACGTCACCATTAACCAATAAAAATCTGGCTAGGCAGTAGTACTAATATCCGAATAGTTAGAGCAACTATATCATGCGCCCGCGCAAGCTTCGACTGATGTCGCTGGCAAATTGCTGCGATAGTCCCCGTAAAGCTAAGCACTGCGCGGGAATGGGACTTTTTAGAGGTAGAGGAGTCCTCAACTCATTGAATATACTAAGAGGCTGAGCGGTAATTCAGCACGAAAGGTCTCTCAAGGAGAAGGGCGCGCCCTTAAGTGTAAGCTCTTGAGTAAAGTTGTAGTATCTGACGAGTATAATGAAGAAGAGACAACTGCCGCAGACGCAGCCGGTACTAAGCATCAAGTCATGGGCGAGCGTCTCTCTGGGTCTAAGTTGTTGCCGATCCCCAAAGTATGAATCATCTCAAGCATGAGCATAAAGGCCATCCGACCAGTACGGAAATCAACAGCCTAAAGATTTACGAGCATCAGCATCATGATCAAAGACAAGGGCAGAAGACCCCTGGACTGTGATAGCCGTACTGCTATAATTAGCTTAAAGAAGGCCAACCTTAGTGACGTACCGAAGTAAAAGAGTAGACGCGTAGCCTTACGCTATACACAAGCGCGGGACGACGCGCAGCGTCTTCGCTACGTTCCAACGGGCACGCAGAGGAGTGATGGCCTGCCTAAGAGTTCGACCAGTGGCCTGCTTTAAAAGAGCATCTTCCATGTTCAAAACATGAAGAGAGACGCCAACCGTCCCACTTGCTGTTCTCTGGCCTATGCAGTTCCATACTAGGAAGGCACGTCTTACATCTTCGAAGCCATTCAAATCGCAAGCAACAAGCTCCGCCCTTTGCCACGTTTAACATCTTCAGCAACGTCGTCCGCGCTTGTAGTGTATCACTTTGAAGTTGCGTTTTGCTATAATTGTACCCGCCTGGCTTAGTCCGTGTTAGCTATCAACAAGAAGCACACAGCACGAAAGGCCAAAGATAATTAATGAAGAAATAACTAAACAGCTAAAGCAAAAAACAGCAAGAAATTACTACTGCTCGTAAAGCAGTAAAACCACAAAAGTGAACTACTTAAGCTTTACCTTCAGCCACTGGCTAAGTATACTCGCCCGACAAAGTGCAAAGTTTAGAATGTCTAGCCTCTGTAGGATTGTTCTCCCTTCTTTCGTTTTCTGCTCGGTCGCTTCAGTTTGGTGGAGGGCGATACCTCTAACGCGTTGCGCATCGTTCAGTTTGCGCCTGAAGGGGGGGACGTCGATCCCCAAATTATGAATCACCTCAAGCATGAGCATAAAGACCATCCTACCAGTATGGAAATCAACAGCCTAAAGACTTACAGGCATCACGATCAAAGAAACAACAGGAGCAAGATGATCATAACGACAGCAGCACGAAGATCAACAGCATCAAGATCATCAGCACCATCATCAACAACAAGAAGAGCAAAGCCCCAAGGCCTTAAGCGTGTGCAAGAACCTAGTAAGCTGATGAGTAAGATAGTTGGCCCGGATCTAGTTAGCTTAGGCAGATGTAAGGCACTAAGCCCCAAGGATCTCCATACTTAAAAAACAACAGAAGCCAAATACTTTTCTTCTCAGATTTATCGCGTGCTTGTGCAGATTAGCACTAGCCACAGGACAGGGGCGACATCGCTGAGGATGATGAAGCACACCATCCAAAACCGTAGCCATTTGGCTACCTTAAGGTTAACCTAGTAATTTCGATGTTCTCCCGGCCGCGCCAGTTATCCTACCCACTCATCCCTCCTATCCCGAGTTTTAGTTGGAGGAAAGGGCACCACAGGTGCACACGACGACGAATAGATCAGAAAGAAAGAGCGAAAGAGCAGGAGAGGCAAAGGAAAGAGAGACCTACCGCCGATGCAGTCCAAGAGCAGGAAAGTGCTATAATCTTGGTGCTCACTGACCAACTTCCTAGGCATGAAAACTACTGCACATGGGTGCATGCTCACCAGTAGAATTCAGAAAGGAGATCACGGTCTCGAAGAAGAAGAGCAGAAGGAAAGCAAAGGGACAACCGGACGACACGGGGAACGAGAGAGAGAGTAAACGGAGAAAAAAGGGGGGAGAGAGAGGAGGCACCAACAAGACCGATCAGTCAGGGAGAGAGGCCAACCGACCAACCAAGCCAACCGAAGGTCAACGACGAACGAGTCCACACAACGAAGACAGAGAAGAAAACAGACATGGAGAACGATAGATGTAACAAGTGAGGTAGACGAAGTGAACAAGAAACAATAACAAGTGCTGACTGAAACGAAGACGAAAGAGTGAGAGAGGTAAATAAGAGGGAGACCACAATCCAGCAGCGAACGACGAGGAACGATCTTCAAATCGCGACTTAGTCAATAACAAGTCAGTACCCTGAGATAAATTCATGAACTTCAGACACGAGTAAAAAAGTGAAGCGATAGGAATCTAATAGAAGCTACCTCGCCTCCATAGCGGCCATAATTAAGGTATATCCAATTTATAAGTTCCATTCTCTTTAGATTTAGATTAATTATGCTTTATAGCAGGTGTAGTTGATACATGTTAGGTGGATTAAAAAGAAAGGAAAACACAAGTAGGAGAGCAGAACACACCAGTGAAAAATACAAGGACTGCACCTTTAATCACTTAAGGTATTACATTCAAAGAGAAGGAAAAATCATTATGAGAGTGGGTAGTCGGGGGGAGGGGGGTTTGGGAAAGGGGAGGGCATCAACAGTGCTTGAGGAGACTCCAAGTCTTCGAAATATTCTGTGAAAAAGCTATGATATAGATCTCATAACGAGTATAATGGAAATGGAACAGGGAAGAGAACAGTGCAGGAAGTAGTACGACCATCTTCCCCCAGTCCAGTTCAGTACTACGTCGAGCATTTGTTTCTCAATAGCACTATCAATTATCAACATCAAAGATTCAAAAGCTTTGCGGCTGCTTGAAAACGTTGAAATCGACGTAGTTGTCTTAAACGCTCGTTGCTTGCGTGCTATTGATCCATTCTTCGGTGACGACTGACACTGAGGATTAGCGCCTGTGTTCTACTCTAGTATCGGACGAACGAGGTCAACATCAAGGTCTCATTAAGAAGATAGCCCTAAATAAAGATACTGGCTACATCAGCTTCTGAACACGACAAGCATCAGTCGTGCTTTTTTAGAAATTGGAACTCACTGAGCTCTATTGTATGATGCCACTCATTGAGCCCGAAGATGGGGGAATGTCGTTCCTCCATCTCGACACTCTCAAGGAATGAGAGCCTTCATCTTTTCCTTTCTCGAAATATGGAATAAAAACTGTTTTGATCTACTTGAGGTAACTTAGTAGACTTTAGCAGACTCAGGAAAGTTAAGCGTTGTCGTTGTGTGTTTTACTTTTGTTTAGTCACTGAGTTAAGATTATGAGAGTAGAAAAGGGCTGAGACAAGGTTTGTCAGATATGGAATAAAAAAAACTTAACAGTTTCTCTTCCAACAATAGGTCCTTTCTTCTGACCCCCGTTTTTCCAACGAAACGAGGCTAAATAAACAGCCTGCTAGGTAATTAGCGTTCTTAGTTGTGTAGTGACCTCAACCACTAAGCTTTCTGAAACTGAATCCAAGAATGCAAACAACTACTTACTTACAGTTACATCTACTGCGTCATGGTCATGGTCACGTCATATGATCACGCAACTTGCCATAACTCAGAGTCTGAAAGAGTGCCAAGTCATCAGGGACTGCTGCAAGGGTGCCTCCTCCTATGGCTCCTGTGTTGGTCGGCTCCACCAACATTTTAGAGCAGTTGTTGCCTCATGATCTTCTTGTATTATTTACTTGTAAAGAGTCGCGGTAGTAATTATACGATGCTTTTTGTTCTTGTAGGAACATGATTATAATATGAAGATCACCAGGAGGTCAATTTCCCTGACCCTGGTTTATGCTTCTCGATGGACGACGTACTCTATTAAACAAATTCCATAACCTTGGTCCAGTTTTCGTTGCATCATGACATCAACTGCTGCACCAGCAACGCCCTTCTGCGAAAAAGATGGACTTCCCTCGTGAGCTAGCAGTGAAGAACTGCTTGCGGACTCTGATACAGAAGAGCCACTTGATGATGCTGCGGATTCTGGTGAAGAGCCCCCTGATGATACTGCGAAGTCTGAAGAACTCCCCATAGAAGCAAATAATTAGAGTTCTTTATCATTTACGACCTAGGTCTAGAAATGCATGGATTGCGATGCATTTACTACTACTCTACTAATCATCTGGATATCATAACATATCAACATAAGCGGTTATAAATGAGAATACACCATGTGGGATAGGTGGATAGGAAATGACGCCTCGAATCGGAGTTACCCTGCCCGACATCTGTAATCTAAGGCATAGGGCCCTTTATTGGCGGAAGGCCTCCAATATATTGACGACTCAACATCATTCACCTTCCTCACTCCTTTCTCATGTTAGAACTGCTCTACTTGTACGGCCAGCTAATGTTTACTAGTGTACCACACTAGATTTACTTACAAATGCCTCTTAGTGGGACAAACATTTAACAATTTTGCTTTTGGTTACTCTCGTCTTTTCAATGAATCTACTTAAAAAGATCATGCTCCTGAACGAAGTAAGATCCTCGTCATCAGACAACTCTTCCTTTTGTATCTAAATCTCGAGCTTCTCTCTCAATCTTCGTCATCAGAAAATAACTTTTACTTCTAAATCTGAATCTCGTCGAAGTCCAACTGCCTTAAGACTGGTACTGCGATATCTTGTCCTCGGTTTTTGATCCCAACACAAAATACCCGAAGAGACCTAGTGGCAGGTGCATCTTTATGTTCCTCTTCATCATGTAGATTAACTGCTTAAAAAGCCGTTACAATGCTGCGAGCCTTGTACTTGTGTTGCTGTTCGGACCACCGAGGGCCGCCACGCGCCCCCGATGTTGTACGAGTTTGGTGAATTTTTGGCGTCAAAACGCGCACAACAACTAAGTACACTAGGAAAAAACAAGGGCCCAGCCGTGTTGCACTACAATGGAGACGCGAGTGTGCGCTGTCGTTGCACTTCGTCCAAACAAGGAGCCGCCAGGCCGTAGGATGCTTCTTCCTTCTGTCTGACAGCCCTCACGAATGCCAGCAATGCCGCTCGGCTGTAGAAAGCTCAGCCATTTGGGTACTAGGGGTTTTTTATCGCAAATCAGTGGATGTGAGTGCAATTCTACTTCAAACTGGGCACGGAACCCGCCACCGCGGCCCGCCTGCGTGGTTGTTCCGGTGCAACCCGTCGCCGCCTTCGGCTGGGGTCAGGCTCCCCCCCCGCCCCACAAGGTAGCCAGCCAGCCGCAAGAGTGAGCCCAGCACCGGTGGTAGCGTCACTCAGTCAGAAGCGCACAGGCCGAGCCCGTCAACGCTGCCGCGGAGTTCAGGCGCATGCGCGCGCTGGTGGGTTCAGGCGATTGCAGTCATTAAGGCGACCCAACACCAGGCGAAATGGGTCCCGCGCGCTCAGGCGCGGACAGTTCTCCCAAAGTGCCTCAGCCACCTGATACGCCTTCGCTTCGGGCCTGGCGCAGGCCACTGGCTCAGCTTGTTGCGGGGCACGCGCTCGCCGCAGTGTTGGAGACCACCGCGCCCGACAGGAAAATCTTGGCGGAAAGTTGCCGAGGGTCACGCGCGCGGCCCTTGTCCTTGTCTCATTAGCACGAAGCTAACAAGAGCTCCGAAAACGAAACCGACACAACCCACACACGAACAAGCCAACCACTGCGCCGAGAGCATCACAAGCCGGCGAACCTGTCCGCGGCGCAGCTACGCGCCAAATTCCCAAACGAATGCACAACACCAGAGGCCCCCCAAGCCTGGAGAGAAGAACAGAGAAACCACAAAAACCAAAGACAACAAGCGCGGAGCCTTCTGCGGTTCCGTTGCAAGTTGTTGCGAGTTTGTTCTTGGCGATCCATTTCCATGGCTTCATAAAAAAAAAAACGGAAGGCGAAGGAAAGCCTCAGTACCTTCGTGGAATGTTTGCGGAAAGTTTGCAAGTTTTGACAATGTTGGGGCTTCGTCCTGTGCGCTTATCTTTTCGGAAAGATTCCGCAGGGATTCTCTTGAAAGATTTCGCAAACTTTTCGCCAAGATTTTTCTTTTCACATAGAAAAAAAAACGAAGAGCCACCCCAGGCGTTCAAGCGCAGAAAGATGGCCAACGCCGCCCCGCTTTGCCACTGCTTCCCCGCCTGCGTTTCCCCTGTCCTCCGCCCGGGTTCTCTACACCCCGAGGAGTTTGCACAGGCGTGCCGCGGCTGTATTCCAAGCAGCGCCGACGCCAATGACGTCCGGGCGGTCCGCACCCACCCGGTGCCGGGGCTGTTACCAACAGAGAAACACAACACAAAAACAAAGCACCCGAGACCGCGCCGTCACCTTTTCCATCCTCGAAAAGACAGAGGCAACGAAGACCAGCCCAGGCAACTTTTCGCGAAGATCTCGCGGCCATCTTTCTTATCGACGCGGTGGCCTCCAAGCAGTGGCTGAGGCATCCGAACGCCCAAGCCCCAGCGTGCCTCCCTGTTTAATCTTCCAGCCATGCGCGACAGTCGTCCATTTTTCACAGCGGCAAGACGAGCGAGTCAACCCACTGCCCCCCCACCGACCCTCCCTCCTACATCCCTCACCAGTAGAACGCCGCTCGCGTCACCGCCCGCGCCCTTTTTTCATCGTTGGCTGCCCCTCTGTTTGCTTCTTACGTATACCCGGCACGCGCCCGCGCAGTTCTGTTGGGCTGTTCTCCGTGCGTGCTGCTAGGCTATAGCGCCTGAGCCGTGTAAGGGTCTCACCCCTGGGCGCGACATCCTATGACAAGTGCCGGCCGAGTGCGCCTGTGGCATGTGAAGCGGGGCGCTGGCACGCCTTGCGCCCTCTCCAGCGTGTGTGCGTCAGCGCATTTGCTGCGATGAAAGAGAACACCGCAAAGGCATCGCGCAGTTAGTAGGCCATTTCAGACTTCGCACATGCTCGGGCCTTGTGTAGTGCGTCGCAGAACGCTCGTAGGAGGTGTTTGCTTTTGTATAAATGCGTAGCGCAAGCTCCTCCCGGCCTACTCCGGAGCGTGTACACGCCGAGGACACGTGGGTGGCACTTCTATTAGGTTTAGGCCACTTGTGCTCTCGCTGGACATCAGCCCGCGCAGCATCTTCGGCGCCCTGTTCGTTTCATAGACAACCTTGAAAGGCTTTAGCATCTTCAAAGGTTTACCAATCGAGTCAAGAAGCTTCTGACTAATTGACTCAGCTAATGCGTTGGCCATGATCGGAATCCTTGAGACTTGACAAAGATCCACAAAGGCCCAAAGGATAAAGATCAACAAAATGACCAAGATCGCCAGGCAAAAGGCTAGCGGAGCACCATCCAAACGCCCGACGGGTTTACCGTCGCGCGGGTGTCTCTGGCTTCTCCTCTCTCTTGTTTGTCGTTGCAAAAGGTTACCGGAGCACTAGCCAACGCCTGGCGGGTTTACCGTCGCGCGGGTGTCTCTGGCTTCTCCTCTCTCTTGTTTGTTGTTTCAAATCCCTCAGCACAGTCAAGGACAAGCACCACCGGAGAGATCTCAAGGAAACCCATAGACCTAAACGCGTACGGTTCCAAAGTCAACGATCAACAGACAAGGGGCCTTCGACGTTCCTAGATGTCAGAAATAGCGAATGCGCATAACTGCAACCAGGTCCGTGCCATCTTGTCAGCTCTGACCAGTTCCAAGGGCATAAAGAACGCCGCAAGGCATTCGCGACAGGTCTCGCATGATCTGACGCATCTCCATCCACTTAAGGCCAAGCAGATCCAGACGGGTACCGGCGTAGGATGATCATACGAAGCCAATGACGATAGCGGAAGGGCTTCCATATGAGCACACGAAGCCCCCCCATGATGACACCCCAAAGAAGACGCTGGGCCTTCCCCTCTGCGGCCCCAATGAATACCCACAAGGATGAAACCAGCCAGAGGCCAGTAGTCTCAGGCTGTGCGTTCGATTTGCTTCAAGCTCGGCGCTTCTCACCGAGAAACTGCACGCGACTCAGACAGTCTGCGTCCTTGTGGTCCAGCGTAAGATAATGCAGCTTAATTCTTAAGAAAGTGCTTACTACTGTACTTCGAGAGTTTATTAATAATTCAGCAACCGTTACCACTGTGCGCCAGCTTCTAGAAGCGAGCCTTGGTAGCACCAGAATTAAAAGCAGCGAACGCCAACGAGCTCCCCCTAGCTCTCATCTGGACGTCGTTCGAGGCCGCGTCCTGGACGGACCTACGAAAGGGATAGAGAAGGGGCCGACCGAACAGCCCCCCACGAAATGGCTGGCGTGGGACAAAGATTAACGGACAAAGAGCAAAGGGACACAAAGGCAGACCACTGCGACGAAATAAGGCTGGCAGACACGTAACAAAGGAGGGGCGCGCAAATTTCCTAACCTGCGCAAAGCCATCGAGACGGAAGAGAGGGCCTCGCCCCCGCTCCAAAGCACGAGCGGCACTCCCCAATCGCGCATGGCAAGGCCCCGTCCGGTCGGTCTCTTCTCGTCCTCTCATCCCTTGAGGGCCAAGCGAGGCGCGCAGGCTCCGTTTGTTAGGTCACATGGCTGCCGCCTCCTTCATCCATGACAAAGAGAAGCGAGAAGCCCCGGCAACAAGAAGGGGAGCACATGCGCGAAAGGGCTAGGCATCACGCTGCCCCTCCGCGTAGGGAGGGCGAGAGAAACAAAGTTAGGGCGCATGCTTGAGGGAGGGTGCTGACTACAAAGGGCGAGCATTTTTTGCCCGTGCACTCAACGCGACAGACTAGCCCACCAACGGCATCGATCCGATTCGGCTGAACGAATGAATTCGAGTAGAATGGGTCGCGAAGTAAGGAAATGACGCTGATAGCGTGCGAATTGGAACCGTAGGTGGGCCGGTGTGTTGCGAAGAAAGTAAGGGAGTGGAGGGAGGGAGAAAAGAAGAGAGTAGAATAGAAGAGAATACCTTGGTGGAGCATATCTAACTAGAAAAAACAAAAACCGGAAAAAGAAAAGTCAGGCAAGTACTAACTAGGCGCCGGCGCTGTCGTGGTCCTGTCAGCCCCAGAGGTCTCACCTTCGAAGGCAAGCCGGAGCCCTGTGCAACGCCTCCGGTGAGTGCTCAGCTCTATGGTTGTGTGCACAGGTTTATTCGCAATGGGGTACCGGTTCACCAAATAGACCCACAATATGAGTAAAATGCGAATACTTGAGTACGAGTATGGAGTACGAATATGAGCACAGAAAACGAACGCCACACGCGCCGGCCGGTCACGTGTGCTGCATGTAGGATGCGCAGCCCCCAGGAGTACGAGTGCGATGGATGAATAGAGGACACCGATGCCAGCATAATAGTACACGCCCCAACTAGCTGCGTCGAGCACTTTCGCTATTCTTGCATACCAATAAGAGGCCGCGCTGTGTCGAGATCGAGTACGCCCGCGACGGGCTTGGGACTGGACCCACTGCGAGGTCCCTTGCCTGCTTCAGCGCATGGACCCGGTTCCGGGGCCAAAGTGGTCTTCCTCTCAGCATCAGCTAAAGCACGCAGCAAGGGCTCCTACTACGCTATCAAACGACGAAGGGAAACGCGCAGCAAACCCCGACACTCAAGCAAGGTGCTGCGCACAGTTGTCCGAGATGAGTAATGCACCCCGCGCAAAAATACCGAGGCGCCCGCCCCTTCATCGAGCACAGCACGCTGGGGTCTCTCACTTGATGACAAGAAGTAAAAACTGCTCACGCCTGCAGCACGTGCAGGCGCCACCCAGCCTGGCTGCCCATCGCCCGCGCGGCTGAAAAGTCAAGCGGCAGGCCCATGGCCTGGGCGCCAAACCATCGCTCCAAAAAAGGCGGCGACCCCAATCGGCGCCCCTTGTGACATATCAAGCAAAAGGCGCCCCCCTTTTTGCCGCATGCCGCCGGATACAACACCCGGGCCGCGAGGGCCTCACGCGGTCGAGGCAAAACTACTCGGGCAGACAACCCAACAAAGGGCATCGCGATCATGCGCGGCAAAATTAGTGCCCTCTTCTCGTTGGCCATGCCCTACAGCAAATCCGCAAGCTCAAAGCCGGCCCCCACCGCTGGCTCCTTTCATTTCGCATTTTTCGTCACGCAAAACACGCAATCACCTAGAGAGGCAGAAGCAAGAATGAAGAGACCAGAACCGCCGGCGCCACCCCGACAAGGAGACGCAATTCTTGGACGCCTGGACATGTGGGCACCCGGACAGCCACGCAGGCGCGCCTGGGCTCCCAGAAAACCAAGAAGACCCACGTTGGCCGCGGGGCCCCAGGGCATGCGGGCACCCGACAAGATAAGACGACACCCACCAGAACACACAAGCGAACACCCAGCGGGACCGGCGAACACCCACCGAGGCAAGCTGACTCCACGGGAGCTGGACCGGTGGACCCCTGGTGACAGGTGGACCCCTGGATGGGTAGACCACTAGAGACTGGCGGAAGGACCCCGGGGCCGGTGGACATAGGGACCGGCGTTCCCCTGGTGACCGGTGGACCATTGGTGACTGGTGGACCCCTGGTGACTGGTCGACCCCTCGTGACTGGTGGCCCTCTGGTGGCTGGTGGGCCCCTGTTGACCAATGGACCCCTGGTAACCGATGGACACCGCGACACGCAGGAGACATCTGGCGACAGGTAGACGCCTGGAAGTGTGGGCATATGTACGGAGCCCCGGACAGGTGGACACCTGGGCAGGTGGACACGTTGAGCGCCGGGCACGCAGATGGCTGTACCCGTGGACAATCAAGTGGACAAGTGAACGGGCCTGCTACCACTGGGAGTATCTGGCACTGCCGAAGCTAACTGCTACCACTACCGGAACTAGCTCGCGTCTACCTAAAGTCCAGCGATGCTTGCAAAAAAGAGCGCCCGCGGCTGTGGTAAGAACTACTGCTCTTTATTTATGTTGGTGCATGATCAGCCGCAGCTTCACCTAGTTGTACTAGAAAAGCATATTCCAGTAAGTCACACTCGGCCCTCACAGTAAGACTTGGATGACGATACGTCACGCAACTACCCTCAAAGCAAATACTGCAGCTTTTCCAGCGCGTCTTCACTTTGCTTTGGAGCTCTCTCAAGTTCTCCATCTCTTCCTACATCTCTCACACTCACTCATCTACTCTCCGACGCAAACGGCATCACCATGAGGCACCTCGTTTTTTTCTCGTCATTTCCACACGAGCTGATAAAAATTATTGCCTGAGAGCAGGACAGTTGCGAATGCTGTTCTTCAGCATCGATTTCGGGGCATAGCATCGAGTATCGGAACACGATCGGTGGATAATTGGATAAGCACACTACTTTTTTCAATTGTGGCGGACGTTGTAGAAGTGCTCCAACTACTTATAAATAATATAGAGATGAGCAGTCTGAGTCTCGTTGCTCTTGTTTAAAAATGGTAGAGGAAGCAGGTTGAGTATTCTTTTTTCCACCGCGTCTGATTCATCTCAAGCTTTTGTGTATTCTTCTTGCAACAGACATAGTCTATCATAAGCCACCAGATGGAAAATTGCAATGGGGCTGATAATATGATGGCCAACTGCCATGATGATAAATCATCTTGAGCTTGATCTTCTTCATAATTATATATAATAGAATAAAAAGCAACTGCGGAGCTTCTGGATTGCATTGCATGGATGGCACGCATGGCGTCATGGATGGACCACCCCAAAAAACCAAAAATTTTTCGCGGCGCCCTTCGGGCGCCACACTTCGTCCGCAGTACCGGGCTGCTCCGCCGAAGAATTGCTCTACGATACACGAACACGAACACAGCCCACAGCCACACTGACTGTGACCCCGCCCCAGACACAAGCAAAGAGCAGCGCGAACGCCGTCGCCTGTGTGCGCCAGGGAACACCGAGCAAGACGGTCGAGATCCCCGGCCAGCTAGCCTAGTCGAGCTACTTACAATAGCTAGCACCTGCCAGGAGCAGTATTCAGGTCCTCCTACAACGAGCGCGGACAGGCGCCAGGCGCTCTGCATGCTCCAGCCGCTCTGAAGGGGGTGGCTGAAGATGAGGAAGGCGGGCCGCGCAAAGACAAACGCAAGAAGCAAAACAGACAGCAACGCGGTGGCCCCCCTATGTCGCGCCCTGAGTCTTCGCCCCCGTGTCGCTCCCTTAAGGAGGTCGTATACTGACCCCCTCGGCTCATGCAATGCATGCCATGCCATGCAATCCATGCCATCCAGCATCCCTCTTACGAAGTGTTCTAATATAATAATCAAAGAGATCAACTACCAGCGCCATGACCATAAGAGGCGCCGCTACTTCTAGCTGTAGGCAAGTATTCATCTTCGAGTCTCAAAGGCTTAGCGCTCTTCTAACTCTAAGCTAACGCTAACTGTGTACAATTCGAGCCCGAGTTCTGACATTGTTGGCCAATGGTCATTGCCGGCTCTAGATCTTATGAATGAGCCTGATTTGAATGCCAGGCGACTGCTCTCAACTCACTCGTCACCTTGATCATGATCAACGCCGTTCCTTGTGTTGAACTCTTGATAGTTCCTCGCGTGGTCATCAGCTGAGCCCAATGAATACCAGAAAGGTGCTACCTACTCTGTTCCAGATCTTAGACGTTAGGCGCGCCCTCAAACATTGCGGGAAGATCTAGACGATATGGAGCAGCTAACAACATGGAAACCATGCACATGAATGAGCAGCAAGATCCCCCAGATCATTAGCGGCACTATGACCCTTCATGGTATCCCAATGACATTGAACCCATTTTGATACCATTTCAGAGCCTTAAACAGTCCGCGACCATTCGGCGCGTCCGTTCTGATCGTCTTTCTGTTACATTGCAACGATAGCAGCTCGGTTTGCTCTCAAGAGCTTCGTAGTGTGCTTGGACGTGTTCGGGCGTTCCAGCACTGTGCCAAGCCCTTGAGTTGCGCCTTGTTTAACTAGTGTAGAAAAATTGTTGGTCGCTCCATTGTAGAAGTAAAGCAAACAAGGTCGCACTACCTGCGCCACAAAATGCCCGATGTGAGTCTCGGCGAGATTTCACCCAAACTGGGGCAGCAATCCGACTGGCGTGACTGGCTTCGAGCGGTAACGCAAGAAGCTGACCGCCTGGATTTAGTCCAATACCTCAGCAACGTGCTGAACGGCAACGCGGCAGGGGTTCCGAACCAGCCCGACAGTAACGACCGTAAGCCTCAGCAGAATTGGCGGGATTTGAAGAGTGTGGCCATTAAGTCGCCCAAAGGTGCAGCCGAGGCACATATGAAGGACCAGGATACCACAGCAATGAACGCCGGCGAAGTGGTGACTAATCTCCGCGACGCTGGTTTCAGTCAAAATGACCGCACAGAGCAGCGGAAGGAATGCACTTCACAGGCCGCGACTCTCCTCCAGACGTTCCAACATTCCTGGCGAAGGTTAGAGATGTCACGGACCAATCTCCGACCGTTTACCCGCCGGAAGTTGGTGCGGCTATTGCTGATCAACAAAGTAAAGCAATCCTCGGCGTCTTGCCTAAAATGTTCTCCAAAGCATTTCGGCAGACAATCGAGAGGATGCAAGAGGAAGACCATGGGCGTGCTCGGGTGTTCCGATAGCTATTGCTATCGTGGTCGAGTGGTCAACGTAGTAAAGTCGTGGCAACTATCTAGGAAAAACCAAGAGTCACGTTAGCATAAACATATTAGAGGACACTATAGTAAGACAATGACAATCATAAATATAGTGCTGTCAAAGAATATACTGCATAGCTGAGTTCTCGTAAAAATTATTTCCTTCATCTCCCAGAAGAGCGTCTTCACTTAGCGAATGCTTTCACCGTAGTAGATGAGGTCGCTCAGCGTTGACTCATTGCCGTGGTCAGGTTTCATCTGTTGGCGGAGGCGGTGTTCTCCTATTACCATTAGACCTTTCAATATAATCGATGTTCATCATAATCGTAATTCTCTAACTTTCTTCTGTGGTTGTTGGCCCTCCTCGTGTTCTATTGTGTTGAACAAGTATCAGATGGGACGCTATCTTCGAAGAAGTAAAATCATTTTCTAGTCCATTGTAGAAGATCTTCATTTATTTCGCAGGATTCTACGACCCTAAACTTTACTTCCGAATCGAATAGGATGAGGAACAATAATTCTCAACATTTATAATACTAGGTGAAGGTGCGCGTGCGCGCGCCTATGCCGTATCCTTGTCAATTCTAGGTCCTTCGAGGTGGCTCAGCAGGTCCTTAATTCATATCCGTATTAGTTCTAGGTCCTTAATTCATGGCCGCCTTCGAGATGGCTCAGAAGCTTACTGTCAGCTGTCAGAGACTGCTCGATCAATCTACTTGGTCCTGCTGTTCTTGGGTGCTCCAAGTGTTGGTTTGTCCCGAAGTAACCTGCTATCGGCGGAAAGTGCATCTCACTGATTCCCTTTTCAACGAGGGCTCCTCGAAATAAAAACGGTGGTCGTGCTCCTTCTCGACCTCCTGACGGACCCCTTGCGGCACCGGGGAAATTAGAAGAAGGGTAGAAAGGCATGACAAATAATTAACGGTAGAGAAGCTGTTGCAATCGAAATGAATATGAAGTAGAGAAGAGGCAGGAGTGATCTGTAGTACTAAAGCATGGAGCAAACGTTTAACGCCTGCTTCCCGACGCAGTGTGACGGATTTTCTTAGAAATCATATGTTGAGCCTTAATCAAATCAATGGCCAATAAAGAATCCTCCAGCAAAAAATAGAGTTGCATTATGGCGAGCGTAAGTATATATTTTCAAACTATATAAAAATTCTTGATGTAAAAAGCTCTTCAAGGGGATTTGCTGGCTGATTTCCGAAGCTGAAGCCGATGCCGATGCGAAGGACCTGGTAAGATGGTGACTCATTTGTAGGTTAAACTAGCTATTTAAGTTAGATATTCTTGAAACTGAGAGGCGAAAGGAGGCGACGGACACGGGAGAGCCAGCCACATGATAAAGCGACGACTTCAGGGGCGGACGCGATTCGTAGCTGCATGGCTTGGCCCCAAGCCACGGCCCTGCGAGACGGCTCCGGTTCGACTTCGAGATGAGTTGTGAGGATTCCAGGCTCTCCCGTGTCGCAGATTCCCTTTCGCCTCTCAGTTTCATCTAGTTTAACTAGCTAGTTTAAAGAAAACCTACTCACATCAGGCACTTACCTGCCGCCACCGAGCGCCCCGTTTCACCGCTGAAAATTTCGATCCGCTTTCCTCCTCCCAAATGCTTATATTACATCAAAAATTTTCATACACTTAAAAAATATAAATATATACTTACGCTCGCCATACGCATTTAATGAGTGGCACAACTATGTTGAGCCTTAATCGCTAATAAAGCATCCTTCATTTCGCGCAATTGGTAGCTACATTACTTACTATGAGCCTTAACCAAAGCGTACAGAAAGTAATTAAGGCCAAAACGACGACCTATTCAGTTAAAAAGAAAAGTATTTGAGCCTCAACCAAAGCATCGATCATTACGAATATAGGATGAGCCTTAATTAAAGCATCCTTCATTTCGCGCAATTCGCTTGCCTGTTCTTCCAGACGTTGGTCCCTTAGTTCATACACGACCTTGCGTGCGGCATCGCGCTCCTTTCGCAACTCGGCTACTTGTGTTTCCAGACACTGAACAAAATTTTGCTGCTGAGCCATCAATTCGGAAACGACGCGCGCTGTATCATCTGTATTAGAAAGACAGTTGTGTCTGTATTAGACAATCTCTTTGATGGTTAATATTTTTGCGTGGACACCGCTGTAACCTGATAGTAATGTAGTTGTAAAATAAGGCTTTCATCTATTCGAAAAATTGCAGTGAGCAAGTAAATATTAAGGAGATAGTACTTGAATAAGAGTAACCTCTTTCAAAGCGACCTCTCCTATTGCAGTCATCAACCCGGTCATTTGGCATAGTTTACGAGAAGCGGAAAAAAATATCTTCATCACAATATCAATTCTTAGCCCTTAACATTATGATGAGATTGGTCGACAAGGAGAGACTGGTGACCATTTTTGTGCAGTCCACCTGATAGAACCGGAGCCGTCGTGCTGATCATTGCGCCGTTTATTAGAGCTCCAAACAATACGTTTCTTACCAACATTGCCTGATATTCTTAAAGGTAGAAGACTGGACTCCCTTTCCTCGCCGTGTTGAGCTTGAGGCAGATGAGTGGCTTCCACCCATATTTCCTTTAGTTCCCCTAAACCTAAAGACCCCCACGACCTTCTTGATCAAATCACAATTAGTGTAACGAGGTGACTCCACCCAGGATCATAGTCCACACGGAAATGAAAGAGCAGGATCGACTATCTTACAACTCTTAAGGTTGAGGAGCTTGTTGGTCCCGGAGGGGGCATTCGGAGATTAATATCATTGTTGCTATAGAGGCCTTTCAATTTCATTGCCTCGTGATGCTGTCTGAGCACTGCGGCATTGAGCGCTTCGGGTGACCGATCACAGAGCACGTCGCTTCGTATCCCTGATGTATCTTAGAGAGCTTCGGTTTTGGATCCTGCACATCGAGTATTACCGGCATAGAGAAGTAGGAAAAGGAAATAGAAATCCTCATTTACGGATACCTAGTACTATGATAATCTTCATGATGTTGTTTAATTGGCTAAGCTATATTTGCTGTTTTTTAAAGAGTTAATCTATATTTTGTCTCTGCTCAGATGGCCTAATAGTTGGACATGAATAAGTCCCGCAAGCTTAGGTATAATCCTCTTGAAGGGCATGCTGACCTGCTAGTTGTCGCGATGCGGATGGCCCAGGCCCACTCGTGCGTGGCTGTCCTGGATTATTAGGGCTTACAGTTACGACTTTATACGCCACTGCAGTCCTCAACTCCCCTTCATGAGGGGGGTCCTCATCTCCAGTACGCGTCATGAACTTGTTTTCGGTATTCATGCCCAGAGCCATTGCCATAATATTGATGCTATTGTCCTCGTGCAGCATTCGGTCATCTTCACGACCCGATCTCTCAACTGCTGTTCGACCACTGCTTTCATCTGCTTTCTTAACACTAGTATGTTGATGCTCCTGTAGCTGCGCAGATTTGCCGTCGACGATATGTTGTGGTCGCGCGGCGTCCTCTTGTATTAGAGGTGAGATTCGGAAATCCTTCTTGAAAATCACAATTTTTGAACAAAAGAAATAGCTCCAGACGCAGCTGATGCTAATTGCTACTTCTGCGCTCCTGCCCCACTAAATTCATTATCATCTTCAACTTCAAGAATTGTCATCTTCATCTTCAAGTGACATTCGACTTTTTGAGCATCAGTCATCCTATCCATTACATTTACAACTAGATTTATTCGATAGTCTGCCCTGAAATAACAGAGCGGCCTAGCTAATAATCTCAAGTACTCGGGTATTGTGTGGGTTACTCGCTTATTTTTTCAGTTATTTATCGATTACAAGATCTTCTCATAAATTTGTTCGCCGCCTAGCAGCTTTCTCTGCCTCGTAGCGGTCACGTTCTAAGGCAACATCACGTTTGATCCTCTCTTCTTCGAGACGTTCGGCTTTATCTTAGCGCTAAAGTGACAAATTTAGTTTTTAGCCTTCAGCCCTCAACGTCTTAAGTCTCATCGATATATAATTCGCATTCAACTGCTTCTGTTATTGTGGATTCAGAAGTACTCCTGAGTTCGTGGTCTTTGATAATCCTTCAACTGTTAAAAAATCATAGTCTGCTGCAGTGGAACGCCATGCCATTGTGAAGTTCATTCACCGCGCTCTGATCTCGTTATCGACTTGAGTGACTATCGAGGGTTGTACTAAATATGAAACATGAACGATCTATTTTCCCATCTTGTTGTGCCGACCACGATGATTTATTCATGTTCTCATTCATTATCGGAGCCGTAATCTTGTTCCCTTTGTTTTTGAGCCTTTTTAAGAAGCTGCGCTTCTTCAATCTGTTTTTCCAGTTCTCTACGTTGTGCCGCTATTTTCGCGCGCTTCTCCATTTTTTCTGCGTCCTGCTCCACTACGTGGTCTCGCCCTCGTGCTCCTGTAGATGAAGAAAGCAATAGTTTGGAACTGAGATGGAACAAATGTAGTTTGCGATCGAAGTCATGCGTTGTGCCGAATACGACACACGAGGTGAAACTACTCGAAGACAAGGCTGTCATAAATCACAACATGGTGTACATATCTATATTACAGATATTACAACACATCTTCTAATAAACTATAAGATTAAGATAATGAATACCAGCAAAACTTGTCTCCAAATGTTGAAGATTTTTTCCTCTCCCGCGTTGTAACGCAGGTTGGGCATTTGCATTCCCACGACTCTCCGACTCAAACGACACCTCCTTCGTTATTAGAAGACTAAAATAACGAGACCTGTGGGTGGCCTCGTGGCAACCACCAGGTAAAATTATGCGGAAAGGACTAGACGGCGTTTAGTTAAGATCTAGTCTACCCCTCCTCCTGCTTCATTAGAACTTATGAGCAAAACGAACAACACACTTAGATAGTATAATAGGACGGGGGAAGATTGAGAGTAGAGGGGAGTGTTTTTTCGGTTACAGGTATTTTCCGATGTAGAGACGAGGGCGAGGGGTGTGGTCAGTAAAAAACAATAAACATACTTACAACTTCAAATTGAAAATACAAGCAATCATGATCCTTAATTTCTCGACACTAGAAACGCTAGCAGCACGCGTCCGTCCACCGATCATCAAGTTGGCATTTGCATCACGGGCATCTTGATACTACTGTTAGACGAGAAACAGCATTTCGTATGATCTTCATCAATTCTTCTTCTTGATCTTGATGCTAGGAGTACCAGAAGCGGAGGTACTGAGCAGTACTCCATTTAATCTTTACACGAGGACTGCGCTGTCGGCAGAATCTTCTACTTGCTAGTAGAAGTCCTAGCCCTCGTAGTACTAGTACTCTAATACTTAGTGTGGCGTATTGTAAGTTTTCGTAATTTTGCTTTCTGCCCTCCTGTAGCTTGGTGATTTCCGCTTTTCCTCCTTAGAGCTTCGTGCGGATACACATACACTGCTCAGTCTGTCGTAACAGTTGTTCACACACAAGTAGTGCAGCTAGTGAATTATGCCATCAAGAATAGTCTCAAATAAAATAGCAAACAAGATAGCATAAAAAGATAGGATGCCTCTACTTCGCTGTCACATCGAGGTGACTGCTCAAACAAGATGATCTTACACATACACGAGTTATCTATAAATCCTTACAAGGAGAGCCTTAATCTTCCGCGACGACGCGTCTAACGCGCGCATCTTCGCGCTCTTCTTCTGCCTGCCGCTGAGCAGCTTCAGCATTCTTGCGCTCTTGTTTCTCTGCAATCTGCTTCGCGAGCTCCGCTTGATACTCGAGAAGCTTAAATAATTTCGATTCGTGACAGGTACTAGGTAAGGAAGATCATCTTCACAGTTGTAAAGAGAAGGAAGATCAGCAAAATTTCGAACAAGTACTAGAGTTGCCAAAGTATAGTTGATGAAGGATCTGTTCTAAGATGTCCATCATGAAGCCAAGTAACTGATCTTTTTAGGTAACTAACTAGAACTACTGTTCTAGAAGAACATCAACAAGGGAAGAGCATCATAGGATAGAATAGGATAGGGCGCCTCCACTTCGCCGCACTGCAATGTGAATGCTCCGCTAGTATTAACTGTTCTGACATAAACGAAGGAAGTAGAAGTACCTGTTTCCTTTTTGCGTCTTGTTTTCTCAACGCTTCTTCTTTTGGATCACCAGGCGCGAACGGGTCTCCAGCTGGAGCCCTTTCGCTGGGACTCCAGCTAGGTTGTTGAGCACCATTCTGAGCTGCACCATATTGTTCAGCTGGTGCAACACTAATAATGGCTTTTGCTCCATCAAAATGACTTCCCTTTCCCTCTTCAAATTAGAGAGATTGACATTGAAATCACGAAACAACTTCTAGTGGTCCTCTAGAATTCAATGTCTTCAACAGAGTGAGTCCTTTTCTGGTAGAAATAGAAAATAGACTTGTTAGAGAACTCGATTAGTAGATATAATTTGACGTTAAGATGATCATATGGCTCTTTATATCATAAGGCGACTTGTCCACGCGGCCACGTCCCCCGCGGCGCGCTTGTTGTGCTGCTTGCTGGTTCCATAATTAGAGCCACCGCGTCGCTTCCCTGGGTGCATCCTTAGCGGCATCCTTGGCCACGTCGAAAACGCAGATCCAAGGATCATGGTGTTAAGGACATGCTTCAGGACCGGTAGCCTTAACACAGGGCGCGGTTGTATTCGGCACACTCCTCTGCCATCTCCTTCCGCCTCCTCTCGTCGCGGCATTCTGTCTCTTTGGCTTGCAACACCAATCTTAACCTTAGAACTACCGTAGTACAAGTACATCACCAATCCTAAGATTACTAGAGCTAAGTACATTACACCATACCCATACTGCCTAGGTACGATTATACATCTATACATACAACTCCTGTGGTCTTCTCGTACTAGATTGGACCTGAGTACTAGCGATCAACATCGACAGTTCGTTGTACTCCTGTCTAAGAAACAATACTAGATTTGTTTGGGACCTACAGTTAAGAATTGAAGCAACGCCATTCAAAAAGGCTCTCAGCAACATCGTGATGTGCATGTGTTTTTAGGAAAGATCATGGATCCCTTGCAGCCTTAACAACGAAGGTGGGTGTTCGGTTCCGGCTCGCCCTCTCATCTCCGGGTCGTGTGGTGGACCGCTCGGCTGCTGTCGATGATATGATGGATCTCCTGTAATATGGGGGGCCACCTGTTGCAGCTCCCTTATTCTCCCGGCTCCTCGTAAACCCGCTTCTACAACTTCCTCAGGGGCAGGATCCGTCCCGCCCTCCGGATAGCAAGCAGACACAAAGGATGGCGGCACAGCGCTTCTGGAGTCTGCACCACCTGCTGATGTGGTAACAGGATCTGATATTGTTAGAGCAGTCGGGTTTTATTCATCTCGTCGGTCCTTTTTCCCTTGTATTTCATGGGAAAAGGGAGTCTTCGAGGTGCTTCGGGTTCTGGAGATGGTGAAGATGCGGAAATCCGGGATGCGCCTTGATAAGATGAATCATGCTAAGCTTCTGAAGAAGATAGGCAGCTTCGAGATGCTCCTTCTGGAGATACTCCCCACTGCTCATGATTAGTCTGGTCTGAAGATGGATATTACTAACACGTGGACCATAATATTGCGTTGTAAAAGGAGAGTAAGTCTTTCCCTCGCTGAGCGTATGCTTCCTGCATAGCCAGCGACAAGTCTGGCGCTCTCCACTCGCTTCCTTCATCTTCCTCGATCTCGGTAAAGACTAGAGGTTGCAACATTACATTCATCTTCAGAACATCCTTCTCCTTCACCTCTTTCCTCCTAGAAAAATGGTAAGGGATGGAGGGGGACGATGTCCATGCAAAAGCAAATGTAATTGGTTGACGCTTAATAGGAGACGTCGCTTATCGTAGATCAGTTCGCGACCCCTTTCATTGCCCTCTCTATGAGCATCTGCTTTCGCATGTAGTTCTGCGAGGTCACGGAGACGCTTTTCCTGAGCACGTGAATCAACGAGGTTCGAATATGGCTGCGCGGGCTCGATGTAATTGTAGTAGTTCGTGGTCTCCTTTTTATCCTCATGTTTAGAACGAGAAGCAGGATCTCCAGGTGGTATAATAAAAGGAAAAAATTTAAATTTACTCATTCGCAAGAAGAAGATAGGCACTTTCTAAGTTGTAGTAGGAATCAGCCTCTTACTCTTTTGTTGAGTACTATGGGTATGGGTACACTTTTTCCTGTCATAAGTGGTCCACCGATGTCCTTGTTTGCATAAGAAGTACTTCTCTGAGGCGCAATGTCCTCCTTTCGCACTGGTGCAGCAGCCTCCGCACTGTTCGCGATGCCTGATGCACTCATACCCGAGTAGATCGAAGGCCCTACACCAGTAACCACACTATCCCTTTCGTGCTGTTCTCGTTTCCGCTCATCCAACAAACGACTGCGCGCCTCAACATGCTTCTGCTCTATTTTAGAGGCTGAAACAAATGCTTCACTTTCTTCTACGTAGCAATGCTGAGAGAGGAATTCTAATCGACGAGGAACTAAGGGTGCAGCAATGAAATGCTTCAACTCGTCGTCTTAGCTATTAGTCGCTTGTTATAGGCTGCTGCTGCAACTTCTGCAGCGTGCCGAGATGCTTGCGAGACTTCAGGCTTCACAACTTCCTCATTTCGACGACTACCTCCATGTGCCGCTTCCCGCTGCTCTTCTGCGCTGCTTTGCTTTTGCCTAGCCATGCGACGATTGTAGTCGAAGGCGAGAAGCTCCTGCTCACGCTTCTTGATCCTTCTTTCAGCTTCTTGATCTGGTAAAAGGAGATGTGGAACTGCAGAATGATCCACAGCGTGGTGGCCTCTACCGCTAGAAAGAGTAAGAAAGGCGTCCTCTGTTGCTTTTTCTGCAATGATGTCCTTCGAGGGATCGTCATGCCTTAAGTGTCGTGTATGTCCTAGCAGTCCCGTTCGTGCGAGCTTGTCTCTTTTCTGAAAGGGGTCCTCGTCGCTTATAGTTTTATCACTCAGTTCGTTCTCGTTGTCGTTCTGATTCTGATGAGGCTGCAGATTATAGTAGTCCTTGTTAGTCATGTTGATGTTCTCGGCATCAGTCATATATGGCCCACCAGGACCGCTCTTCATCTCATCCACGTTGTTTGATGCTCGACCTACTTGATTTACTCCCGGACGAGGCCCCTTCGCATGTTCCACCTGCTCGATAGAAGGAGCTGCAATCACATTCGTGGCGCCCATTTTTTTTGGAGATCGAGATACAGCCTCAAGTTTTCTCAAAGACTCAGGTGCCGAGGCCTCTGCCGCCTCTAGCTTGTGCCTTAGAAGAGGTAACACCAAGAAGAAGTACCCATTTGAATCTGTTGGCGCAACAACATCTATGTACGTACCAGGGAGGGAGGCCCCCCCCCTGTGGATGGATCTGCGGTGGACCACGCCAGAGGGGTCCAGCCTGGCCACCTTTGCGCGGTCTGTATGGTTGGCCACATGCAGCACGCCAAGGGGGTGGGTCCCGCCTTGCCTCCTCTGCCAGCTCTGTCGAGTACCGCAACACGCCAGAGGGCGCCAGCCTTGCCATCTTTGCCAGGTCCGTAGGGTACACGCAACAAGGCAGCGGGGCCCTGCCTTTGCCACCTTTGCCAGGTCTGTAGGGCACACGCAACAAGGCAGCGGGGCCCTGCCTTTGCCACCTTTGCCAGGTCTGTAGGGTACTCCCAACAAGGCAGCGGGGCCCTGCCTTTGCCACCTTTGCCAGGTCTGTAGGGTACAGGCAACAAGGCAGCGGGGCCCGGCCTTGCCTCCTTTGCCAGGTCTGTCGGGTACATGCAACAAGGCAGCGGGGCCCTGCCTTGCCTCCTTCGCCAGCTTCAGCGCCCTCTGGCTTGGTGGCGCTCCAGGGTACAGGCAAGAAGCGGGAAGGGGTCAGAAGTGGGCGCTTTGAGGCCTTCCCGCCCGGCAGCCTCTCGAAAAGAGGGTCCGGGGCGGGCAGGCCCCCCCCCTCAAAAAGTTAGATTGGGGGCGGGCCTCCAGCCCTGAGCCCTAGAACATGTATTAGAAGCAGGTGGCTCCAAGAAAAAGCTCCTGAGTTCTAGAAGATGGCTTGGTGTACCTAATTAGCGAAAAGGGTGTGAGGTATTAGTTCACGGCCCTCCTGTCCTTAACTGGCGTTCCCGCCTTTCGAGGGCTTCGAGGTTGGCCAATTCGTTATCCAGCGTGGCGATTCTGTTATGACCTGCGGCAAGCCTTGCCAAGCGACGCCGACCCTCGTCAACTTGTTTCTGAGCGTCTTTTTGACCCACTAAAGATGTACCTAGGAGGTTCAGGCTGCCACCACATCCTAAGCTGTTCAGGCTGCCACCACCTTCTGCGCCTTGAGGATCTACTTCACGATGCTCTTGTGCTCCAATTGTATCGTCGAGAGTCTCTTTAGCCATCTCTGCTCCTTCAGAAGCAGCAACTTTAGTGGAAGTATTCTTAGAAGTAAAAAACAAAAAGTGCTTCTGTCGAGTTGTGAAGTCTACTCTACTTACAAATGGTCCTCTTCCCCGAAGAAAATTAAGTTGAAGTTATCTCTTACGAAGAATAGTCATCTTAACTGAAGAAAATGAAACCGAAGGAGCTATCCCTTAAGTACAACTAGTCCTCTTAACTGAAGGAAGGTCCATCTTCTTTGTCTTCTGCACATCATTTTCAGATCTCGGCTTGTGTCGTCTGTTAAATTCTGCGACCTCCCTTGCTTGCTCTTTCCTTCGCTTGTCGTCTGCTGTGCTACAACCACCGAAATACGTCGTCTGCTCTCCAATCGAGTTATCATCCACCCTTTTCTGCGTGTGATGGACTTCTGCTGCAACATCCAGACGACGAGTGACGACTTCAGCATTTGATTCAAACGCCCTTCTACTTTCGGAGGAACATGACAGGAAAAAGTGTGCCCACTATACTCAATAAAGTAGCTAGGATTTAAGTGCAAAAGTAGCGAACTTTCCGACGATGGGCACACTTTTCGTGTCATAAGGAAGATGGTCCACCTAGAGATGTTGTGCCATGAAGATTCTTTCTCACTTCCTGCTTCGGCAGATCCGATGCTGCGGTATTCGTTTTCTGCTGTTCGCTTCTTCTCCTGTTCGCCTCGTCTCGCATTAGATCTCAACGTGATTCACTTCTTCATACTTGTTGTTGCGATTCGATTGTAAATGAACTCCTTACGTTGCCTTCAATCCTGTTCTTTCCAACTAAAAATAAAGTGCAACTACATCAACATCACACCCTGAGATCAGGAGGATCACTCAAACTCATTTAAGTCTTACTGATGTGTGCCTCTGACATGACGAGGTTATCTCAGAATGTGCTGTTATCCTACATATCTTGTAAGGAGTCCCACTGCTATGTATCTATGAAGATATCTATAAGAAGTACTATGCATGAGCAGGAGCCTTAAGAACAGCCCACTTTCCTCTTCTCCTCTAGCAGCTCGCTTCGCCTCTGCGATGTTGAGGCGTAGCGCCGCTTCCTTTTCTTTTATTAAAGCTGCATTGTATTCGGCTGATGCCTTGGTAAGCTCGCGCCTGTGATGGTCTTCCCTATCCACTGCCAAAATACTAGGTAGCGGTAGTCCGGTCCCCTTAACTACAGCCGTCTTGTCGCTCTTCCCCGAAGGCGTGTTCGGGGACTCCTGTAAGTGGTAAGATTCTAGTAAGTAGGTAAAAAGCCTGTTTCCGAATTTGAGATAAGGTCCTTTTACCGAATAAAAAGAGCAAGATGAAGAGGATCTCCGGTCGTAATGGACAATTCAGGGAGTCACAGTCACAACGGGTTATCTTCAAGCTGAGCACCCGTTGAAGAACGGTTATTCAAAAATGTCGAGATTTTTTGAAAAGTTGTGGACCTGATCCGATATTTCTTTTACTAGAGGTCTTTCTACATCAGTGTTAGTTGTCGCAGTCAAACTACGTGGCGAGAGTAGTCATCTTCTTACGATACCATGCTGTCTTCTTTCTTCTTTGACGACGAAGAGCGAAGCTGAGCAGCAAGTGTATTGCTGAGACTTTGAGTCTTACGAAAATTGTACTCGGCCACCGCACGTGCTCTCTCTTTCCATGCCTCACGAGAGGCATCTCCATCGGAGCCGAAGAAGTTTGAGACTGCTGGAATGGCTGCCTGCGGCGAGCGACGACCACCCTGTTCACCTTCTTCAGGGACGACGAACGCTCTACTTTCCGCGTCAACCGTGTTTTTGTTGTAGTATTGTGTGTCCTCGACAGTGCCGAATGATACGCGACCAGCAGTTTTCGACAATGTGGCCGACTTGACTTGCTCTTCTTCCGTATTTCCGTCAATCCCTCGAGTTGAGGGTGGAACTAGTTGTAGGTCTGGGTTTATCTTCTTGGTACTAGTAGTAGTATCCCCTGTAGCCTTTTCTACTTGCACCCTGGAGGTATCTTCATCTGCTGCATAGTGGACGTCGCCATGTGCAGTTGTATTAATTTTCTCTGCAAGCGGACGTGGAGCAGTCTGGTGTTTATCTGCGTTACCCACTAGCTTCGTCGAATACACAGCCATCGCAGGCAGAGCGCCCTCGCCCTCCCTCCTTTCTTTATTGTAGTTATTGTTGTTCATGTTCTGCTCTTCCTCTTTGTCATCTTGCTTTTTAGCTGGTGAACGTCCATCCAAGAACTGCCTATAATTAGAAGAGAGATGAAAAATGGTGAAAATAATAGGAAAATTCCAGGAGCGATCATCGAAGAGATGACAAACATCTGGGAGGTATTTTCCTCTACTTCTTGCTTCCTCCTATGTTGTACCAGCTATAATTCTACTTCCTTGGTACAACACCAATAAATGAAAAAAGTGTCTGTAGTTAGAGAGGATCAAGATGCATTTGTATTTCCAACTGAACTAGACTTATCTGATTAAGTACTTAGAATATATTAATTAAGAACCTTTCTGCATAAGGTGATCGGTTTTCATCCGCCACATTTCGAGAAGGTAGGTGTCAGGAAGTTTGGGATACTCCTTCCGGAATTCCTCGAAGTCACGTCTCAGCCTCTCTTTTAAGAGTCTGGTGCCCACGGAGGAATCTGGTGGCTTAGACGGGGACTGCGTATCCATCGAAACAGAGGAGGACTGCTTTGCATCAACTTCCTTCGCTATTTGCAGATCATTGTGATCATTCGCTTCTTGATTCCGATCTTAGAGGTGCTACTGCTAGGGCTGTGGCGTTTCAGTTCCTCGTTTTTTCTGCGTTTATCCCTTAAACTCCGGGGGAGTGAGTGAGTACAAACGGCAAAAAAACAGAAACACCTAAAGATGCCTAGCCTTAATGATCTTTCGCTTCCTGATTCATTTCCTGAATTAGCGGACTTCTCCCGTAGGCCGAAAGAAATCTATGGTCTCCACCTCCACCTCGCCGAGCCCTCCGCTCACGATCCCGTAATGCGAGACGGCGGGCGCGGTCTCTCGCCTCCTCGTCCATTTTCTAAGGATCCAGGTGGACTTCTTCTACATTAGAAGATACAGAAGTCGCCGCATTTCATTTTGTTCATGTTGCCCTATGAAAAATTCTTGTCGTTGAGGCATCTTGTTCATCATCATCATCATCTATTTTTACTATTTAAAAATGAAACGCAGCACCAGGCTTCTGAGAACAATGAATATATCATGTTCTACTTCTTACTGTAGTTATCAATAAGAATAAGTGGAGAAAATCCATATCTTCTTCATGTTGAAGATGAATGTTTCCAAGTTGAATGCGCCTCGGCCTCTTACTTCTTGTTCTTCTACATCGTATAAGTATTAAAGAGCTTGCTGTTTTTTTGTTCAACAAACATGCTGGCCATCTCTTTTTATACTATATATAATGCAGTTTTTACATCGGCCACCTAGAGCACTTCGCTGTACTTTCTTTTTGGTCATACATCGTGCTTTTTGTCGACCTCGTTTTTAAAGATGTCGCGAGCCGATCAAGAAACCGAGAGCAGTGTCCTGCGGAAACGGATCTTCACCTTACGGCGTCAAGTTGATGCGTTAAGAACAGCCTCAAACAGCAGGCTTGTGTGAACAGCCTCAACCTCAAGAAGAGTCAGAGTCAAAGTCTTATACTAACTTCTTCTAGTTAGTTGGTTAAGGTTAATATCCTGTGCATTCTTGTCATATTCTGTACGTTGTCCTGTGGATTTCTTGTTGGGTCGTGGACTCTAGTTGCGGAGCCTGTGAGGCCCTGCTTCCTTTAAGGTGACTATCTTTCTCGTCGCCTAGCCCCAGTGAAGTCCTAACTAATCCCTTGTGCCATTTTCTTGTTATCATGAACTCGCTATCTTCTTCTTGTTGTCATGTGGTGGATGCCACTTGCTGTCACGTGTAAGATTGAGATGCCATCTTCTTTGATGACCGCAGCGCAGAAGCTCCTGAGTCCCTGAGTCCGACTCCGATGAAACTGCAGTAAGTACAACTACTTCCACGTGCTCTAGTGCAACGAACTACTCTTGCAGACTTCCTTCATCTTGGCTTCCTACGGGATCGTGCCTGTCAAAAAGGTGCTGCAGCAGAGCTTCCTGGTCTGCTGTTGGTTTTGAAGTAGACTTGGACTTCATGTTTATACTCCTGCTCGTCGACTAGAAAAGTAAGAACATCAAACTAAAACTTCTATTAAATAATCCATCAAAACTTTTACCGATCCGGACAGTAGTTGTACCAAAAACTATGATAGAGCTAGACACTTTCCGCCCGATATCGGGTCGAGTTGCTCGGGTTGAACGAGTTCCATACCAAAAAAGTTTTCGCTGCGATCTTCGAAGCGTCAAACACGTTGCGCACGAGCGCAAACCACCTCCACAAGCGAACGCCTCCAGTAGCGCCCTCTCTTCTCTGCGAGGCGCTGCATGCGCGGGGCAGACAGGAGCTGCGCCGCCTACCCTAGGGGCCCTGCTTTCGTAGTTTTGCGTTACTAAGTTAGCAAGCCTGCCTGGTATAGTTGCTGCCCTATAAAACAAACACACAAACGAACCTACCCCATTCCGATCCCGATGCGTCTAAGTACACTACTCAGGGGGGCCTTGCTTGTGATGCTACCCACTAGGCGGCACGCTACTCAGTAAGCCCACTACAGCGCAAACAGGGGCCCCAAGAAGTCGAACAAGCTGGCCACTCACCAGCAAAAAAACAGAGCCAGACCGCGACCGACACCAGCGCGCGGCTTACTATGCAGAGACACCGACACAGCGGGGATATAGCTGCACTTCGCAAGGCTTGCGCGCGCGCCACTCAAACAAAAACCAAAGGCCCCGAGCTTCGCCCTCTTACTTTCGCCAAGCCCAAGCCCCGAAGAGCTCGGCCGGGGCGTGTCTCTTCAATACAGACGGCAGATCTGCCACGAAACAACTGGCCACGAGCTTCCTCCTGAACTCCGTGGCATCTTGGCCCGCCATACCGCCGCGGAGTGCTGCGCTTTCAAGGTAGCAAGCTGCCGAGAGGAACTCGCTAGCAACTCGCTTCGGACTGGGCGCGTGAGCTTCGGCAACTCGTGGCAACTCGAGAGAACTCGAGCAGCCCGTAACTCGAAAAGCGGACTACTCTACTATAAGTATGATACACTCAATCTTCATGCTCGTCTAGTACCATTGAACTTTTTAGTACACTCTGCCTCTAGAGCTAGGAAATGCCACTAGCCACCATGGTCGAAAATGATCTCAGAAAAAGTTCTGACTTTTGTATTACCTGCTTCCTTCAATTCTGGTGAGGACGCTGGCTCATCCGTTTCTGGAGGGTCATTGTTAGAGCTATCGCGTCGCACACTACCTGAGAAGTGCATCCTTGTCTCCTTCGTTTTCAAGTAGAAAAAGAAGAATCTCCAAGGATCTATCTGATAAATCCTGCTCTCTAAATCTGATAGATCCTTGGAGGATCTATCATTTCCTACTTAACACCATGCTTTCTACATGCTTCGGCTTCTCTGCGGGAGCATGGTGTTAAGGACCACTAGGACATGTTTCACTGGTTCAGGAACTAGCCTTAGCATCATCTCCATTCGTCTCTGGTGCATGTGCATCATCTCCGCCTACCAGCACCTCTTCGTCTTCATCAGACGATGGCGATAAAGAGACAAGCTGTCCTTCGCGTCGTGTACGCTTCTCCCTAGTTCTGGGAGATCGTTTTTCCCGACTTCTGGGAGATACATCATGTGAGGACGTAGTCGTGGTTAGCGTTGTATTAGAGGTAGGGCCTTGGTGATCGTGGACCCCGCTTTTTCTGCCTTTCTCCCTTAGGAAAGGCATAAAAAGCGGGAACAAAAGCACCTTTGCCCTACCCTTAATTTTAGTTGTCGCTGCTGAAGTAGATGATGTAGCTTCTCTTGAAGATGATGCATGTCCTCCATGTTCATCTTTTTCATCTGATGTAGTTCTTGTTGTACAACTGGACGAGGTGCCTTTTGATTTTCTTGTGCCGATGCTACTACAACTAGACGTTGAAGATATAGGCCGTTGAGAACAAGACGACGCTGCAGCGTCTGCTGAATCGAAAAAGCGTTCTCCGTCCGCTGACGCAAGGAATAGGCGTTGACATGGCAATGCAGAAAAATGAAAAGGCTAATGCAAAGTACGTAGTTTTTCTGCAGACAGAAGTAAATAGAAGACAAACATAAAAAAGAAGATAAAAACGCAGCATGATAGTCGCCATGACAATCACGTAAGAAACGCCATGCGCGACTCCTATGCTTAAATTAGAACGGACACCCGATGCTCTGATCCTGCCTAGTTGGCACGAACGTGGTGAGAAACAAGTTCCAAAACATGTAGCACCTCAAGCCCCGAGGGCTTCAAATTGGTGGCATAACATGCGACCAAGAAAATTAGCGCGGAAAGCGCTAAAGCCGATCGGCCGCGAGACCTCAATTGAATAGCCAAGATTTTTTTAACAAAACAAGTGAAGTCGTAACCCCTCCAGTCGACATCTACATGAAAATAATGCTGCACAATGCTCTTCAAAAAATTATGCACAGCGTGCTGCGAGCACTTACTTCGGCCGCCCTCTCTCATCGAAAATAGATAGCAACGAACAAGGAAGCGCTTCGATATGATTCAAGGCCGCACGGTGCCCCCCCCTGTGGTCTGGTCTGTGGTGGCGCGCGCGCGCGCTTTTCCGCGCTGATTTTCGCGGATTCTAGTGGTGGAAGGCGGTCAAAACTTGGCGCAGGCCTCCCCTTGCGCCTCTCAGCGTGTTCCGCAGGGGCCTCCTGGCCTCTGCTGACCCTCGCAGGCGGGAGGCCCCCAGGGTAAAAGGCCGCCGAAGGCGGCCACGGTCGCAAGAGCACGCAAGCCGATGACCAATGTCCCGGAGGGCACAAGCTGCACGGCTCAGGGGTCCAACCCCTCAGCTTTTGCCGCCTTCGGAGGCCTTCCACGGCCGGCGCTCTACTGCGGCGGCGAAGCATATCGGACGCACTTAAGGCACAGGCAAGCACCTGGACGGGGGCGCAGGCGGTCCCTTTGGCCCCTTTTGAAGCCTCCCACCTACATCAGAGGCCTGTAGGCAACAGCCAAGCAGCTGGAGGGGAGCGGAGGAGGGAGGTCACCTGGCCCCCTTTTGAGGCCTTCCACCCCCAGCAGACGCCTTAAAAAGGGGCCCGGGGCTGCACGGTACCGCCCCCCTACGCTACTAGGGGGGGCACCGTCGCCCCGTGCCCTGGATCATATACGACCAAAGGCCGGGCGGCCCCCTCCCCCCCGGTGGTCTGGTCTGTGGTGGCGCGCGCGCGCTTTTCCACGCGGATTTTTCGCGGATTCTAGTGGTGGAAGGCGTCAAAACTTGGCGCGGGCCTCCCCTTGGGCCTCTCAGCGTGTTCCCCAGGGACCTCCTGGCCTCTGCTGACCCTCGTAGGCGGGAGGTCTCCACCCAGGGTAAAAGGCCGCCGAAGGCGGCCACGATCGCAAGAGCAAGCAAGCCGATGACCAAGGGCCCGGAAGGCACAGGCGGCACGGCTGCGGCGGCGAAGCCTAACGGATGCACTTAGGGCACAAGCAGGCACCTGGACGGGCGCGCAGGCGGTCCCTTGGGCCCCTTTTCAAGCCTCCCACCACCATCGGAGGCCCCTAGGGAACAGCCAGGCAGCTGGAAGGGAGCGGAGGGGGGAGGCCACTGGGCCCCCTCTTGAGGCCTTCCCCCCCGGCAGACGCCTCAAAAAGGGAGCCAGGGCGCCCGCCCCGCGCCCTGGAACATATAAATATGTACCATTGCTCCATCAGAGTGAAGGCGAATTGCTTCGAAACCCATCAGCATCAGCTATTAACTAACTACTTATACCTCGAAGAGAAATAGACTCATAAAAAGGGGCTCCTGAGCTCGCATTCGGTGAGGTAGGACTGCTATAACCTCCAGTATTCCCTTTTAGTCTTGACACACTCTTCGGTGACGGAGATACCGAGGTTGCGACAGAGCCTGTATCTTGTAAATCTTCTTCAGATGATGTCGAAGTCGATGTATGCCTAATAGAAGTAACATCTTGCAGCTCTACAACATCAACATCATCTACCTCCTCTGGCATTGGGTGTTCTAAAATATCTTGCTGGTCTTCAGAAGTCCTGTGGTTGTCACCAAGTTGTTGTTCATGGACTCCAGGAGTTTCACCTGAGCAGTAGGGGTCTCCATCTTCATCTTGTTCAGTAGAAGCGGGCAGCACATTAGAGTGTGGATAGGGAACAGGCATCCACCTTGGCCATACCCATTTTTCAAATATACATGAACAACGACGTTGCCTCTTTTTCATCAATGAGGAGGAAAATAGGCAAGTAGGAAGCTCTACCTGTACAGGGAAGCTGCAGTGCCTGGACGGGGGGGATGCAACTTTTGCAGTATCTGTCCATAAGCACGACAACAATTGGAGCAGATGTTGAAGGACCTTTGCTGGTGCATGAAGTGGCACTGACGGCAGATCCAGATGTAGACGGAGATGAAGATGTCATGTCAACAGCTGAAGAACTAGTACTAGATGCAGCAAAAGTTCTGGAGGGAGACCTTGAAGTTAAACTTGTTGAAGTAGCGTCTTCATCGGCAACAGCATGAGCCACCTCATCTTCTAGTTGCACACAGATCTCCTTCGTTATCGGCGTGCTGCATATATTAGCAGTCTTCTCGTGTCGATAGATTCAGATAGATTCAGAGGGAGTAGGAGTAGTAACAAAAAAAGAAAGTCGTCATCATAATCCTGTGTCCACTAATAATCTTGATCTTCAGGAGGTCATCCTGACCTACTTCGTCGCGATAGCGTTAGCGATACTGACTTCTATCAACTATGAATGTTGAGAACAACGAAAGAGAGCCTTGTAAACCTTAGACAGAAAAAGAACGTCGTTTTTCCTAATAGTATTAACTACATAGAGATAGACACAGAACAAGAACATCACCCCTATGCATAGACATGATTTGACTTATTTCCATAACACAAGATTCCATATCGACATGCCGTTCGCGTATCCCGCTTACGGGGCCAAGGCGAGAAACATCTTGATACACGTATTTTCGCAATAGCTGGTTCTCTTCTAGAGTTAGACTAAATGGTTAACTCTTCATCTAGAGTTAGAAAAATAGAAGAATCCGTTTTAGAGTTACTTACGCTTCTCCTCTCGTAGAGGTCTCAGGCTAGCGCTAGGCACGTACAACGATCTTCCCCTTCTTCGTCCTCTATTCAATTCAATTCTAGGAGGAGTTGATCTTTTTTTTTGCAGTGCAAACGAGTTCCGATAAGTCAAAACCTAACTGCGTATTTACCGCGTGGTATCATTTCACATAGTACATCTCCTATGTAAATGTAGACTAAGAAGTGCTCCAAAGAAGTCCATGACTTTTCTGCGAGTACAGAACAGAGGGGTAGGAAAAGGAAGAAAGACGAGACGCTCGCTCATGTGTAAATGTATAAATATATAAATTTATAAACTGTTTCTCCTGTTAACTGACCTGGATCTACAACTACAAGAACATAACTCTAACGCTGCAAGAGTAGCACCTCTAGTTTTCTCCTCTTCGTCTAGTTGTTTAGCTGCTTCCTGTATGACATCAAGCATTTTCGCTTTTTCCACTTCTGCTTTTGTGATCATTGTTTAGATGTGTAGTGACGATGATGACGGAAGAGGTCACCTCTAAGAATCGCAGTAAAGTCCTTGATAGGTGTAGTGACGATGATGACGTAGGTCACCTCTGAGGCTAGAGTTCCTGTTTAGCTTTAGTCGTTCCCCTCTAAATAAGGTGTTGTGACAGCACAAGAGTAGAAGAATACGGGCTAAGCCCACTCTGACAGCAGCAGCATAATGATAGAGGTGCTAGATTGTAGGTCGTTAAGTAAACTAACTGCTGCACTAAATTTTTTGATTGGGGGCGAGTAGAAGTTGGTTGAAGCAGCAGCATAATTTCTTTTTACCGTATCTCCATTGATAATCATTAGCAACACTGATGGATAGAAGATAAGCGGATAGGTAGCTGGATAGGTGGGTAGGCAGGCAGATTATTAGAACTTCCAAGATTATCATTATCCCAACAACTTGCCAAGCATCAAGAACGCAAACATAATTTGCCTCAAGCTCACGAATGGTCGCCTGTCCCGCTGGACCGCTTTCTTCGTTATGTTGTTGAGAGAAGTAGAGGCAGAGACTTTGCAATTGTTCCCCTCTGGCCTCCAAACGAGCACACTCACCTCGCAGCCTCTGAATCTCACGCAAGATTAGAACCGTGACAGCATCTAGTATTCTACTAATCTCACGCAGGATTAGAGTGTTGGCAACATGATCTACCATCCTATTGCTAGAAAAAATTAAGGCAACTACAAGAAGCCAGGAACTGAATTGTTCGGTTCTTATCATGTCATGCAATGGTACCTTGTTCATAGCATTTCGCATCTGTATGTCAAATAAGGATGGCAATCTAATTCTACAGGTTTTACTTCGACTATATCTCAAACAAAATCCTTCTCATAAAACGAGACGTCGGACAACTTCATCATAGCCTTTGACGTTTGCGTCTAGGATGACGTTGTCTTTCAAGAGACAGGTAATCACAGATCCACAAAGGTCACGTTCGGCTTCTGCAATTTTTAAGATGGAGATTAGAAGCACTTCTAAAAATTAGAGGTAGACGTTACTAAGAAAAGAAAGAACTTAGAGGTAGCACGTAGAGGTCTAAGAAGTAGAAGCGGAAGCGCTATTGAAATTAAAAATAAGGAGACCACAGTCTGTTTCTGCTTATGTAATCTTCAAAACTTAGATTAGAAATAGAACGAGAAGAAGTAGAAGACCTAAAAGAAGGAGAAGCGCTACGAGTCAGGAAGTATTGAAATAGAAACTTACGAATCTTAATGAACAATTTATTATTTTGGGACGAGAACTGGTGAAATTGGCGCTCCTAAGTTGGGAGCGTTGAAATTTCTAGCGCCAAGTTAGATGAACTGGATTTGTTAGAATTGGGACTATCCATAAGGAAGGTGGTAGAATGTGTACCCAAGATGAGTCATCCACCGCTGATGAAGAGTCTTCTCCTGTTGACGTATGCTGAGTATCGTCAGCGTCATTCCTTTGGGGTTCTTTGCTCAGTCGTGCCTTTTTCGAAGTTGTTGTATTGTTCAATTAGAAAAAATTTCCGAAAGTCAGTCAGTCAATCAGTCAATCAATCAAGCAGGGCGCCTCCAGAGGGCACCGCCCTCCCTGCATCTGCGACTGCCGCGCCTCGTCTACATCCGTAGACGATATGAGGGAACGACGTTGCCCACACCGCGTGGGCCGGAAAAAAGTTGTGTTATTTCTCGACTACATATTACGAGAGAAAAGCAGAAGACACTAGACGATTGAGCCACGATACAGTCCTGATTCTGTTCTTCGTGATGGTAGTCTACTACTCAGACTCACTGGGGACTGTCTACAAGATGATACCTCACGGAACTAGAAGTTTTGTCTACTTAGATGAAAGAATCTACTCAAAAATAAAGAACATAACTCCCGGACGACGCAGCGAATGCGTCAAAAAAGGTTTCGAGCTCATCGACGGCGCGACTCAGCTCTTCGTCTAAACACGAGACATCTTCAAAATGATCGTCAGTATCGTTCAACATCTTCTGAATAGAAAAAATCCGAGAAATGTCCTCTAAGTAGCAAGTAGGATGTAGTCAAGGTAAAACTACAAGCTGAGTAGATGAACTCTACCAACGAACAGGTCTTCCCTCAAAAATGTCGAGCTAACTAGTAGAGTAAAAATACTGATCATGCGTGGTCGTGGTCGTGCTAGAAGACACTTGGCTTTGCAGAAGTTCTTGCTGTTTGTGTTTGCATCTTCATTAAGACTTTCTTTGAGGACTTTGTACGTTTATGCTAGTTTTGTTGGACTTGTAAATCTATAAATTTTGCTGTTCGCAGCCCCATGGTCATGCATCAACATCAGGTAGATGCTATTTTTCATGCTGGTGGTCTCTCGTCCTCATGCGCAAAGACACATACTTTTAGTAGTCCGCATTTCCCTGGAATACATCTTTTGGATTTTTTTCCAACTACCCCGCGAAAGTAATGGTAACCTGCGGCTCCTCATGCGAGGAGGGGTAAGAGGACTAAGGTGTGCGACCATGGATATGTTCCATTCATGTTCTCCGTCGTCATGGCAGTGCGTGGCACGCAGGTTTCTTTTTATAAAATTTCCATATTGCAACAGGAGTCGTGGCCGTTCCTTATCCTTTTTCTAGTACACGACGTTCTATTCTTGACATGATATTTTTTGCATGTTTCTCGTGAGCAATATCATTCTACGACCAGGCATAACAGAATATCTTCAGTACGTCGACGAAAGGACTCCTGGAAAAGAAAATGTTATAAAGTGCTCTTGATATTACTGCGATACTGCTTGCAGCAGCACGTCTTCTTTCAAAATTAATACAGTGACTATGCAAATAACAACTTAAGTACGCTTAATATTAAGAGCAATAAAACTTTGCAAACACATCCCTTCGGAAACCTCAACCTCCAACACCCAAACCCAAAACCTCCAACACCCGAACCCAAAACCTCCGACACAAAAACAAACAAACCCCAAACCCATGAACCCATGAACCCATGAACCCATGAACCCATGAACCCATGAACCCATGAACCCATGAACCCATGAACCCATGAACCCATGAACCCATGAACCCATGAACCCATGAACCCATGAACCCATGAACCCATGAACCCATGAACCCATGAACCCATGAACCCATGAACCCATGAACCCATGAACCCATGAACCCATGAACCCATGAACCCATGAACCCATGAACCCATGAACCCATGAACCCATGAACCCATGAACCCATGAACCCATGAACCCATGAACCCATGAACCCATGAACCCATGAACCCATGAACCCATGAACCCATGAACCCATGAACCCATGAACCCATGAACCCATGAACCCATGAACCCATGAACCCATGAAACCAGGAAACCAGGAAACCAGGAAACCAGGAAACCAAGAAACCAGGAAACCACGAAACCACGAAACCATGAATGAAACCATGAATGAAACCATGAAACCATGAAACCACGAAACCACGAAACCGCGAAACCGTCATGAAACCGTCACGAAACCACGAGACCACGAGTGAAGCCATGGGATTGAATTTCGGGAGAAAGGGCATAAAATCAAAAATTTTGGGATCTTAGCATTTCAAACTCACGGGATTCACTCCCAAAAAGACGAAAAAGGTGGAAAATTTTTGAAATTTGAAAAACGTGAAGCCAAGGGATTGAATCAGAGGGGAAGGGCTTAAAATCGAAAATTTTGGGATCTTAGCCCTTCAAACTCAAGGGATTCACTCTCAAAATGGCGAAAAACATGGAGAATTTTCGAAATTTGAGAAATGCAAACCCAAGAAATTGAATTTCAGCGAAAGGGCTTAAAATCAAAATTTTTGGAATCTTAGCACTTCAAACGCACAGAATTCAATCCCAAAACGACAACAAAACGTGGAAAATTTTCGAAATTTGAAAAATGCGAATCCAAGAAATGGAAACTCAGCGAAAGGGCTTGAAGTCAAAAGCTTCGGGATCTTAGCACTTCAAACTCAGGGGATTCAGTCTCAAAATGGCGAAAAATGGGGAGAATTTTCGAAATTTGAAGAATGCAAATCCAAGACATTGAACCTCAGCGAAAGGGCTTAAAATCAAAAATTTTGGGATCTTAGCACTTCAAACGCACAGAATTCAATCCCAAGACGACAGGAAAACGCGGAAAATTATCGAAATTCGAATAATGCGAATCCAAGAAATGGAATCTCAGCGAAAGGGCTTAAAGTCAAAAGCTTTGGGATCTTAGCCCTTCAATCTCAAGGGGTTCACTCTCAAAATGGCGAAAAATGTGGAGAATTTTCGATATTTGAAAACGCGTATCGCTTACATCTTTGCCGTGCTTAATTTCTTACTTTTGGGAGGAGGGGGATCCTAGTGGGAGGGATGTTATCGAACGCTCCAAGCTAGTACACATACATAGTTGGTGAAAAAAAGTAAACTTGTGAGGACTTACCTTTACGTTAAATAATCATGATCGAATTCAACCCCCAAACTGTAATATTAGTACGACGACAACTACCAAAAGCTAGGATCACTACGCGTTTTGCAATATCAATATCTAATTCTATTGTAAAACTCGTACTCGACCGACATTGACTCATGGACTTGTTGTCCCAATCATCTTCGCTACGACATCGTTCTGTGAGTGCGAGAAACTTCTTCTAGCTCCCACGTGCCGTACCTTAAATGCAAACCCTAGCCACAACCGATGATCGACTCATCTAGCTAGAAAGAGGAAGAGCTACTACCAAACTTCGAGGAGATGTTAGAGGTTCCGACATTGCAATCTTCAGCAGAACATCCCTGACTTCTTTCATTTTCTTAGTAGGGAAGAACAATCAGGGATCATGTTAGTGCAGGATGCAATCATCTGGAAACCCTTAAAGATGTATCTATGAGCCAGATCAAGTTCGGCAGAAGGAATTACTCGCAGCTCATGCTCCAGCGTAGATCCTCCGGCTGCGGATGGGTAGGGCAATCCGGCTGACGTTTGCGGATACTTTCTGTTGCTGGGAATCAAAGTTAGAGCTTTCTTCTGGGCGTTCATGGGCGCGGGCGTGGGGTAGTTGCTGTATTTAAGAATTGCTCCTGATAGGCTGGTGCGGGGTCGTTGCTTTGAGAATGTCTGATTGATAGCGACCCCCTCAAAGTCCTGATAGCGACACTCTCAAAGTTGGTTCCCCACATGAAGATAACCTTAACAACGGCTTCGCACGTCCAAGCTCCATCATACTCTCGTGCTCGTCTAGCTGTTCGCTTTGGAGATTATTACCTTGCGCGCTCGTGCATGATTAGAACGAAATAAGTCCCACAACTAGCGGCTGTAGTCAGCAGAGATCTGAGACCATAACAATTAGAACAGCAAGGCTAGGCAAACCATAGTCGCTGCGGCGACCACAGCACAACACACACGAAGAGCAAAGAAATCCGGCGCGATCGTACCCGTTGCCCGGAGCGCATCAACACAAACAAAGAAACAACTACAACACAGCATAATTACAACCCAATCTACTATACTGTATTTGCAATGTTCTTCATTAAAAGAGGACTAAGAAGGTGCGTCATGTCATCCATAGTACCTCTTGCGCAGATATCGTGTCTACTTGTGAGGCGTATGCAAAGAGTTAAAAGATAAAACAACAGCGACCCCGCCAAACTCTCACTTTTCCACTTCCGGGCCCCAAACTCTCACTCTTCCACTTCTGACTCGTGCACTTCTGAACTTGCGAACTTATGAACTTGCGAGGCCTGGGAATTGCTTAGATCTGACGGCATGCAGATGGGCACTAAGTTTAACCTTTACGCGATACAGTCAAAATTTTACAAGTTGAACTCCAAAAGTTATAATCTTTCAAAAATTCAGGGCAATGCCCAGAAGTTTACAAATTCTAACTTTATTACATTGCAGCAGAAAGCATAAGATAATATGACAGAGATAGACAAAAAAAAATCAACAACGACCCCTCCAACATCCCATCCGAACCCAACACACCGAACCAAAAAAATCTGAGCCGCAAGCACTTGAACCAAAAACATGCGACCCCCATCGCAAATCTTTCCGCTCCTTTTCTAATCAACCAACAAACACAACACACGAACCCCCGGCACGTCGTCGAGCATTCATTAAAATAAAGCGCGCCGCGATTTAATTTAGTTCGCACGCGTTAAAGCCAAGAACTTTGCCCAAAAAGCCCAACTTTTTGACTTTATCAGCTAAAGCCTTATCCCCAACCTCAAGCCCAAAGGCGTAGGTAAGACTTAAGTAGTTGCTACTTAAGCTGAAAGCCCCTCCTGAAACCTCAAAGCCGAAGCCTCAAAGCTGAAAGTTCAAAATTGAAAAATCAAAACTGAAAACACAAAATCGAAAGCCGAAAGTTGAAGACTCAAAGTTGAGAGCCCAAAGTTGAAAGATCCGGGTTGAAAGCTCAAAACTGAAAGTTCAAAGTTGAAAGTTCACAAATTAAATGACTCAAAGTTCCAAGCCCAAAATTAAAAAATCAAAAGTGAAAAATCAAAATAAAAAAAGCAAAATTGAAAGACCCGGGCTTTAGCCCAAAGTTGGGCGCTTAAGAATAAAGGCGGCGCCTCAATGTCTCAAAAGTTCAGGCCTGAGACTGGAAATCCAAAAATTTTGACAGTATCCGATAAAGACGAAACTTAAACGATTACCATCCAAAAGAAGAAGAATCGCGAGAAGTTGCAAGCTCGAGCGCTGCATCAACTTGCACGCAAAGGAGGCCAAACCTACCAAAAGAAGAGCGCACCGACATGCCAGCGACTTCGGCCCGTGCCGTTTTAATCAATGGCCGCACGCCGTCCCCCGCCCAGCTCTTTTCCCACCGACCAACGCCGCCCGACGGTCGTCGGGCGGGGGAGGAACCGGGGAAGCGGAGCCGCGCCGGGGTTGAGCAGGAAGTGCGTGCCGAAGGTGGAGGATCCTAATGGGAAGAGTGCTACCGGGCGCTCAAGTCTAGTATATTTAACACATAATATATCAACCCGCAAGAGCCCCACAAAGACGAGCGCCATACTATGCAGCTTTCGACACATTGCCACCATGATGGAATTGGAAAGAAGTGTTTTGAAGAAATGAAAAAGATTCAGCTATCATCATGATAGTATAGTTGTTCTACCATAAGTGTGAATCTTATTCTTTGCGCTTCTGCTTGCGCTTCCTTGGTCATGGTCTATGATATCCTTAGTGAAATAGATGCCCAAGGGAGACACGAGGCTCATCAGTCCGACTAGAAACCACATCTTTTCGCCGCCATTCCTCTTGTTCATCTTCGTTTTAGAAGTTGTGTTGTAGGAGTTGTAGATCCATCTAGACGTTATGTACTTAGTAGTTAGTTTCGGTCATGGACGAGAAGAGAAAGAGACTCATAATCTTGAGCGAAAGAGTAGCTACGGTTACACGAAAGGGCATCAGATGCAGATCATTATCATATTTATAATGTTTGGTTTGCTTTTTCCTCAGAAAGAGGGTGCAGATCCTTCTAATTCTAACACTTTTACCGCCATAGCTGTCGCACTTTTAATCGGAACCAGAGACTGTCGTATTTCAAATTAACGAATTCTAAGACATTTTGAACTCCGTAACTGTAGATCCTTGTAGCACGTCTTCTAAACCTCTTCCACCTGATAAGAGTGCAGGATCGGGCACGAAGGTGTCCAACAAAAAGCCGCTTAGAGAACCTGCAATCAATGTTGCGCAAAAGGTTGGTGCGTTCGCTAATGCAAGATCTTAGAAGGTATTTTCAATACAGCTCCAGCATGCTAGTGTAGCTGTACCTGTAGAAGGTGTTGAAGTAACTTTAACACACCTTCAACATGCTAGTGCGAGAGCGAGAGCTTAGAAGGTACTTAGCTATCCTAAACCCTTCCACCTTATTTGTTTCTAAAGTAAGTTGCAAGGAAACACTCAAGAACTAGAACAACAGAGTACCGCAATTGATCTTGGAAGGACTTCTAATGCTACAAATGGTAGCATTGCCCTTGTCTTGTATCCACATGCAAGTAGTTGTATCAACCTCTTAATCTGCAGGCTCGTCTTACTAGGTCTTAAGAAGTACAAAGCTCCCTAATGATTCCTCTCTTCTTAAGTATAAGTTCCTTCCCTTCCAGGCTCCGCCACTCGCATTGTGTACTCATACAGTCGTGGTGACCAGCATGCCTCTCCGATAGCTAGTGTTCTTATTAGAGCAGCGCTCAATGTCGTGGTGCTGGTACCTCCCCAGGATTTAGGAAAAAAGGTAAAGAAGCAGAGACTCGGATAACATAAGCGAGCATTATACAGTTTATCTATCGGCTTTGGTTTCAAACCACAACTGACAAACTAGCGTAGAGGTGCTGGATGTAGAAGTTCTAGAGAGCGACAACCCGACTTCGTTCGGTCAGCATCAGCCTTCATAACGTTATGAACAAGACTGCATTCGCATAGCTGTGCCCAAGAGAGAGCCAGAAAGGAGCTGCTGCACTGAAACAGGAGCATATCTTAGAGCTACAAAAGGTAAAGCAAGACTCACCTTAGTAAAGATTCAACATGGCGCAATGTTGAAAGAAGATGCTTTTATCTTCATATCAAGCCTGCTTCACAAGAATAAGTTGTATCATTATCTATCATCTGCAGCGAAGAACAAGAAACGGTGTTTGGTTATTTTCATTTTCATATCAAGGGCCTTAGCGATGAATATCATCTGCAAGGAAGATACATTCTGCGCAGCCATGCCAAGAGCAGGAACCAAAACCAAAATCAATAGCGGGTCCAATGCGATAACAGAACCATACCTGAGATAACAGAAGTACACCTACAGAAGTTGCACAGGTAATATCACGGGTTTAATGTGACAGTAAAAGGAGTAGTAGACAGGTAATAGGAGTTATAACAGTTAATGTACTACAAGTAGTTATAGCATCCAATGTGATAACAGAACCATACGTGAGAAGTGCAATTTATTAGTGGTGGAAGAAACGTTAGCGCGATTCTGAGGACGATGTGATTGAAACGTTAGCGGGATTCTGTGGAGAAACGTTAGCGCAGTGAAAGGGTTTGAGCAATTATAACATTATCATTAGATGGATGAACATTAACTAGAACTATAATGCTTTGTGGTGGAGCACCTAACTAGAAAGGCAAAACCAGGAAAAGGCAATCTATCAGGTCTAAAAGGAAATCTATTTTATTAGGTTTAGGAACTATAATACCATCAAGAAATAATAATACAATGCTCCAGGTCCGATTTCTCTGATGAGGTATTTCGGAAATAGAGCATCCAGATATCGGAACACGACACGAACGCCGAGTAGGAGACACACAAGCAGAGAAAATTAGAGTCCGTGCTGGCTGAGGTTGTAAAAATCGAAAAAGTGAGGTTGATCCATTTAGTATTTCTACTTCTTATTTCATCGTGATAGTAGCTACTTGTTGCTCTCGTTTTTCGTCGTGGTCCTCGAGCTGCGAGGTCGTGACTACTAGTAGATCCATCCTTAACATGTTGTTGAGTATGAGCTATTGGCTTGTCATTTGTCATAGAATTGCTACAACTTACGTTAAAGATCGAGATCCTGAATACTATATTCATTGCGCGCCACCTTTCACTGAGAGCCAGCTGGTACCAAAGTAAGAGTTCTCCATTCAGATTAGGGCCCCGAAGCAAATGAAAATGTAGCTGTCTTCTTCTTTTCTTTCTAGTACAACAAGCTTCTTCTTTTCTTTAATATTTATTGCAACAAGCCATCTCCAGTGTCCTTAAAAAAAGCGCCAAAATCTAGGACTTCGAAAGACATCGGAGTACAAGGATGCTGGTGACTGTATACGGCAACGGCTGAAGCGGTTCAATCTACTGCAGCTACTTTTAGTAGTACTTGATGTTGCTTGTTCGTCTCTTTCCGTAGGGAGGTGGAAAAGCTGATGTGATGAAGGGACGACCTCCCGTGCTCCTTGTCTTTTTCTCTTAGAGATAGGAGAAATCCATCTCGAGATGCATCCTGGGCACGTTTTCCCCTAAAAAAGCCTCTTGCTTCAGGATATCTGATGTCAAGAGGACTCGAAATGGATTAAAAGAAGCCTCAACGTTAACCATTCTATTCATGATGTCAAGAGGACTCAACAAGAAAGATGGATTAAGACAACAAGCCTTAACTATTGTTGTAGGCTGTGAAGATGACAACTGCGTTCCTACTTGTTCTTCTCCTGTTGCACTAGACGTGTGGCAGTGTTCTCGCTCATCATCCTCCACTTGCACCAACGTGCCGTCTTCCAGCATCTCTAGGTCTGACAGTAACGTCAACGCGACGAAGAGAGATGCGAAGGTTAACAAAGCTCAGACATTAGAAGACGTGCTGGGGAAGGAGAGGGCTACAAAGCCGACAGACTAACTGTAGAAGGGGTGGGGAGAAGGCTACAAAGCCGACAGACTAGTAAGTGTAGAAGGGGTGGGGAGAAGGCTACAAAGTTGACACATTAATCATAGAAGGGGTGAGGGGAGGGCTACAAAGCTCAAACATTAGAACAAGAGGATAGAATAGGATAGGATAGGATAGGATAGGAATGGACACTGACATTCCAGCACAGCAGGGCAAGGCGAGGGCTGATTTTATTCGCTACTCCCTCTATGATGATACCTCAGCGTCCAGTATTCAACAAGGATAGAAAGAGCATACTAGGATCAAGAGCTGTGCTTCGCTCTACAAGATGACTCTAGAAAAGCATTAAAACGAAGCAAGCACGCACTCAGGTGACCGTGAGGGTGACGGTGAGCCACCTCCTTATTTAAACGTGCGCCTTAACAGAGAGAATCAGCAAACGGAAAGCGGAAATCTTAGGCCAATCCGGAAAAATTTCTAGACCGTCTCTGCATTAGAAGGGGCTTCCACTAAGATGACGACGATGATGATCATGAAGGTGATGATGTCCTACCGAGCAGAGCATCAAAATCAAATCCTCTACCGATTATATTAAGTCAACCTCAACTTTTTATCTCATACCATTTCGAACATCCTGACAATCTACGTAACTCCAGAGGTTTCTGTAACCATGCATAATTGTAGTGTTGTCGAAAGAAGTCGACTAGGGGCGCTGCAGTAACTGCTGCGACATTCATGATCACGTAGAAGATCGAGTAGGCTAGCACTCGGTCTTTCTCTTGTGTCAGTCGCTTTACCCCAATCTGTAAAACCGGCACACCCATATGAATGTTGTTTTTTCTCCCCTGTAGAGGGAGACCATCGGTCCTGGCAGTTTTTCCATCCCCCCGAAGAAATGAGGGCCAAGATCGGGCCCCCGTTGAAAAAAGTGCTGCCTACACACTCTCGTCAAGGGTACCTAAAAGAGGCAAACTTTCGTCAAGGGTAAATAAAGGGAGAGCCTCGACGATGGTCTTGTGTTAAATGCGAGAGAAAACGTCACCCATAACCTAAACTGGTTCCCGCTGGGAGGATTACGAATAAATTCAACAACACCGCCTCCACCGATTCGGTTACGACCAAAGCGCAACGCGCAAAGAAGAGCAAGAAGTTAGACAAGAACTAGAACTCTTCCTCTTGCCCAAGTAGCATAGAGAATAATCCCAGATACTCTTTCACTTGCTTCTTTATTGGGGTGGCCCTTGAAGGTTACTTGCCAAGCCCCTCAGAGAGAATAGTCCCAGTGTTACAACTACTTGCTTAATATTGATTCATGTTGAGTATGCGGGCAATATTCTGACTCTGCCTTAAGATGAAACATCCAAAAAGTAGCGCTAAAAATAATGAACTGAATAAATTTATCAAGGAAGTACAACTGTCTGCCTTAAGCAACATCCCGAAAGTAACGCTCCACTTGACGCCCACCGAATCAACCACCGTAGCCATGAGAAAGCCATAAAAGCTAATCAAAAGCCCCTGGATTCCGTAAACGAGCCCGGCTGTCTCGTCAGTCATGGAAAATTCTTCGCTGAGGAAGAGGATCAGGGTATACGACAAGGCGAAGTACGAATACGATTCCAGGTATTTCTTTGATTAGAAGATCACTGCTAGATAATAGTGTTCATTCATACACTTCAAAAATACACTTCAAAACCTTTACTCTAATGCACCTGGTACTAAGTAGATCAGCCAAATGATCTTACCCAAGAAATCCAAATATTCACATCCAGCTTGTTGGCAGTCCATCTTGGTAAGAATCGTGGTATTTATCTGGCACTCTTACATGTTAGGGTCTAAAAAGAGCAAGCAGCCATAAAACAAGTAGACAAGGTAGAGTTCTCGTGGAGCCGCATAGCGTAGAAATCGCCAAAAACCGCTTCCCATCTCTTCGACTTCTTTCATTTTGTAGTTGTACAGGGAAAGGGAAAGTCTGATGCTGGTGTTACAAGGTTGTTGTACAGAGAAAGTCTGCTAGAAGAACTGTCAATCCAGTTACTAGGTTGTACAGAGAAAGTCTACTAGAAGAACTACCAATCCATCTGAACATCCTCCGGATCTTCATCCAGTATGAGCATTAGGATGGTTAGAATGACCCGACGATGATGATGAGCACGAGCTTGCTGATGCGATGTGCATGTGAGGAAGTTGCACAGGTCGTTCGATGCGTGTTGGTCCAACTCGCGTTAAATTCGGACTCAGAGGAAAGGTGACGGAAAATGATTGATATCTCCGGTGGAAGTAAGAGACTGCTCGTGTTCTAGTTGTGGTGCACCGTTTGGGTCACTCTGTACCGCAGGTAAAGAAAACTCCGACATCTTCACGACTACCCATGGCGTTTTCTACGCTGTCAAATGCGACGATACTCATATACCCACGCGGCCTACGCTTGCTATGCTTGATGCAGCTAGCGATGCCTTAGGTGCATTCTAGTACTCGAGTTGAGTGCATAGTGCCTCTAGCTCTAAATCATGCTGCGACACGACATATGTGAATACAACCAGATGATCAAAAAAGGTGTTGATAGATACTTCGGAATTCATCTAGGGCACTTCTATCTAACAAAAGCAAACTGTGGGGAAAAAGAGTCTTCTCATCCTTCTCACCCTTTCTCGTCTAAAATTTCCTGGAAATGATTCGTATTCACTCTCCTCTAACGTACCACGGCGGCAGCACCAGGGTAGAAGTGTTCATCTTGTTGTTGTTCTTGTTCAAATTAATTAATACCTGCTAGTGCCATGAAGAAAAACATCTTCACGCGCGACTAGTCTTAGCGAAATGCAGTTTTTGATGTCTTTGATGTCCTGCTTTGGCTGTCAAAAAGGGATGAAGCTCGTCCTGCGTCATCATTTCACTTTATTACAGCTGTCCGAAATTCATCTCTGATGTGCATCCTTCAGTAAAATCTTGGGAGAGTATGCCCCTGCGATACTCCCCACCCAGACTTTTCAAGGATGCACTTGGAAGATGAATTGGCGAGTGCCTTAATTACGGTGCTGAGTCATCGCCCTCATAATCATCGTCAGTCCACTCATCATCGTCGTCGTCAATGTCTGTAGGTTTCTGCAAGGGCTCTCGCAATTTCGCTTCCTTTGCGAGCTTGTATAAGACGCTGAAGTCAGAGGCTCCAGGAAGGGCAACAACCAGGCTCGTCTACTATGATGGAGATAGTAAGTACAGCAAAGATGACGAGCACGAGGTAGATTGCAATAGCGCTTGCGACCTAATAGAGTATAACTCGTTTGAAGATTCTATGCTGCACTGATAAAAATATCATAGTCTTCATAATAGCATACATAGTATCATATCAACAAAACGAATTCCGAAAAAAGAAGATCGCCTAGTACTGATACTGATTGCTCGAAAAATGAAAATAAGCGAGTAGCTAATTGAAATAAACGAGTCACGACCGCGCTGCTTTTCTTCCAGCAATTATATCTCGATTATTCTAAGTACCTACTCGTTTATTTCAGTCAATCAATTAGTATGTGTATTAGTTAGCGATCTACATCAGCATAACAATAGTCGCGAGCTCCAAAATCCCGAGGGCGGTGAGAAGCAAAATGCCGAGTGTGATCAGTGGTGGCTCCGGAGCCGTAGGAATAGTGAAGTCGTAGACACGAGCTGGCGCGCCCGGCTGATCTGTAGCTTGGACTTGTATGTGGGGAAGTGTGGAACACAATGTGTGGTGTCAGGAAAGTCAACTACCACAACGACAAGAAAAAGAAGCTCCTGTTGAAAATTTTCTACGTACTTCAACATAACGCACGCTAAAAGCAGATTTCCAGCATAGACATAGAAAATAATATGAAGAAACTGGTCTCAACACCGTCTCACATTATACCCAAACAAATCAAGTAAGGAAATAAAAATACACTGCGGCACGGTGACCGACTGAATGCCCGTGGCAGTAACGATCTCCTTCTGAAGGATGTCTAGAAACGCTGCATCGCCCAACGCTTTGGACCCAAAGTCCGCTGGTAGCTCCCTTGACGTGTCTATGTAACTGGTAACGTAATCTACGTAGACGTACCAGTCAGTAGCGCCAGAGGCAGGGGCAGAGGTGTCAATTGCAGTAGAAGCTGCGACGTCAGATTTCTGAGAGGACGTGTCTTCTAAGAATTCTGTTTCTCCATTGGTAGAAGAAGAATGTTTGTCCTTTGCAGGCTCTACTTGTCTTGCAGCGTCTACTACTACTCGTCCTTGGATACTATCGGTTACAATAGTGTCTTCCCCTTTGGAAAGCTTAGATGACGTAGATGTTGTATCCCCAGCAGGTGCAGCTGGGTGATTAGTTTCTACTTTCCCGTCGCCACGACTAGAAGCTTTTTGGTTTTGTGCGTCTTCTTCTATCAAACTTGGCGACGTTGACGTTGAGCTTGAGGTTGATACAACAGCCTTACCCTTACTTCCACTGATAATTCTTGTTGAAGTTGACGATGCTTCTTGTCCTGCTACTACTGAACCGCGTTGATCCACTGCACCTGTTCCTGTCGTCTCCTGAGTCTTGGCGTCCGGATTTTCTTGATTCAGGACCACTCCTTCTTCCTCTAGCTCTTCCCTAGTCACTTGTCTGATGGACGCATCTTTGGCATCCTCCGTTGCTCTCCGTTGTAACCTCCTTGTTGTTGTCGGTGAAGTACGCGCGGTGACTTCGACATATGGAGATGGAGAACTTTCTTCGTCATTTGGAGATGGAAGACTACTCCTGGAGCCACGCCTTGTTCTTGTTGTATTCTCATCGGCATCTTCGGGATCTGGTAGAGTGGAACCTGATCGATGACGAAGGATTCACTGAAATGAGGTTCGGAACGCGTGACTTAGTTGGAACCAAAAAATGAAGTGGACAGAGTCTTGTCCGAAGTAAAAAAGGGACTTGCTTCATCTAGACCTTGCTTGGGGCACTTGCTGTTGCGAAGTTCAAAAAGAACATGAATCATCAATACCGTCGCTGCTTGCGCTATCCTCCTGCTCTTGCAATGCCGCTCCGGTACTATGGACTTCCACATGAGAAAGCGTCCTGTCTGTTTTGCCGGAGAGAGCGTTGAGACGCTTTGCAGACGTTGCGAGGAGCAATACGACTCGCAGGGGAGGTCGCAGAGCACTAGTAGTTCCCAACATTTTTTACACAGTTACAACCCTCGTTTGGTCCATTGATTCCTTGATTGCGATAAATTTTAAGACCCCTCCCCATTTACGTAGCCTAATGGCCCACACTGAATACAACATTTTTTGAGTTGGGCACTTTCAAGGTGCTGGCCTCCTTTGAGATTTTCTTTTCTCTCAAATCTCAATGAGCCTCGCGAAAAGTACCTGTGAGGGCGTTTCCTCACGTGCGGCGTGGTTCCACGCTGCGACAGCGTCTGTCGGAGCCGCAAGTTGAACTTCCCTTAAGGGAATTATCGAAGCATTGCCTTCTCATATCAAAAAAATTCAGCATGAAAAGGTAGGTCGTTAAATGTAGCCGCTTTCATCTTTCAAAGCCAAACGAGTCACAGTCTCAATGGTGCAATAGTATCATTAGAGGATGGGGCTCGGACATTCTGGTACTGAACCAGGCCATTTCTTGATGATGTTGTTGACTGACCCTGCAAAGAACCAGAAAAATATTTTCTCCTATTCGAGGAGGAATTTCCGCCACCTCCTCCAACTGTAGCTGCAGACGTCATGCTTTCATTCATCTTATCCTTATCCCGGCTCCTTGAGGAAATCGCTCCACGACTAGAGGCTCTGGAAATCATACTCCCTCGTCTGGGCGATTTGTTGTAGTTGTTCACCCTGTTAATACTGTTCTTTGGTCCACGACCTCTTCTATCTTTATCAAAATCTGTTGAAGTTGTATCATGATCATTACGCCTGGCGCTTCGTTCTCCTTCTCGATCGCGTTGATTATAATTCCTATCTCGTAGCCGCAGTTTAGTAGACCAAAAACTGCCATCCTCGTCGTCGTCTCTCGGTTTCAGCAGCTTGCAAAGCATTGCGCAAGCTAGCATGTGCACGATAATCGCCAGGATACCGCCCAACACTGAGCCTTGCTGTACCGAGAAGGACATCAAAAGCACACAAGCTATGATTGATACGAACCGCAACAACAGCGCCAGTTTGCAAGCTGCGACACGATCGCGCCATGTCAGTAGCCAATGGGTGAGGAAAGAGGCGACACAATGCCAAGCAGCTAGAAAGCGCATCGTTAGAACTGTCCGCAGTTCATCCTTCAAGTGCATCCGTGAAAAGTCTGGAGGATCCCGATACGTTTCGAGGATGCTTCCAAAGATGGATTAGCTACAGCCTTAACATCGGGAAGTCGGTATCGCCGTCTTGTAAGTCTCCACCTCTCCCTAGCTCTCTTCCGGTGAGCAAAACGATCGCCAAGTCGCAGACATACACCAAAGCAAAACAGCGCTCAACGCCATAATCTGTTCTAGGGAAGTTCTTGGTGGACGAACCAGCAGCACCGCGAGAGAAGTAAGAGGAGGAATTCATATTAGAGCGCACAACGTCTCACTTCTTGTGTACATTTCTCGCAATCCTGCTGAGAAGGAAATAAGGAGAAATGGCTTGCAGAAATGAATTTTTTTCTCTTGCAGAAATGAATTTTTCTCTTGATCATCGTCGGACTTATCCCTCCATCCACTCGCCAGCCAGTAGTCAGAGAAAGGTTAGAGACTAAACGAAGGACGAGCTGATTAATTCAACACGTAGAACACGTGTCTCATTCAACTGTGAAGATGCACTGTCTAATAACTGAAGAGTCCTCAGAGAACAAGTGCTGTCATTATCAAAACAAAGATCAGAGAAGTGTACTCAGATTTTGAACAGAAACGAGACTTCGCGAGACCTTCAATGCACAGCACGTTGTTCACTTGGATACCATAAACTTGTCCTGTACAAAGAGGACTCAACGTCGAGACAAAGTTGTAGGCTTCAACGACTCACTGATCGTTTTCTTCGCTCGTCCTGTCTCTCACTGCCTCTACTACGAAACTTTCCTAGACGGGAAAATGCTCATGCACTTTCAAATGAAGTGATTACGGCGCCACCATTCTCCCTCCTGCGAGTGGCTCGTAGAGCTCAGTAAAAGTTTTTCTGAAACTCGTAGTATTTTGCTGACGTGATTGAACCAAAACCGCCCATGACCCCTGCTTTCATGTCAAAACATGCATGATTGAAGATGCTCGCGTGGCTCTCCGCAAAAAATATTTGTTAGTATCTCCAACCAGAGAAGTGCTACTAGTCGAACGACCATGAAAATGCTCACGATCAGAGACATTGACATCGATCTTCCGCATTTCTTTGGTCTTTGGCGGCTCTCTTGATGAATTGAATCTATTCGGCGAGCTGCCTAAGATTTCCCAGACGAGTGCTACCCGCTAGTCTAGCTTGTTGTTGGATTGTTATTGGTCTGTCGATTGTTCCTGTTGTTCCTGATGGTGAACGACGAGACTCAGGCTTCTGCCTTGCTACTTGTGCCCCGAGGTCTCTGTTTTCTGCGTTGCTTAGCTGCGCCCCCCTTTGGCGGCTCTCTTAATATTATTCAGTTAATAATACTTTTTTCCGAAGCGAAGGAGTGCAAATATGTCCAATAGATGAAAGAAAATATTACTTTTCGGTTCTCGATGAGAATTGTTCTAGCCGTCGTGGACGTGCATGGTACATAAACCAGCGAGTACTGTTGTTGGTACATATTCTGACTCTATAAATGTTGAGAGACTAGATTTTTGACTGATTAAGGACAAAGCATAGCCTATGAATGTCTGACTTTCTATTCAATTACTTATGCCGGCCTTTAGTTTCAAAAACATACATGGACTACAATACTGGAGACCGAGACGGGCAGCAAGATAACAAAATCAAAAAGTTGACTGGTCATGAACTGTAATTGAGTGCTTGATCGACGTGGTAGAATAGCGATGATGACAACACTAGACATACTTTGGGTTCGTGATTTTGATAAAATATCAATCTCTTGGAGATACCACAACCCCTCAACAATAACAGAAGTGCTACCTGCTCATCAAAAAATATAAGACATTGACTGCACCATCTGAAATAGGAAGACTGAAACGGAAACAGGTAAGTAAGTTGTCTGTTACTCATGCTAATTGAAACCTCCGTCGCATGTTGATGACTCGTAATTATCATCTGATTGTTGATTTATCGCTCTTGTTGTGAGTTAGTTGATTCTACCTAGTGCCATGGCCATTGTCGCTACTTAATTATCATCACAACATTTACAGCTTGCTTCAAGGGACGATTCATTCTCTATACAAAACTATCTCGCTACAACTATGTTCGAGGCAGTAAAACTTCATATGCAAAAATGTCAACTTTTCACGATTGTTCATTTTGAAAATCTGTCCAAGAAGAGTTGTGCTGCCTAGCTCTAGTCGTGATACATGTTAAGAAGGGTTCTGAAAAGACTAAAAAACTAATAGATACTAATCCTCGCTAATTGTGAATACTACATAAGACACGAAGGTGTTTCGTAGCTTTTCGATGGTGAAGGAGTATTGATCATCACGCAAAGTGATGCTATCAATCAAGAGATACGGACAGGACCTTGCTAGGCTCCACTGGAGAAATCTGCACGCTCCCTCAGATACAGCCTGGCTTATTTAATTTGGGCACCACCACAACGAAAAAAAGAAGTTGTCACGTGCGTGCGATTTAATTTTACCGCTAGATGGCCGGTTCTAGTGCTAAGCTACCTGTACCTCAGAACAGAAATAACTTCTGTACGGGGGAACCTGCTGCTGTTGAAGATAATCGTCATTATTCGTTTTTTGTATCACTTCTAGTTCTACTACGCAAGAACAATCGATATATCACCCACTTACCTACATTCACACTATGCGAGCACATTTGTTACATAATTGATCGAAAAGGACGGAAAGCAGGACTATTTATTCCTGGCTTTGTGTTAGGGATCTGAATACCAGCACCAAGGAGAGTTCGCCTCCGACTTGCTTTCTGTTTATTGAGCAGTTATATTTCATAATATTGAGGCAAAAGAACTGTTTTCAACAACAACAACGAACCTTGTTCTTGTTGAGAATAATAGTACCATAGCTAATTATAATATATCACTGATTTTATTTTTGATTGATTCATATCTCTAGAGTATTTAAACACAACGATCCATGGTCGTAGTCGATCAACGAATTAATTAGGAGGTCTAGGAAATTCATCTTAGGAATCATCTGGCTCGCTTTTTCTTCTTGTTTTCTTCTTCCAGATGACTTGGGACATGAATTCCCTACACCGATAAATCAATTTTTAGACAATTTCTTCAGCAGCGTTACCCCACGCGACGAAGGTGCTCTTTACTTTCTGCAGAAAGAGAACGAGGTAGTTGCCCATCAAAACCGTGTGTAGTGCATCTGGCAAGACGTAGCACCATAAGAATGCCGGAACCTCCACAGCGCGGACCCCTGATGGTGGATAGGTTGATGGAGTACATAAGGTCATGGATAGAAGATTACAAGGTGATGTCATGTGTCTGCTCCTGATATTACCATTCGTGATCACCGTAGAAGATTACAAGGTGAAAGTGATGGCAATATCTATATCAGCACCAACAGTATAATATTGACCTTACATCAGTCATCGTGAGACAGAGCGAAAGTTGGACGTTGAAGATGGTTGCATCACAGAATTCTGGTCTGAAGCATATTAAACCAGAACAACAAGAATGATATTTATTCATTCAAATCTTCTTCTAGTTTCATGTATCTCAGCAAGAAAATCATACAGGCAGTGTAGATGATGTGGCCCCAAGCGAACATGCGTAAAACTCTGGAAACGCATAGAGTTCCGACAAAGTTCGCGGCTCCGTCTGATACTCGCTCGTCCGTCTTATAGATCACGTACAACTGCGGAAACTGAGAAGAGGGGAGGGTAGGATTGTTGAGAGGCTGTTGGTGTCATGAGGTTGAGGAGCTGCTTGTGAATATTAGTAGAAAAACTAGAACGGTATTAAAAGACCACGATGAGCGACAACATATTTATTGATTGACTGACTGACGGATTGATGTGTTATCTCTGAGTCTGTGTCTATGACTACGTGTTATCTCGTGATTGATTGATCTGATATTAACATGACAAATGTTATCTCTGAGTCTACTGTGTCTGAGTGAACGGAAACGGTCTAAAAGCGAATTGAAGAGAGAAACGATGACAAGCAGGATGAAAGGGGAACTGCATGATTAGGAGGAGTTGTAGTAAGTTGTAGTAGTAATGAAGATGCAAATAGAAATACCATAGCCACGCAATCGAGGGTCATGTTCCACACAACTGAAACGTCCGCCATTGGCCAAGGCTCGTTGTGGATATCACCGGTCCAGCTCTTGACTGGAGGGTTTAAGTGGTGCAACAGGATCGAGAAGAAATGATTAGAAGATGCAATTTATCAGCTCTTCAAAATACATGATCATGGTCCACATGAAGATGACTTGTGCTTCTTTTACAAGGTTAAAAAGCATGGGAATCTCACTGCACCAGCTAATTCCAAAACTGAAATAAGCTAGCTGTCTTATTTCGGTCAGCAACTCGGTCACTTCAAGATTTCGAGTACTTATCTGCCCATAAAGTATGTGATCACCGTGAGGGCCGCCCAGTTCAAAGGAATACTCTGTCCACTGCCAAGACCTATTCTCAAGGATTGTGTGTACTTCAGCTGATTGCGTGCCACATGCCAGCACACTGCTCCCCATACCTGCGAGAGGGACAAGACGACTTTTTTGAAGAAATCAACGAAAGGACATCGCACATACACTTAGAAACAAAAAGACGTCTGATGTGGCGGGTACTAACTTGGTAGATGATAACTTTGTCTAGCCTCAGCCGCATCAGCCAAGAAGAAGTATTTCCATTGAAACACACCAGCCAAGCAACAAACATAATCTGTATGGTACAATTGGCGACATGGTGATGTCTAATTTGCAGAGAATCTTGACGAGGTCGGACTCGTTCGACCAGACTGCTGGCGGACTAGCACTCCAATAAAATCGCAAGAGGGTTCCGATAAAAAACATTATCTGGTGATTGTGATTGTGATTGTGATTGTGTGGTAGAGAATATATTTGGTGAGTCGTGTTGGACTTTGTTGAAATTGGACCCTGAGAATAATTTTCAAGGTATTGGGCGTGTATGTGAAAGTGAAGTTCACTAGTATTGCGAAGTTGGTATCAAAATAGAACAGAAAAAACCCTCAGAAGTTGTGCCTGTGTATCTCTAGCAGCCATGACTTCCTGTGGTTTGCTCCATTGGTCGCTTTTCTCCGTCATCCTATGCTTTTCGAAGAGCAGCATAATTCCTGCCAACAAAAAGCAGCCATTTGCGATCACGTAGAAGAGGACCTCCATGATGTGAGGAGAAGTCGGGCTTCTTCGACTACTGTATGTACTTCTTCGGTATTTGCCCGTAGTCCTCTGTCCTCACACAACACAACTCCTTAGACCAGTGCTCTTCGCGTACTGCTAGATGCTGCGAGAGTCCTGCTGCCGAACACGCAGTTTTAGAGGCAGACCGAGACTGGTTTAGAGGCAGGCGAGACTGGTTTTTTGTTAATGGTTTAGAGGCAGGTGGAGTTTCGGAGCGGTGTCGTTTTGGGACCAGAACAGGTGCCCCAGGGAAAGGAAAGTGGGACCAGAAGAAGATCCTCGAAGAGGAGGGCAATCCCAGGGCAGTGGATCCTGAATAAGCAGTTGGATCCTGAATAAGCGGAGTACTTCTGCGGGATCGGCAGTTGTCAGACTCTGATTTGCTCTGCTTGCTATAATTCTATATATAAGTATAATATAGACTATACTGCTGCGCCGCGACTGATCGTCGTGGAAGAAGATGAAGATGCTCTTGCCGTGCTGTTGTAGAGCAGCCAACGCATCTGGATACAGCGCTTGCTCAGTGCCTTAGCTACAGTTGTGGGTCTGGTAGTTTAGTTTTTGTCAGTTTGTTATGCCAGATTTGTTGTAACCAAAACAAGTACAAGAATGACCTCTCCTTCAAGCTAGGACCTACAAATTTTGAGTGATATGATAAGAAAATGATGGTCAAACAATGTTAAAGTGGATGGTTTACGTTCATCTTCACGAAGTGAGGTTTTCCATTGACGATGACGGCTGAGTGAGTCTAGGATTTTTATCCTTCATACATAGGAGCGCCATCCATTATCATAGAAGTACTTAAAAAACGCGACTTGCTCATCTGGAGTCTTCGCCTTGATCTCATACTCATACCGTGCGTGTTATTCTGACAAAATACAAGGATAAGGAATAAATCATGTCTGTCTTTGCAGTGCTACTCGGGTGACACTCTTTTTCACATGGTTAAGGCCTGGGGTGGTATTCATCCATCATTCTTTATCTACTTATTTGCTTTGACACACATCGAGAGCTTCTCAAGATTTCTTGCATTTGAATCTTAGAAGGCGTTGCTGCGCTTCTTGTTACGTGACTCCATAAACAACATCAAAGTTAGTCCAGAGGAGATGAACGCATGGGATGCAAACCCTCGACTGCCTTGCGAATACCTAGAACTTCGACGATCTTGCATTCTTCAGCCTTCACGTGGCCGCTACTAATGCAGGCCGTTTTGGCTCATAGTCAGTGTTAGCAGGTGGCATTGGCGTCTATAGGTATTCTCAGCTTTGTTTAGTATCAAGGAATATTCTCAGGGAAAAAAATCTGTTGATGAACGTGGTAGTCAGATGGTACTGTCGCTCTTCAGCAAAGACGTCACGGTGGGACAATAACGACATGCGCTACTAGAAAAGCGCGGCAGGGGTTTCTTCTTCTGTAATGTTTTACCGCTGTCTTTCTGTAAAAATGGTCTGTAGGTGGTTTCTAGGAGGTAGAGACTCCGCGACCACCGGCATATCGGTGGATCGGCATGCTGCGTCAGTAGAGGAACTGGCTTGCTGTATCAGAGCAGGACGAATACGATCCTCTTGGCCGCCTCATCGAGGTGAACACCCAGTCTGACCTGCTGATCCAACCAATTAATCGCAGCTGCTCATCTCCATTGGCTCTGCCTATCCTTCAGTGGGTAGTCGTAGTACAGAATCAGAAACAGGATGAAGACCTAGAGGTAGAGGAGTCGTAGTACAGACTCAGAAACAGGAAGTAGTAGTAGAGAATGAGAATCACTATTTTCCAAGACCGCTTTCCAGTTCCTGTAGGCTCCCCTGTTGCTGCTTGGTCAAATGGGCGTTTTGTCTCTTCAGGGTTTTGAATTCGCTCTTCAGGAGTTGCACTTTCTCGCTGTTGGCATCCAGCTGAGCACGCATCGCGTCAAGCTTGGTACGAGCAGTGCCCATCAGGGCTGTTGGAGGTGGATTTTCATGGTGAGGAGTTTGATTCATTTCAAGTGCGATATTAGTGCAATCGAGGACGACAGAAGCCAGAACAAAATCTTTTTCGTGCTTTAGCATAATTCACATTACCTTCGTCACCCCTTGCTGTAGCTACTTTGTTCTGAGAAAACAGCGCGACTACATGATAGATGAAGAAGACTATATTCGATTTCGAGTCGATCTAGTATTCACTTCATCTGCAAACTGCATTAAGTTATACCTTTTACTGCCTGCATCGGGTCTTTCTTATTCCCTGCTAGTGCCTGTTGTGGCACGTCCTCGTCATCATCGTCGAATTCGACGGCCATCTTTGTGGTCCTTTTTTCTCTCAGTCTCACTTCGCTATACTAGTACTTTCTGAACCTAAACGAACGTCCTTGCTTCTCACTTCGTTATACTAGTACTTTCTAAATCTAAACCCACTAGAACTAGAACTAGCGTCAGTCTTAAAACTTTTTTAATCCTATGTATATAATGTTTTCTTCAATCATTTTTTGATAAGTAGTCCTAGATGAGTGTTCAAGCATAGATGAAGTGAGTGGCTTTTTTACCAGAATCAATGGCGAAGAAGATGATGATTGAAGTAGACATTACAAAACTTGGATGCTCTTGTACAACCGGGAGTTTGTACAACTACTGCTACTCGGTCTCGGTACTAGTGCTACAAAAAAAAACGACCGGGTGACGAGGGTCAATCGAGGGATCGTATCTTGTCAGGTTCACTCTGGACTACAAGGTTGAAATATGTTCCCTCTATCTAATGACGATGGTCATGTTCTCGATAACGACATGCCAACACGACTTTTACCCTCACTCCAACAGATCAAAAACAGAGAAGAAGGAGCCGTAGCAAGTGGTCGATGATTCTTCAACTCACCGACTAGCCTTGCTCATGCGCGATGGTTCCTCATCAAATGGCTACGAAAGCAGCAGCATGCTGACAGAAGACCATGCATTTGATCTTCCAAATTTGATCTTCTTCATTGCTTCCATGCATTTTTAGAGCTGTCCGCAATTCATCTTTCTGCTATATCCTTGAAAAGTATGGGGGAGTATTGCCTGAGGCTACACCCTCATACTTTTCAGGGATACTCTCAAAGATGGATTATCTCTAGCCTTAACATTTGATCTTCCACATCTTCGGGCGTCTTCGAGGGACAGTCTTTTTGAGTAAAAGCACCCGATTATCCCCTCACTAACGTTTGAAAAAATACGAAAATCATGTTGTCAATTCACACTGGTAGATAATAGTACCCGCACAAGGCAGCGCAGCATTGGTATGGCTATCAAACTTGGTAGAAGTGGACAATCAAACTATTTGGTAAAACGACAGCACTGCGTGCTTACTTTCATGATGATTCGAATCTATTGGGCAACGTGCCTAAGATTCCCTTGACTGCACTGCGTACTCACTCTACAGATATCGCACAACTGTACTTCTTACGACGAAAGTGCAATCTTGTCAAAAATTGCAACTACAAACTGTCTGAGATGCAACGGTCGGTAAACCACACGGGACAACATCAACCACAACGCGAGCCACAGCAATTTGTTAATGGATGCCAATGATAGACAGCAATTCGTTATGCGATGAGCTACAGCAATGAATTCGTTAGTCGTATGATAAACAGGACGCGAATGATAGACAGCTCCTGCGGTGCGGAAATAGGCATACTTAGTTCGTGTATCTACGCCTGTTTGTCTTTACGACTCAGGTCTGGATGATTGTCCTCCACGCTTTCTGCATACTGTCTGCGGGAACATGCATATATCATCGGCACTTGATAGCTGGGGCCGAGAGTTAGAGGACGTTGGCGAGGCTCAAGCGAAGATAATGCTGAAGGCTCTAACAGTATGCTGACAAGACGAGTGTCCTTCTAGTGATATGTTAAAAAGGAAGACGAAGATGGACTGCATTGAAGATTCTTGCTCTATTCAACAAATAGTAACGAAATTTGGAGACCCTAAGCCTTAATATAGAGGGGCTTCAGTCACTGCTCGCTTTCGTATCGACTCGAAATACAGTCTGAAAAAACGGATGCTTCTCGATTTTCAACGCGCCAGCGGCTGATTTGATTCTTGTGGATGAGATTAGACGAAGGGAGCTCAAAACTCTACTTGATCATGTGATCTGGATCTGCTAACAGTTGTAGTTCGGGTCTTCGACTTACTACTTTGTCAATAACTTCAACAGGAACTATCTCGCCTCCTGGAAACAAATGCTAGAGCATCGAACAAGTACAAGCAAGCACTATAGTGTAAATGTTGTACGTGTCCGGTCGCATCCTAGCCACAGTATTGATGTGCTCAGTATACCTGGCGCGATATTGATGAGGACGAATAGGGAAAGATGTGATCTGTCCCGCCTTCTAAAAACAAGCTGGCCTGCTTGTACTAGAACGCACGCAGTAGGGATCAGCCAAATAACGCTGATCTTCGATAGATAGAGCTCAAAAAAAGCGACGAAGATACGAGATAGATTGAAACCAGAATACAGCACCATCATGACCATGAAGAGAACCGAAGCCTTAATAGTGTAGCAGGTAGTACGTTGCTGGGTGTTACACGTTGTATCGTTTCCGGATGGTGGCTTTCCTGAGAGCATCTCGAAAATGAACGCACCAACGCCCCACCAATCCACTGGGAAGCTATACTCTTTGTTCAGTATCACTTCCGGAGCTTGATAGCAAAGAGTCCCACAACACGAACACGTTCGAGTTTTGTAAGGTATGAAAGGTGTGCTAGTGCGAGGAAAGGAAGACTCTTGCACACCACCAAGAATTCATGTACAAAGTTAGAACATCTTTTCCTGCTGTAGGTCTAGCCCGTCCATTCTAAAATAAAGTCAATCTATCTCTATGTACTCTAGTTATCGTCGAGTCAACGAGAGTAAGTAAATTCCTTCCGTAAAGTTAGCAGCTTTGTCGAGGACCTTTGCCAGATCGAAGTCGACCAATTTGATGTGGCCGCTGCAGTCCAATAGAACGCTTCCAGGCTTGAAATCTCGATAGCACACGTTCCGGCCATGCAAGTGCCTCACTGTTATAATAATAGAATAAGGCACTTTTTGACCCGTATCGGGTCGAGTTGCTCGGGTTGCTCGAGTTGCCCACCCTAATTTTTTGCGCGGCGCCCTTCGGGTGCAGCTTTACGAGACTCCGCGAAACCTTAGCAGGAGCCTACGACACTACGAGCCGCGTCGCTGGTCCTTGGTCTTCTTCTCAGTGCACCCTTGAGACCGGAGCGAGTAACCGTCTCGGGCTCGAGACTCATCCCAGCCACTTGCTTGGTCATCTAGTTACTCGCGACATCTAAGTAAAGACTACGAGGCTAGTCCGATTATCCACTTCCAGCTACCAACCTACGTCGAACAGCCATACTTCCTCTAGTCTACTCACCCCCAAGCAAAGCGAGACGCGCCGCCCTATAAAGCAGACGGGGGCTGCTCGCTCTCACCCCCGGAGTAGATTCATTGCCCACACATCCGAAGAAAATAAAAGGGAGAGACCACCACCAACTAGACGACACGCCACAGCGACACTGACACCAAACAAAAACAACAACGAGCCGGGCCCTCCGCTCCCTTGGTTGTGCTTTAATAGACGTTCGCTCGCAAGCTACAAAAAAAAGCCATAAGGGCTCAGGAGCCCTCCATACCCGATTGCCCCTTTCATGAGCAACAACAAGAACAGCACTCCCCTACACTTCGCCACTTCGAGCAGCTAGCTCCGTGCTCGCACCGCCCTGCTTCGCTCCATTTCGATGGAGCGAACACCTTCCAGCAACTCGTGGCAACTCGTTCCAACAGTGAAGCTCTTCGCTTCGGCAACTCGAAGCCCGTTACTGGCCTTACTCTATAATAAGACTCGACCCATTGCGTCCGATATCGGGCCGAGTTGCTCGAGTTGAACGAGTTCCATACCAAGAAAGTCCGCGCCGCGCCTCTCGGGCGCACGATCTTCGAAGCGTCAAACACGTGGCCCAGGACGGAGCGCAAACTAACCACCCCCAAAAGCGAACACTTCCACTAGCGTCGTCTCTCTGCGAGGCGCTGCATGCGCGGGGCAGACAAGAGCAGCGCCACCCGGGGGCCCTGCTCTCGTACTTTTGTGTTACTAAGATGTCGCGCCTGCCTTGTATAGCTGCTGCTTTATCAAACAAATACTACACAAAAAAAAAGCTACTTCATTGACCCAGGTGCCGCGCACCCACTCAGGAGGGCCTTGCTTGTGGTGCTACTCACTAGGCGGCGCCCTACTCAGTAAGCCCACTACAGCGCAAACAAATGGGCGCCAGGGCGTGAGGCTGGCTGCTCGAGGGGGCCTCGTTCAAAACAACAAGCCGAGCGCCCTCACGCTCACACACTCGCAAATCTCGGGCCCCAAGAAGTCGAACACGCTGGCTACTCATCAGCAGAAAAACGTAGCCAGATCGCGGCCGACACCAGCGCACGAAAATGCAGAGACACTGACACAGCGAGAAAAAAGCTGCACTTCGCAAGGTAGGGGCCCGCGCCACTCAATCAAAAAAGGCCCCGGGCTTCGCCCTCCTATTTTCGCGAAGTTCAAGCCCCGAAGAGCTCGGCCGGGGCGTGTCTCTTCAATGCAGACGGTGGATCTGTTAAGAGACAACAGGCCGCGACCCTCTTCGGAGCTTCGCGGCATCTTGGCCCGCCATACCGCCGCGGGGCGGCGCGCTCTCAAAGTGGCAAGCTGCCCAGAGGAACCCGCTAGCAACTCGCTCCGGATTGGGCGCGTGCGTTTCGGCAACTCGTGGCAACTCGAGAGAACTCGAGCAGCCCGCAACTCGAAAAGCGGACTACTCTATTAAAACGACCTTCGCGCGAGAATTAGAGAAGGCTGGCAGAAAAAAAACAAGGGACGCAGTTGTAGAACATTAACTCTAACACTATGCAAATTGGTCCCCAAAAAATCATAACAAAGAATTGTAAAAGCTCCAAACTCAAGCCATCACTAATTACTCTTGTGTATGAGCCGAAGCACCTCGCCTCCATAATTCACGAACTCCATGAGAATGAAAACTTTTTTGTCTGTATGGAATATCTGATGTGGGGGAGAGTTTTTCTGGAGGAGTGACCAAGCATGGTTTTGCTTATGATAAAGTTGTAGTAGAAGTGTGCCCTTCAATAAAGAAACTAAGAATCTCCTTCATCGTGGTCATGCAGCAGCGTCGTCTTTCGATATATGACCCAAGGCCAGACGCCCCCCCTCCCCCCCCCCTGTGGTCTGGTCTGTGGTGGCGCGCGCGCGCGCTTTTCCGCGCGGATTTTTCGCGGGTTCTAGTGGTGGAAGGCGCCAAAGCTTGGCGCAGGCCTCCCCTTGGGCCTCTCAGCGTGTTCCTAAGGGACCGCCTGGCCTCTGCTGACCCTCGCAGGCGGGAGGCCTCCGGGGTAAAAGTAAGGCCGCCAAAGGCGGCCACGGTCGCAAGAGCAAGCAATCCGATGACCAAGGGCCCGGAGGGTACAGGCGGCACGGCTCGCCCAGGGGGTGCAGCCCCTCGCCTTTTGCCGCCTTCGGAAGCCTTCCGCTGCCGGCGCTCTCCTGCGGCGGCGAAGCCTAACGAACGCACTTAGGGCACAGGCAGGCACCTGGACGGGGGCGCAGGCGGTACCTTGGGCTTGGGCCCCGTTTGAAGCCTCGCACCACCATCGGAGGCCCCTAGGGAACAGCCAAGCACCTGGAAGGGAGCGGAGGGGGGAGGTCACTGGGCCCCCTTTTGAGGCCTTCCACCCCCGGCAGACGCCTTAAAAAGGGGGCCATGGCGCACGCCCCCCTAGGGCCGTCGCCCCGCGCCCTGGAACATATAAGCATAAGGATCGACTAGCGTCAGCACATCCATCAAATCATCATCCTCATCACACCTAGACATGCGAGAAGAGCAGTGGTTGTACTCGTACCTTCAAAACATTGACGACGAAGGGGTTCTCGACAGCCTGTAGGATGCTGGTTTCTCGAAGAACCGCTCGCGCAGCGTGAGAGATACTGCCGCCCCACTCGTTTGCAATCTTCACTTATAATCCTTAGAATTTCAACAAGAGGACCGAGATCGGACGGCAAGGGCAAAGTCACAGTCAGCATAAGCTCAAGGTGGTCGGAGTATTAGTAGAAGTACGAGTAGTTTACCCATTCGGGGGGTAAGTCCAAAAAAAGGGGAAAGGGGGGCTTGTTTTGTCCAAGGGTCGTAAGCGTGGACTTGCAAGTATGATCATCTGTGCTAATTCAGATGCGCCACCATCATCCTGAAGCTAGTCGTGATAAATTTTTTCTGTTCAGCAAAGCGAGGAAGAGAGAAGTAGTAGAGGATCTTGCTCCTTAATTGAAAGAATTTTCAAGGCAAACGGTGTCGCATCCTGCGGGTTCTTGAATCGGACCATGCACACACGTCCGAAGTTTCCCTTTCCGATGGTTGCGAAGGTTAGAGTAAGTAACACATCAAGAACATAAGGTCCTAAGTAATGTAAGAGCTACTTACTTTTCAAAAGGATCACCGTTTGATTGGAGTATTGAATCCATCATGAGTGGGTAGACTGTTGCTGTTTTCGGTCGAAGATTGTACTCCCTTATTCATAGAGTGGCGTTCTTGAGGATAAACTACCACTGAACAGGGCCTCTTTCAGGATCAATTACGACTACCTCGCCCTGAAAAATTTATTCATAAGTGCATAACAAGTAGACATAACTTCACCTCAAAGGTCTGCAGTGAGATCTTAGGACCAGCGCTATCTACGATATGTCGCAGATGTGCCAGCGAGGGCGCGACTAGATCTGGCGGCACGTCTTCATCAAGAAAATCAGCATGCTCTTTCGAGGATGTTGGGGTACCTCAAGTCTACACGATTCTCCTCTCTGAGGTCTCGGCTCGTCTACGGCGTTGCAGAGGAAACGCCATGAAACGCCAGATCATCACATCATTTGTAAGCATAACAATTTCCATCCACGTGTAATCGGGGTATCGCCTATGTTGAGAATCTTCACGACTTTCTATTCGTTCATGTGCGCCACCCTGACTTTTTTTTTGTTTTTTTTTGTATGCCAAGACCGCCGGAAAGGTGATCCCAGTTCTATCCAGTTCGCAAACCGGCGGCAGATGGAGTACATAGTAGTTTCCCGCTATTGATCTCACTCGCCTTGTTACCTGTGTCCACAGTTTCCCGCTATAATTCCATGCAATTCCCCCGCGGGAAGCCTGAAGCACAACGGCCAGGCGCTACGACTACGCAAACGATTTTTAAGCACAACGGCAATCACTGGAGAAAAGCTAGAGCCTAAAAAGCCCCACGGGCGGACTAGTCGACGGCCCATAGTTAGAACAATGATGGATCATATCTGACACACCCCGAGCGCACAGAGCTAGACCCTTGGGGATCGAACGCAGAAAAAGCTAGAACTTTGACGTGGCCATTGGCTAGTTAGGACCTCGAAAAGCTAGGCTGGAAAATCGCTTTGCTGCAGCCATTATAGAAGATAGTAGACACATACAAAATGTAAGTAGGCAGTCCACCCCCACTCACAGAACTCCAGTTTCTTACTCGCTTGCTTCCCTCGACGGATCCGCAGAGTCTGTCTCTGTGCATCTATCGGGCCGGAAATCTAGCAAGCACCTTCCTTCATTCATGCGCGAAGATCGGGCCCTTTTTTTGTTACCTGGGTCTACAATTCTCGCTTATCCTTTGACTGCAATCATACAGAGACCTACTGAGTAGGAAAACCTAAGCGCCCATCTCTTCACTCACTCAATTGTGCATCGTGAGAGACCGATGGACCCGTGAAACTGTACCCCTAAACACGTCGGGAAACCTTCAGAAGACCACTCAGTTTAGTCCCAAAAGAGGCTTAATGCACAAGAATAGAGAGCGCCACTCTTTGTCGAGGGCATGGGTGCTATTATCTTCCCATGTGAGCTACCAGGTAGTTGCGCATCTCTACTATGCTGCAGTCCTTGAAGATGTTGATGTACGTGTATCGTAAATCCTGATGAAGTAGTCTCTATAAGATCTAAGATAATTGTTCTTCCAATTAGCAGTAGCCCCCTGTTGGATACACCAATTGAAACTACATGACCCAGGTGAGGAGCGAGAATCCCCCCCAAATCGATAAAAAAACACTAATTTCCTCTGAGTCTGAACTTCGTGACAGGTGATAAACCTTGCACCGAGGCGCTCCCCCGTGGTCCTTTCAAGGTAATTGAGGGGAGAACGACAATACCCTTACACATTTCGTTTCTCATCTTTCTAGTATAGCGCTACGCGACGTATTGGGCAAAGACGTGAAAACAAGTCCCTCCTGCCGCTTCCCGTGCCGACATTGACTACTAATATAATAATATCTGAGTCTTGGATTTTTTGGCCTCAAAATCAGAGCCCCAAACTTTTGCAAAAGCCCAAACTTTTCAAAGCCCAAACTTTTCCAAAGACCCAAACTCACTGTTTCAAAAGCCCAAACTAACTATTTAAAAAGCCCAAACTTGTCAAAAGCCTGCACTATTTTCAAGAAGCCGACTTGATTTTTCCCAAGCAAAGCCAACTTTTTTCCCAAAGCCGTATCTTTTCTAAAGGCCAGCCACGGCCACGGCACGCAGCCACGGCCACGGCCACGGCCACGGCCACGGCACGCAGCCACGGCCACGGCACGCAGCCACGGCCACGGCACGCTCGCAGCCACGGCCACGGCACGCTCGCAGCCACGGCCACGGCACGCTCGCAGCCACGGCCGCGACACGCTCGCAGCCACGGCCACGGCACGCTCGCAGCCACGGCCACGGCACGCTCGCAGCCACGGCCACGGCACGCTCGCAGCCACGGCCACGGCACGCTCGCAGCCACGGCC